AATAACATTATCGATAAGGTAAAATTAAAAGCCATCAACCCGTGATTTCAAAGAGGTGCGCGCGCGACAGGTGAGATAGTCCATGCCATGGGGTGATGCATTACTTGAAGAAGTCAGATTGTTCCAAGGGGTCGTTCTCGGCTATTAGGTTACCATTTTTGCCTCTAAGCATTTCAACATGACCGAACATTAACCGACAAAAAACAAGCCTTTTCATCGATAGTTCGACGATAGGACGACTATCGCGTTTGCTTATCCAATCTCCGTATTTCTGCCAGTCCTTTTACGTATGTCTATGATTAAGAAAAAGGGACTCCGGTAAGTTTCAATCCTGCCTACGCCACTGCACCAGGCAAGTATCTATAGATGTGGGTGGGGGTACAACGTGTTGGGGAAGGTTTCCATGGGTGCACCCACTGAATGTATTGTGGCCATTGTGGGGGTTAGATAATGACTTCTTATGAGCACAAATGCTGCAATATATGGTATTATGGATGGCCAGTGGCCACTGATCTAATGTGACCATCTTCAACGTAACATTTTTGTTTGTCGTGAGAACGATCCAGCAATAGCATGGCATTGATACCTTTCATGCACTCAAGAGTCAAGATTCTTCCTCCTCTGCATAGAAAGAATCCAATTAGGTTTAGGGATGGCCTTTGCTGGGTATCCATTTCGTTTCTCACTTTAATTTGTGTATTTTGAAGATAAGTCCCATCGTGAAAAGATACCAAACAAGAAAGAAAGACATAATGTGATCATAAACGAAAATGTAACGACAGCAGCTAGCTGAAAAGTGATTCGAGAGGGTTACCAACCAACGACTCTTTTCCATTCGAGTTCACACACGCACTATTAAGAGTCCGTCGGTGAGAAACGTCACAGTTAATCTGTCCCGAATTAACATGTAGCTGTTTTTCTAAGGGTGTTCTCGATCTGTGATCTTCGTCCCTCAAATATATTCGCAACAAATTGTTGTGCGTGGTTCAATTATTAGACGAGATAAGTAAGTAGTCTATAAAATTGTAATATTATTTGCACGAGATTTGAAACTTTAGAGAGAAAAAAATTTCTCCTATTTAGTTTCGGAACGGTCATAAACCCCCCTTAGACACCACAATTCGCAATATATTTCACATGCGATTTTTCTATATATATACGTAATTCATTATCTTATATATTACATACGTAATTATGTGTATTTGTTATATCAAGTGTGCGCAATATTGTACCGTACCGAAAGTTAAACCAAATGTACTAGTTATCAAATTTTTACTATTTCATAATTCATGACCATATACCTTATGCAAGCTAATTTTATAACTTCTTGTGACAAAGTTAGGTGATGTTTTAATGCATTTGAGTGTTGTTGTTTGTATAAAAAAAAAGTATAAACAAATGGAAGGATCTAGTTCTCATTTCTGAAGTACTCTAAACCATATAAACTAAATCCCACCCTATATATCCTCCTACGTCCTTCATAATCAAATAATTAATCATATACCTTAAACTGCCTTTGAACTGCATATAATAAAACCAAATAAAACCAAGTAGTGAGCTTTTGTCACCTAATCCTTTCTCAAGTTTATTATTATTATTTTTTTTTCCTTTTTGGGTTTTCTGTTATTAGGAATGGTGATTGGTGGGTCAATTTTCAAAATCAACAATATGCTTTTTAGTTGTCAATTTTATTCGTGTTTTGACAAATAGTACCACAAATGAGACCCTAAAAGTCTCTGTTTTTATGCCCCGGTACAAATGCAATGCAACTGACTGACGACCAGAGTTGAAAGGTAACAACAACAACTAACCAAAAAAAAAAAAAAAAATTCCATCCCAATTCCCCAAGTGGTCATCACGAACCCAACTATTTCCACAATCGGGACAAGGAAAGAATAGACAACACCACCACTGTCACACAAGCTTACAAATAATGTACTCAGTCTAAGCCAAAAAGGCAGAACATGATGCCAAAATACAAAATATTATTGAAAATAATACCCTGAGTAACTATTAGGGATGACAAAAATATCCGTAACCGTGGATATCCGCCCGAATCCGGCCTAGTCGGGTAGGGTAAAACCCGAACCCGAAGGACATTTAGTAGGTACGGGTAAAACCCGAACCCGAATATTGCGGGTAATGGGTGGGCATGGATTTCTCACTATCCGACCCGAACCCGCCCGATTATACACATGCATATGTATTTTGTCTAGAAATAATTATTATTTTTCTCTAACATATTTTATATTTAGCATATAAATATAACATTTTCATGAAATTGTGTTGTTTTAGTTAATTTTCTTCATTCTAGTGAATTCTTGTCGTAATTTTTCTCCACAATTAAAAAATCAATAAAATATCTCTAACCACCCGTAATTTCACTTATGTATCGAAATAGTCAAATAACTCCAAAAATACATCCACAATTCTAAGACATTGCATAATAAAACCGACAAAATGATCCAGATAGTATACAAAAGCAAACTCTGTATTTCTAACATTCCTCCCCCGAAGAGACCAACCTTGCGCCTTTAAGGTTGCCTCGCTCCTTCCTTGTTGACCTTGCTGCCCACTTCTGCAGCTAACTCAATCTTCGAAAGCTTGACCCTGAAAATTGTATCATCATTCCCTCATAAACTTAGTTATAAACACCATACCTACTAAGTTGAAACGACTTATACAAAATGTTAACTTTTGTATTCAATCGTTGTAGTATACAGACAATGAAAGTAAAATTAGTTAAATTACTGATTAAGGATGCTAGAAATGTCAGCAGAACATGATAAGTTCACACCACTGCCTTTATTTAGTTTAGTTCCCCAAATCTATCCAATTAACCATGGAAATTCCCCTAGAGAGTGACCGTTCACACTCTCTATCTCTACCTACTTGAGGGCTCCTCTCGTCTAGAATTTGCTAACACGTTGAAAGGGTAGGCTTCGATATTGATCAACATCGTTGAATCATGCAATTGGCATTTTTAGTCGTTGAGTGGACGCAAATACATTGTTTGAAGAGGGGGAAAAAAAAATCATTACATGCATCTAACATCGAAACTGTATGATTCAACGATGTCATCATGCACTAACATTTATTCATTAGCATATTAATTAGCGGGATTACCTCGTTTGTCGTTTCCCGGAGCATAAAAGAGCAATGGTGGCTTATCTTCATCATATTCTTATGTATGTGATTTCCTTTCCATTATCCAACATAAAGCAATTCTAACTCCCATTTTTCTCTGGAAAATAACAACCACCATTGAAATACTTAACACGATGATTCGTGAAGGTCTACTTGAGTAACAACTTGGATAGGTTTCATGGAAAGCATAGCTCAAATTTCCTTGCACTTTGTTGACGTATGAAAAGATACAAGGGTAGAAAATAAGGGGAGGAAACTAAGCTAAGGGACTATTGCATCTTTGCCTACTTTGTGTAGTTATTATTCGTCTCCATCCACATTCATACAAGTGAGTGATGAGGACCAACCATGAAGCATAACCTTTCTCATTATCATTTGGTCACAGAGGAGAATAATGGCTGTCAGCGTCAGTTTTGTAGCTAAATCATTACCCTTCCACCTTGACAAACACTTATTTTTTTTTTACCAACTGGCAACTACAGTTGGATTCTAATTTGTTCAGTTCTGCTCCATCAATCAAACCTGTATAAAATAATGACCAAATTACCTAAATAAAGTGACAAAATCCACACTAAATTGATTTCCCTAAAACCCAATCCACTTTTCCCATTTCCCCCCTCCTCTTGGGACTAAGAACCTCATGTTTAACACCCATTTTTTTAGCATTGTGGATGGTCTTTAGAAAGGTGAGATCTTTCCTGTTCAACATGGCCTAGAAGACTGGATCATGACCTAAGCAAACACAGTAGAAGGCTTCCTTTCCCCAGTTCTGATCTCATTCATTCCAACAAACTTTGAAACTGAGGAAATCAACTAATGTTAACTTCTAACTTTGGCAGCATAACACCTGCAGGAATGAGAGGATGAAAGATATGGCAAGGATATTGCAGCCACCAAAGTCCAAAACACCACTTGGAAGGTTTGAGATAGTGAGGGATCAAGTGGCCACAATATAGACTTTTCACAGATTTGAAGTCACATTATCTTTTTCTATATGGTAAGTGTGCCATCTTCTCAACCGCCCAAATATTGATTGGGTTGGTCTTTTCCCATTTCTGGTGATGGTGGTGGGCTGGTAGCTACCTTCCTACAGCATATGTGAAAGCTTCAAGATGGAGACCAAAGGAGGGACCAAGCCACCAAGATGTAACAGGGGAGTTGACAAAATTAGAGGGCTAGTCACAATGAAAAGGCATGCAAAATTTCTAGCAGTGTCCTCCCTAATCTGTCATTTTTATCGACAAACTTAAATTTCTGCATTGCTACTTAAAGCTAAACCAAAAGTTATCCAAGCAAACACCCTTCAGCAAACGCATGCTGCCTCTTCCTAAAGACAAATATGAAAAGGGGACAGGAACCATAAAAAAATATGGAAGACACTTTCTGTGGTGCTCAAATTTGCAGACACATCCTACCGCAACCTTGCAGATTTTGCAGCAGTGGCATGACAACAACAAGCATCCGTCACTGTCGTGATATGAGAGATCCCCTTTGAGATGATGAATCAACATACTCAAGAGGCAAAGAGTTGTCAAGATAGATGGAAGTGTGCCAGAAATGTAAGACATATTCACGTTCTTTCCTAGCGTTGAAGTTTTGAATAGAATGATACATAAACTTCATCAGTAATTCACTTATTTCATGGAAAACTTGTGGAATTTACACGGAGTTCAATTCAAACATGGGCAATAATGTACCTAGAATGAATTCTTCGGCTTCTGAATCACTTGGCATTTCCCTGCAACACTACAAGTTCGTCCCAGGATGCCACTTTATGCTGCACCCGATACTTTAGAGCCAAGGAGAATAACAATGGTCTCAGCTCAGGAGTCCAGTAAAATCAGGTAAAGTCTTCAAAGAGATCCAAGACAAGGAGAGGAGCTCAAATGAACAGTACCTTGGTTTCTGAACTTATGAAACTGCTGCCCACTTTGGATGCTATCTGTCCCTCTGCTTAGGTCCCTAAAGCAGGATTATGAAACAAGAGTCACAACTGATGTTGACATATGTGGAATGCTTGGGTAGGTACACTTTTTTTTACTCGTTTAGTTGAATAGAACAAAAAACAAAATTACCTTCCAGTTACAGGCACATTACTGTTGGGTCTGGAGTAATCAAATTGGCCATGACACACCAGTTCAAATGGTCTCCTCCCGTCCTGTGACACTAAAAGTGAATTCAGTAAAGGAAATTGAGGAGAAGGAGAGAAAGTCATCTATCCGGTCATCGAACCTAAAGTCTGAGACCATGTCAGGTTTGAGCAACAAAGTAAAGCATGTAACAAAAACACTAAAGACTACACATTTTTTAACAGGAAAAACTCTGGCGTACAGACTGCTCCGAAATCCCGTGCAACCACCTCAGACTACAGTTCAGACACTTTCAGTTAGTTACTGAGGTTGAATAACCTTTACAAACATCAGATCAATTTTGTTGCTTGTTCTGAGATCTATATCATAAAGATTGTGAGTACTATTGTACATAAATTATTTTATAATGACTATCGCATATACTTTTGAGAATTGATACATTTTCAAGACTAACATTTATAATCTTTTTGTATAATCCATACTTTTCTAATATAATGGTCATACGATTTCTACTGTTAACTACCCAGATACCAATTACTGTACCTATATGTCGCCATTCCATTGGTAATAACTCTCTGCTCATAACAGCCTTAATTCTTTCTAGTAGCTAGTCTTATGTTATGGAGAACAAACAATGGGACAGAGCTCTGGATAGCTCTAATCTTGAAACAATGGGACAGAGTTAACCTGTGGGTGTGTAACGATAGAATTTGAAGAAACTGCAATGACAGCAAGTCATTTCTGCACCATGCATGAGAAACCTTCATTGTGCAAATCCACATCCCTTTCCGAATGAACAGCTGGAGCTGGACACTAGAGTAGGATTTGAGCTACCTTCATATAGAAATTAGAAAGTTTCACCATATCCTTCTTCAAATGCTTAACAAAGGGGCAATGATTGCATATGAACATAGCCTGCACAGAGTATGTCCAGAAAACATTAACTGCTCATACTTCAAATAAGGTCATATAGACTTATACCGCTGTAAATCCCAAGCCAGATATTGGTTAGCCAGAAGAATACATGCTGAAATATCTGACAACAGCCACAATATGCGGCACCAAATCCAAATATGCATATTTAGAAAGCATACATTCCCATCTTAAGTTCGATCTTCGATGTTTCTTGGTCACTGGGAATTAAACATTCTGGAGAGGTTTGCTGAAAAGGAAAAACAATGGAGAAAAGGTTCCTCGTAAAATGCAATTTGCTAAATGAGATGGGTGGCGTAGTTTGCTTTAGTTTTATTGGTTTAGACATTGTTCCTTGGTTGAGGGGTTAGCATTTTCTTAATGTATGCGAGTCCTTTGACAAACTCCTATTAAGGGAGGTTAATTGTAGTTTGTAGACGTTTTTTATGAGTTTGAACAGAGTGAGTTTTGAGTCTTTCAACTTGTTTCTTTTAGAGGATTCTCCAGCCAAGTCGGAGAGGCAGCCCCTCAAATCCAATCTTTACTACCGTTATCTGGGATTTCAAGCAGCTATCTCAACAGAATCCCCTTCCTTTCCCACTTGGCCACTTCATCATTGCCTAACAAAACCTACCCACATCAAAATGCTCATCAATTATGAATATTTTACAAGTGAATTGCCTTCGGTTATCATGTAGATCAGGCTAAGACGGCATACCAAAAAAATTGTTCTTTTTTGTATTCCCTCAATTATTGTCTATTGAGCATTTCAATTTTGGAACGAAAGAGCTCACCAGCAAACCAGGGTATGACTCAAAATCTACAAATTTCCATGTTTTCCCAGTGAAAGGCTCTGGCAGCTGTATTTTGATAAACACCGTGAAATCAAAACCAAAAAAATAGGGAAAATGACACAGAGCATACTCCAATTAGCATAGGGAAACGAAGTGGGTAAGCGAGAGAGTGCATGAATACCTCAAAGTTAGGAGCTTTAAAGCCTAAGGAGCGCCTTTCTTTCTACTCCATTCTGGCATCTCGCACCACAAACTTCCTGGCCGGCACAGCGAACCTCTTCGTCGAGTTCAGCTGTAAAGAGTTTAAGAGTGGAAACTCGGATATGACTGTTTCCAAGTCGAGCGAAGGCATGAACCGGTAGCGGAGAATGTGCCCCTGAGACTGAGAGGGTGCCAAAATACGCTTCTGTCTGAATTGGGGGAAAGTTAATCTGCTAACTTGAAGATTCGTTAGCAGATACTAACTGATATCTAAATTATATGAACTAATATCCAAGTACTAAAGTATCTAGAGAGCACAGACTAGTATTAAAAGTTTGCTAATAGATATCCACCATGAATCAACTATTATCTCAAATTCACAAACTAATATCTAAACAACACAGAATAGTATCCAAACAACACATAATTAGTATCCAGATAACACATAAGAGTATCCAGATAACCCATAAGAGTATTCATATTGAATACTAGTTGGTTGATTATAGATATTAGTTGGTATCTGCTATCTGGATACTAGTTTGTGATGTTTTGAATACTAATTTGTGATATCTAGATACTTAGCATATTTGGATATTAGTTTATACATTTTGGATATTAGTTAGTATATACTAACGAATTTTCAAGTTAGCAGATTAACTAGGCTGATGAATTGGACGCCACCCCACCACAACAGTTGGAACTATGGCAGCTAGGGGTGATAAACAGTTAGTCGGTTTTAATCGATAACCGAATCGATAAAGTCGGTTAGTGGTTAACCGATAACCGCTACTTCCTTATTGATTTCGGTTTCGGTTAGTAGTATTTTGGTTAGTGGTTAACCGCGGTTAATCGATAAGAAAATCGATAACCGCCTACTAGTGTGATTACATGGTTTTTTACTTTGGCTAAGGGAAAAAGTTGTAAGATTCAAAACCAATCAAATTTGCTATTCCAAACATCCCAATTCTCACCTATTGCAAACAACCCTCCATCAAGAGTCTCAAATGTTTTTAAGAGTTAGAACTCGAAAGTCACCCCTCTCTAAATCCCCTTTGCACTCGACAGAGTGAACCTCAGGTTGATGACTATGGGCTAGATGAAGATCTTGGAGTAAATGATGACTATGGGCTAGATGAATTGGAGCGAGATCCTTGGATCATTTAGGTTGATGATTTGGAGATAATGAACTTGTTATTTGTGTCTTGTTGTGATTGTGACTTGTGGTTGAATTGTGGGCATGTAGACTTTATGTTGTGGAGTTGTGGTTGAATTGATTTAGATGACTTTATGGTGTGTGATTATAGAGGCTGAAATAAAAGCAGGTCACTCAAAATTGAGGGTGAATCATTAAAAAAGGTGGTTGAAATTCGATTTTGGGTGGTCGGTTTCTGAACGAAAACCGAGAAAGTGAAACAGAACCTGCGATTTCGATTAACCGCAAGGGAAAACCGAACCGATGTTTGCGATTTTCGGTTAACCGAAATCTCTGTCGGTTTCAGTTTCGGTTAGTGATCTTGGGACAATTTTGATTGCGGTTAACCGATATTTCGGTACGGTTAAACCAAAACTGCACCAACTAACACCCCTAATGGCAGCCATTGCCGAGTAGCGGTTAGTCAGTCTTTCCCTTTCATTTCTTTTGTCGTTTTCCGCTTCTTCTTCTTCTTCTTTTTCTTTTTTTGTGTGTGTTGTGTTGTGTTTGCCTCTCTATAGGGCTGTAGGCGTGAAACTGTAACTTTGAAGGGTCGGGTCCATGCATATTGGGCTTCACGGGCTTGCGTTTTAATTTTGAATCTATGGTGCCGGGCCGGCTTCATTTTGATGAATTTGGACCTAGCCTTCGACCAAAAGCCTATATGGATAGTTTTTTAGTTTCTACAGGTTGTGTGTTTACGGTTTAGTAGGGATGGCAAAAATATTCGTAACCGTGGATATCCGCCCGAATCCGACTTAATTGGGTAGGGTAAAACCCGAACCCGAAGGACTTTTAGTGGGTACGGGTAAAACTCGAACTCCAATGTTGCAGGTAATGGGTGGGCATGGTTTTCTCACTATCCAACCCGAACCCGCCCGATTATACACATGCATATGTATTTTTCTATAAATAATCATTATTTTCTCTAACATATTTTATATTTAGTATATAAATATAATATTTTCATGAAATTGTGTTGTTTTAATTAATTTTCTTCATTCTAGTGAATTATTGTCGTACTTTTCTTCTTATGTAATGTGAGAATATGTGTGAATATTAACATATTGATTGCAATTATGAAGAAAAATTATTACCCATGGATAACCGTGGATACCCGAAACCCGAACGGGTATGGGCATGGTTTTGGTTTTCTACCCGTTTCTTATGTGGGTATGGGTATGGGTAAAACCCGAACTACTTTGGGTAGGGTAACGGATATGCACTATCCGACCCCGACCCGACCCATTGCCATCCCTACTGTTTAGTGATGGTAATTTGAAACAGCCCATCGGAAATTACCCAATCTGACTTGCGATGAACGGGTATTAACTGTTATCAGACTTGCAGTAGAGTGGGATGGGGCAATGCATGAGTATCTGCTTTCCACTCGCTCTGATTTGTCTAGTCCTGCTTTTGGCTCATTCTATATCAATTCCTTACAATATTAATTCATTTTTCTCCTATTATGACTTTTCTCTTCAATCAGATAAACTCAATTATTCATTATATTATCATTATTTCTTATTGATAAAGTGTTTCACCCTCTAATAATTGCTAAGAGATTAAGACAATTCACACACACATCCAATTCATTAACCCAATATAACATTCGCCTGTGTTTTTGTTAGGTGGCTACTTCTAATGACTCTAAGGTAATTGTATTAATTGCACGTATTTATATTAAAGATTAACTATGTGCTGATTGTTATGTTTTATTCATTATATAATCATAAATTGATCAATTAACAAGAGATTTTATTATCGCGTACTAATGTTGTATTATATTGATTAACCTGGTTAACCAATAAATCAAATCGATTAAAATTTAATTTTGTTAATTTGGTTGTAGTATTAGTTTGATTAGTGTGGTTGTGATATTATATTTTATGATTAATATATATTAGATTTAATTGATTTGGTTATTTCTATAATAATATAATGACACCAATTAACCATTTGGACATCCTTAATTAGAATGCTTACTAGCATTGAGTTTGGCCAGTTTCCTGGAAGATTATCTTTTTGTTGAAATAACTTGTTGATATCTCACGGTTAGTGAAACACATGAAAGTGTTGTAGACATGGCAGTATATAACTGAATAATATTTTATATAGATTACTAATTCGGTAGAATATGAACATACCTTACGAGTTATGGTGGTACATGACACGTCACATATTATTGTGATACAGAAAATAGAAATTTTTGGATAATTTTTTAATTATGAGGAATATAAACTTAACTCATAAGTATATGATAATTATATCTCTATATATAAACTGATGTCATTTTGTAGACCACATAAAATTGAATTTTCTTGCAAAAAAAATATTTAAATTAAGAGATGAATGAAAGAAATCGGTAAACTACTCTTTCAATTTAGACCATTAGATCCACTAAGAAAAAATTTGAACGGTTATAAAAGGCATTGATGAGGATGTACATAAATTGAGTATATGTGAAACGACGAAGTGCCTATAGAGAAAGGGTAATTATAGTCCCAAATCCCGACAATTCTGTGACTGATGTATTCGAGTTTGCTTCAATTTTGGAAATTTCAACTAACAACACACAAGTGTGATTTGTGAAATTGAAATTTCCTCTAAAATGTAAACCAGACTAATTACTAAGCTCAACCGTCTGTAAAGCTAGAACACGTAATCAATCTGAAGGGTGATGCCATTTTTAATGTATATATCATATTGAATCGTAACCCAAATTAGCCCATAGCCTTAAGAAAATTACTCTATATACTAGTTTTTAAGAAACAAAATTAAAGAGATACTCAAATTGGTTGACCTAAACCCAAAATCAATAGTGACTTAAGCGTATAGCATCAAATCCTGATGGTGACGAACATGTTAATTCTGCCTTGCTGGATGAATTACCACTATATTTATATGCCCTTCTTTCTTCCCAGTTTGAAACCATTTTCTTTTGGGTGTTGAATAATTATTTTTAATCTGAGAAGTTTAAGTAGATAATAATTGTTGTCTCATTGGTGGATTGAAGAGAAGCATTCATCGCCTAACCCATCCCCTGCGCGAATAGGAAGACGTCGTGACACAATTTTTATGCATTGTTCACGTCAGAGCATCAAGTAGGTGACGTTACCCAAGCTGCCGACGCCTTATATACCTATCCCTCATGGTTTGATATCGATCCACCCGTAAATAAACTAAATTGGAGCGACCGAGTGAGTGATTAATGTCGGTGGATCGTTGATAAAAAAATTTCATATCTACACTTCTTCGGGTGGGTGATGAGTGGGTTGCGGGTCATTCGAATGATATACACTCCACTTTCGCATGATCAAGAGTTGTTTCTTGTTTATAGTATGAATAGCCAACATATTTCTTAACTGCACTACACACTGTCTGTCGACTTCTAGAGGCAAACAGTAAATAACTTTTTTTAATTGCTACTATGATTAATATGTTGTGTAATGGCTATTTAATACGGAGATGCAAATTACAAACTATTAATTGTATCAAATTCATAAAGGCGTAAATTTTATCTACCCAATTGGTTAATGGAGTAATAAATTATTTTATATATATGTCGAAGAAGTGAAATCCGTATAAGTAAAGAGGCAATTGGTCTCTAGGAATATGTGGTTAGTGACTTTGTTTTCTTTATCAATGAATTCTTCATTATAAGGGACCAAATCAAAAGTTGGTATGAGTGCTACAAAATTTTTATATGTCACAAGTACTAGACAGATCCATATGAGATAAAGCGGGAAGTGTCTAAATTGTAGTATCTTTCTAATTTTATGGGTTAACCTTCCACCGAACCGCATCCACTCACTACTCATCCAACCCAATCCGAAGCAGAATGTGGGTTGATAGCGGGTCATTATCGTACCAACTCGTTAATAAACGAGTGAGTCAATTTGAGACCAAAATCCACTCAACTCACCTATTGTCCACCCCTAAGGAAAGAAAGGGAAGTTGAGGAGAAGCATGTAGAATTACTTGTGTGGTCTGGTGATGTAGAAGTGACGTCATTGTTTGAAAATGTCGGGCTGGATGAGCACAATTCACAATTAAGGCCCAGCAAGTAGCTGCCTTGTATGTCCTTATCTGATCGGGACGCGCAGTGTAATTATTATTATTTTTTATTGCTAATCAGCATAATTATTTATAATAATAGTGGTTAGCATTGATTACTTCCATTTTTTTTTTTGAAAATATAATAATAAGTAATAGAACAGTGTGTCAGTGTTTACGTATGGGGATAAAGATCCGTGCTTAAGACATCTGAACACGTATAAGTAAATTATTAGTAATTAGTAATTCTAATTAGAGATGATTCAGTTATCTGCACAATTGCTTGGATGGTTGGCTAACTGGTGGGTGGAGAAAAATAGCCGCACACATCCATCGAGTTGATTCTCTGCAGGATTGTCTGGTTGGAGGTCTCATGTCGTCATTTTTCCATTTGGTTTGTAATGCTCGTATTTTTCGGTTTTTCTATTCACCTAACCCTATTTTTGGAATTCTAAGTTGAACATTTGAATATTGATATTATATAAGTGTGTATATGTTGGATCCAAGTACGACCAGGGGCGGAGCTACATTCAACCTAGCCCCCCCCCCCCTCGGGATTGGTCCCGGCCCCTAGGATCATAAGGATATTTAGTACAAATTTTATAAGTAGAAATTCGTTCTATAAATTTCGTTATGAAATAGTCATGTGGTCTAATGGTAGCCAAGCTTGACTTGTATTTTGAAGCACACGGGTTCGATCCATTTTGACCACATATATTTTGTTTAATTATTTTCGGCCTTCCCGGTCTCGAAATCCTGGTTCCGTCCCTGAGTACGACACGTTATTTTTGTGTAATTTATATGTTATTACTCAAATGACAGATGGGATTTAATATAATTTATAAATGTATAAACAATTAATAGAATGATTTTTTCATATATTCAACCTAAAATGAGTTAAAACGGAAGGACCATTAACGCTCAATCCACTTGCTCGACCGAATCAATTGCTAACGGGCTAAACCGAGCTTCTTAGCTTAACTTCACCCCTCTTCTTCTTCTCAAATTCCTTTTTATGATTTTCCTTTCTTTTTTCCCTTGGAAGAATCTTGTGAGTTTACACGTCCAATTGTGATGCCTCGGGGACTCTGGCCCTTTCTGTGCCGGAAATGAAGGGTGCATCACTTCCAAGTTCAAACCCTTTTAATATTAATATAAGAGGTTCTGAGGAGCTACATTTCCCAACCACATTGGTAGTAGTTACCAACTTTTTTTTTGACAAAGGGAATACTTGCATTGCACTTTGAATGATCAATTACAAGAGAGCCAACAAAGCAAACCAAAAATAGAACAAGGACAGAAAAACAGAAGCACAAAGATGCTCAATCTGAGCTTCAGAAATACAACAAGAAGAGCACAAAACTCAGAAGAAGTCATCCACCAAATGATCTGAAACACTTGAACTAGAAGCAGTAAACACTGAAAGCTCTCTTGCAATCAAAACAAACGAAGTAGCACCAAGCGCAATCAGCTCGTCCGATTCGACCGAGTCCATGACGATTGAACACAATGTCATTAGCCGCCTCCTGGGAGTCGCTCAGAGACGCTCAACACAGTGAATCACGGGTGAGAGATTACATGGCGGTGGACAGAGATGAGGATCGAAATGCTCCGAGCTGAAGAGGCAGGGGAAGACGAGGCTCCAATACTTGGTCAAGGGAAGCAGAAGAACCCAGATCCCCAGATCAAAGAACTGAACCCACGAGCAGCAAGGCTAGATTCTGCATTCCATCCTCCATCGGCCACCAAGATGCAGAACAACCACCTGGGAAGAACGAAGGGGAAAACCAGAGAATCGATTCACCACAAAAGCTAATAAACCGACCATCATGAGGGAAGACCCAAGATGCATAGCCCAGCCCCAAAGGAGAGCAAATCCCAACAAAAACCCCTAGAACAGGGGAGCGAAATGCCAAGAATGGCTTGAAAAGCTTGAAAGCATGAAAAGCAGAGTGAAAAAACATAGAAATCAAAGACAAGCAAAAAAAGGGGAGCAGGAAGGAAGGAAAAAGGATGGGCTACCGCCGGTCACCAAGGGATGCCGGCGGCAGCCCTGGGGAGTTTCACGGAGAGGGGAAAGGTAGAGAGGGATGAGAGCAAAAATTTGAAATAAAGTTAGAGAGAGGACAATATGATTACAGATTCATTTGGAGTTTGTTCAGATTAGTCCCTAAGGTTGGTCCTAGATCTTCACGGATCTGATTCGGCTAGATTCGACGCAAACGGACTGTGTCAGTTTGTTTACATGATCAAATTAGGATTGAGTCATCTTTTGCCCATTTAAGGGTCGGGTAAGGGTCATTTCAGACACTTTGTAATTGGGCTGATTATAAGCTAAAACCATTCCTTCTAATTTCACAATTAGACAATGGCAATAAAATCATTGATGCATTGATAATACCATCTAAATGAAACCATAAAATTAAAAAGCTATTTAGGTGAATTATATAAAGATCCCTCATATAAACAACCACATATTCTTTTCAACTTTCACGATTTCTCTACTTCATCCTTTTTGTTTGAAAATTGCTGAGCTTAACAACCTTGGATTCTTTTCAAACGGTAGAATTTGTCTATTTAAAGTCATTGACATTATATTACTCGTAACTTGTTAAGATGCTACAACCAAATAGTATACAATAAAAGCATAAAACCCTAACTTGTCATCAGTACCAAATGAGTAACAATGATGTCATATAAAGAGTTGTGTAAAGAATATAACGCGGCGAATAAAAATCGTACCAACACGTATAAATTATGTAATTTATGTATGAAATATAAATACGTAAATCTTTATGAAGGAGTAAAACAACACCGTCAATATTGATGATGTTCGCCACCATGTTGTCACCTCGTGCTTGATGGATGGTCTTGCTTCGATAGTGATAATGTCTCAAATGACTATGATTTAAAAATATCATATTCTTTTTCAGGACGATGATTATTCATGGTATCCCAAAATCACAGGAACGAGAAATAGAGTCGAAAAAGCCTCACTCACACCGAGACAACATATTTAAGTTTTAAAATTAAATATGGAAATAAGGATGACTTTACCACAATCTACCCCAAACCCTACTCATTGTCATCCATATTGTGAAGCAACATTCGCTCTGTTTGGCAACAAGGGGGGTGCAAATTGCAGGAGGGTGCAAGTTGAGGGATAAATTGTTGGGGGGTGCAAATTGCTGGGGGGTGTAAGTGGAGGGGTAAATTGTTGTTTGGATGAAAAAGTAGGGGGGTGCAAATAGAGTGAAAAGTAAGTAATTATATTATTTTAAAATAAATTTTAAAAATAAATTTTAGATAACAAAATAGATTTTAAAATTTTAAAATATTATCATAAAATAATAAAATAAATATTATTATATAATAATAAATATACTTTAATAAAAATAGTTATTATATAATAATGCTGAAATAATAATTAATTATGACAATTGTATAATCATTGATCGAGCGATCTCAAAACTCGAAGCTCAACTTGTAACTGGTCATCCTATATAGGGTTTTCGTGTCTAGTTTAATTTTAAATTGTCAAACTTAGTCAAACATGTTCGAATTTGTAAGTTTTAACTATTTATTCAAATAAACTGAGTTAACCAAACAATTTCTCTCTATCTTTTTCACAAACACCTCGTATCTCTAATTTTCAATGCAAATTCGATTCAACCAAGAGATCTAGATTTGACTTGACGAACATTGATAAACTTGTTTCCCGAGTCAAATGGTCAACCCCGAATAATGTTTACATTAATGATATTTATAAAAAGAAGAAATTGATAATATTAATTATTATATAATTATATATAACACAATTAGAAAAACAAAATTCCATAATTCCCCCTCCCCCTCTCTTCCTTCCTTCCCTTGCACCCCAATTTGGGGGGTAAGCCGAAACAGTAAATTTGCACTCCCGTTTTGCACCCCCCTACTGTTCCAAATTAACCAAACAGGTGCAAATGTGTTGGAAACTGTATTTACCCCTCACATTTGCACCCTCCTCCCATTTACCCCTCTTCCCAAACAGAGTGTAACATTACTGACCGAGGGAGGTAAAGATAGATAGTTACTAATTTGCTAAGTTGTCAAATACTAATGTCATCATCCTATGCGTCTTATCTCCTAACAATGAATTTCTTTATAAAGAACCAACCCTAAATCCAACCAAATAAAATATTGGTGTAACCAATGGAATAATTAAATATGGCCAATTTCCCTTAGGAAGTTCCAACTTCACTGAAGAACTCTTATATATGTTTATCTTTGCAACAACCAATTGCAGACTTTCAGGGTTTCCTCACTCAACAACCAACTGCCAATGGTGTTCAACTTGAAGTCTCAAAATTCCTTCCACCTGCAATTTTCTTTTCCTACAACCTGAAAATAGAAGTGGTTAGAGTCACTCCTTGACTTGACACACACAGATATATATATAAGAGAAGCAGCAGCAGAAAGGGTCATCCTGAAAACCATGAAGAGGAAAAGAGAAATGGAGAAAGCCTCAGAGCTGAAATCTGCAGTTGAGGAGCTTTCATTAATGGCCATCATAATCAAACCTGATCACCATCACCACCATGACCCTAATCATGATAATGATGGTGATGATGGCCATAACTGCAGTGATGGCCATCCTGCAGCTACAATACCCACAAGGCCTTTTCTCCATGTCTGCAGCTTGGTCGTCCAGATTCTTGGTCAGCTCCCCTTTGCACTTCTTCTCTCTTAGTTTTCATTGTCTCCTTTCCTATGCTTATGCTGACTTCAAAGTTCTGTTTTTTATCTCTTCTGGATATGGCTGAAGATAAGATTGGCCCAACAATGGCTGTCCTTAGACAAGACATTATTCATAATATACAGGTGAGAGTACTTCTGGATCATCTCTAGAACAGTAACTTTCTGTCACCATCTGCTAAAAAAGACCCATCAATCAATATTAAAGGCATTCCTGTTTCTCTCTTTGGATTCTTCCTAGTAAATGCCATTATTAATCCATAAGGTCATTTTCTTGATTCATTTGTGGGGACATGATGTTCCCAAAAAATCTCAACTCTTCCTTTGTTTTTTGTTATGTTTGCTAGAGACTGGAGGCCCAATTTGATGTTGATCCTTCACTCTACTCAAACTTGGTTGAGATCTTGAAGAAAGAATCAAAGGAAGGCAGTTCCAGAAAGAGAGACAGTTGTAGCAAAGCCCTTCTCTGGCTTACAAGGTAAGCAGTAATCAGCATGACACTTCTTTTACTTGAAGAAATTAATACTGAACGTTTCAGTATATAGAATATTATCTTGAAAGTTGAAACTATCTAGAAAGATAAACATGGAAGCTAGTTATATCAGTTCTTTAATGGTTTTGAGCTGACACAAGTTAAAAGGTCAATGTCAATGGCTCTATTTTTATGTATTAAACAAAACCAAGTAACCATGTTCCATGCTGCCAAAGTTGTTGGCTTGTCTAATGGCTGACATATTAAAGAGAAAGGGAATTAAATTAATACTTCTTTGATTCTATGTTCTTTATTTGATAACCAGTCTGGCTTATTGTAATATCAGGATTCAGAATCCAGGCTTTCCTGATTGGAAAGTTTCCAAGTCTCTTGGTTCATGTGTACAAGAGAGGCACTTGCACATAAAATAAAGCCAAGTCTTATCAACAACAGCATAGGACTATCCAAAGAGTTTTCCTAGAAGTTATCTGCTAAGCTGTGATGTTGATGAAATCCATATATTAATGCTTTGGTTTTACCCCCTGCAGATCTTTGGATTTCATGTGCAGTTTGTTGCAAAAGCTGGCTAAGGATCTTAACCAGGACATGGAGCAAGCTGTGGAAGAGTGTTACAACACCAGTTTGAAACTGTGGCACGGATGGATTTCGTCAGCTGCATTCAAAGTAAAAATCACAATTCTATGACCATTCTGTTTTCAAACACAGCAGCTTTATAAGCAGTAGATTGAACAAAATTTCCTACTCTCTAGGTGGCTCTCAAACTTGTGCCGGACAACACAACCTTCGTCGGCCTTCTGAAGCCGAAAGATGAAGCAAATGATGAAATCTTGAAAGAGGATATGCAGGCCTTGATCTCATTGCTTGTACCTATTCTACAAGACATCCATGCTACTCTGGTAATTAAGCTCATGTTCTCCATATTTTTATTATCATTTTTACCCTCCATCTTTCGTTTAGCAATGTTCACATGATTTATCTAATGTTGCAGAGGTTGTATGGACTGGACAGACTGAAGGCCACTTAAAGAAGAGATAATAAAGAAGGATGTACACAAGTTCCCCTGCTCCACTAGAAGTATAGTTACAATATGTTTTCCCCACCTTTCTGAGTGATGGTGCTTTCTTTTCACTTGCATGTACATATTTTGTCCCAAGGAAAAATCACCTCTTTGTAACATAAGAGAGATGTAACAGAAAAGGGGAACTTATATATGAAAGAGAATCTCTTGTACAGAGGAAATCGCTTCTGCTTCACCAACTTCACAGTTATGCTTTGAATAAAAAATTTCACAGATCTGATGAGGGTACAGTAACTAGTATTGCACTTTTTGTATTACTAGCTCAAAAACTTTTCAGTTCTAACATATGACTTCCGCCACAACTGTATTATGATCTCTCCTACTCAAACCTTCTTCATTAACTTGACAAGTTAGATATCGATCAACTCAAAATATAAGTGTTTCAAGGAGCTGGTGGAGTTAGATGAATGCTTGAAAAAATTCTCTCTTGATCTATGCCAAGATTAGGGCCCTTAGAGCCAAACGAGCGTTCCGGTGGGTCATGGGTTGCAATGAGTGCAGCAACTAGACCAGCATTACTAGCTATGGTTGGCTCGGTGAACCATGGCTTGGTCCGGTCATCTGAGAACTTGTCAGACTTGTCTGGTCCTGCAACCATTGCTCCGAAGAGCGTGTTTGGATTTGGTTCTTTTTTCACCTTCCATTGCTCACCCTCAAGGCAACTGTACTTTTTGCCATCCTTTGGGATTGATGCCGCCCGATGATGGACATGGGTCGGATACTTCTTCCCGAACCCAACCAAGTAGCTCATCTTCATTGGATTCTCTCCAAGAATGTACCTCACCTGCAGAAACAAAAGCTAAGGCATTAAATAAAATTCAACTGCTTTCAACTTGATGTACTTCGGCTGCTTATTGTTGGTTACCTGTGAAGTGGAGAAGCTCCTCATGGTCTGAAGAGAGAAACCATCTTTACCACAAGTGACACTAGATTGAAGCCCGAGTTCAAGGTAGTCACTGTATAGTTTGGTCAGGAAAGATGCTGTTGCTGCATACTGAATTGGTGGGCTTCCATCAGGCATTAACACAATCAATCCACCTATAAATATCAGTAACTTGCATCATAAGCAAATGAAAGAATCTTCTAAAAGGGGGGAAAAGCAAATGAAAGATAGCTTTTGAACCATTCATTGCTATTAATATGCAAATGGTAGTCACATTACCAGGTGACTTATGGAAGTGTTTATCAGAAAGATAAGAACAGATCATGGCTTCAGTCATGTCTGATGCTGCCTTGAATCCAATCTCGAAAGGGAATCCAAGATCCCGGAAGAACCTAAGTCTTGTCAGTAAAATCTGCACCAAACAAAATGTTAAAGGCTTTGTTTGCTTTGGCCCAATAACCATGCACATCATTAAGCACATGAAAAGATAGAGTAAGATCTTAGTTAAATCAAAGAAACTTACACCAGTGGCAACGACCTTGTTGTTCCAATAAAAAACACCTTGCTCCTTCGGATCCTGCTGTTTGATCGCTGCACTAAAATTTAGAGCAGCATACTCAAGAAACGTGGTGTTTCCAGTAGCAAAAAACAGCCAAGTTCCACCCCAAACAAGCTCATCCTGGAAACCAGACGAATTGTAAACTCTGCTGGCCTCTCCACCACAAGCCTTGACACTAGTATATGTAGTCTGGCCTTTCTTAGTTGCAGCGACATACAGGCTCTCTGCTGCTTGAACTAACTCATTTGAGTAATCCTTCTCATCCCGAAACACGATTGATGCTGCTGACAATGCTGCCACAACTTCTCCAGCCAGGTCAGCAGCCGTCGTTCCATCACAGGCAAACACCGGCCTAGGATAGCTCATGTCTTCAGGTTTCTCCCAACAGCTTAGATCAGTAAAAGGGTTAGTCCCATTTCCAGTGCTACCCACCTGAGAAAAACCAAAAGTAACGAAGTTCAATACATAAGTCCATAGTAATAGAAATGATTCAAAAGAATGGCACTTTTTTGCTTTAGCTACCTGTGAGTACAAGGTAACTGGTTCTTTAGTAGAATTTGACCTCACTGAAGCCTTGAGCAAGTAATCAGTCCCCCACTTAATTATATCCTTGACATGATCAAGCTCATTGATATCATCAAACTTCTCATGATACTCAATCACACTCCAGCTCAACAATGTGACTGTGTAAGCAGTTGGGAAACTGAACTTTATGTTGTTTCCTGAATCATAGAACCCTCCTTTCAAATCCACCGGTGGATTCCTAGAGTTCCCGTCTTCCATCCCCGAAATCCCTCGAAACTTCACCGGACTAGTAGTCGGATAACGCCCAGCTGCACCAAAGATCAAAACTTTGTCACAAACCCATTAATCAAAACAAATGAAACGACGAGATTAAAAGTACAGAACAATCACATTTCTGGGCGTCGAAGAACGTGAGAGAGTGGGCAACAGCGAGAGTGAAGTTCATGGGGGAAGTTTTGTGGCGGTGGGCTTGAGGCAGGAAATGGAGTAGCAAAGGAAGCCCTATGGCGACAAGGACCAGGAGGCCCAAGATGATGAGGAAGCGTTTGAAGTAAGGCTTATCGGAGACGACCAATTCGAATTCATAGGATTTGGAGTAGTTAGAAGGGATTGAATGGTACGCATTCTCCGAGCGTGGGACGAGGTTGAAATCGAGCTCGATGGAGTTCCACTGGCTTGCCGATGGCAGGATTCTGCTCGCTGCTGGCACCGTGTGGACGAATGGGATTCGGGTCCGGTCGATTTCTGAAACCTCGGCGTTTGAGTTCATTGGAGAGGAATCCATTGAATATGGTGAAGGTGAAGCTGCAGCGGCCATTTGGGTGGGAAATTGGAAAAGAAGTTTTCTGTTTCAGAGCTCTGGAAGTGGGTAGTTTACTAGAAGGTGTGTAGGGTAAAAGGAACTTCTGCCATTTCTGGGGAAAATGGTGAAAAAAGTTGAAGTCTTTGTGTGAACAGAGGAGGAGGGAGTATGGGAAATGGCCATTGGAGGTGTTTGGTGGAAGGAGGGAGCCACTAACTTGAACGGAGAGTGCGATGAAGGAGTTACAAATTCTAGCCGTCCTGGGAATCGTGAATAGGAATAACAAACAAAGGGTTGAGTGTGAAAGCGATGCATTGGGCCGGTCGCCGGCGCCTCGCTCGCCAGGCTGCCAGAACAAGAACGAGTCGGCATTCTGCAACGGCGACATTGGGAAGTGGATTTGCTGGCGGGTAAGCTAAGGACTCCTTTGGAGAAAAGAAATTCAATCATAAATTCAGCAAAAAAAAAAAAAAAAATGTCTTTTGTTTTGTTTTTGTATTATGAAATTATTTTAGAGATTTCAAAAATCAATCTTAGAGAGATTTCGTACCTTGATATGAGAATTTTTTTCTCTTACTTTCTTATTTATCCCGTTAAATATTATTATCAATAAATTTTTACTACTTTTTGTGTCGCTCTATTATTTTGATTAACTATAAACATGTTAGTTGATAAGAAAAGATTATATTTTTTTATTGAATGTTAACAATCGCAGTTACCAAATGATGAAAATTTAAAAATCTCTTTTCAACAATTCGCGGAATCAAAATCTTGGTATTTTTTACAATTTAGAGATTAACACCCCAATTCTCCAATCGAGGTTATGTTTGTTATACTTTTGTTGTTTTTGTATTTACAGTAGAGCTATGACAACATAGATATAACCACAAGCAACATAAAAAAAGAAACCATAAACATGTGTAGTTGTTAATTATAATAAATTTTGGAAGTTGATAGAAACATAATTGTGTTTAGTTACTTCTTTAGACCCCATCTAATATAAATGTTGAGAGAAAAACAAAAGCACAAAATAACGGGAGCAATAATTTAACATGAAAATTTATGGAATTTTGAAAAAGAGAAAATTATGAAAGTAATATTGACTATGAGTTTCAGGAATGAATTATGCGAAAATGAAGAGTAAAAAATTATCATCCATCCACTACACTTTAGAAGTACTTGATTATGCAAATAACTATGTAAATAACCTAATCAAGCCTTTGTTTTAATCAATAACTTACCATCAATGTTAGTGGTATTAGTAATCCAATATTTTTTTGACCTCCAAACCCCCAATACTATTAATTACACTTTCTACCATCAATCCACAAGCCAATAAATTTATCTTTTGGTTTCTCCATTTTGCCTAGATGGATACAAGGTTTATTAAATGAAATTGCTAAATTTTATATGACAATTATAGTTACTAGAAAAAGTGTTAGCTTTCCAATAACATATTTGCTTTTGAAACTAGATTTTTTGTCAGTAATTTTCATACAACTGTTGAGTCATGAATGGACACTTAAGCAATGAAATGAATAACCGACCTTGGTTTCATTTTGCAAATGACTAATTTCTTAAAGACATCAAAAGAGACATTTTGATAGTTCGAAAAATCAATGTAATTTTAGAATATTTTCACAATATATGAATTATTAAATTCATAATGTGTCATTGTTAAAAAGTTATTTATGATGATATTTTCAATGGACCTCCCTTGAATGAGGTGGCTATTAGAGTTTGGTGGGTTGAGTCTGCATAGGTTGGGCCTGAAGATCCAATCACAGTTGGGCCTCTTAGGCCTCAAAACCAGATAATCAGGATCGTCTTCGGTCAATGATTTAAAAATCAAGGAAAGGAAAAGAGAGAAGAAGAAGAAGAACAAATTTTAACAGTCTGAAATCTGAATTCTCGTTCTTCTGTATCTTCTTTTTCAGAAGCCAATTTCAAAGCGTAAATCCATCGCAATCGCTGAAAGCAGGAAACTTTCTTGTTTTCCGGGGGTGAGTTTTTCTATTACTCTCTCTCACTGACCTTCGTCTCCCTCCTCCTGATCGCTCTTCCCCATTTTCCCCCTTATTCAACCTTGAACTCTTTTTTCACTCCAGTTCCGATTCCCAGTGGATTTAGCTGCGAATTTTTTTGGATTTCTGATCTGGGTCAGATTGAAAATCGCTCCGCCAATTCGAAAGTTTCGACCTTTTGATGGTTTGAATCGGTATCGAGATTCTCGTGCTCTTAGCCTCATGATCCCATTGCTTCGTCTTTCATTGTGCATTGCTCAATCATTCGCATCTGGGTAATGCTTGATCTCGGCCAGTATTGCAGCTCGAGAGCTGGATTTCCATTATCATGAACATTTATGCCAACAGCCCCAAGTCTTTCAATGCATACCCAAGGGGCGATTTTGTTGATCTAGAATCAGCCGCAGTGAAAAGGCCCCGCAAGTCCAAGAGTTCTTCCTCTCTTCTCCCTTTCAGGATGTTCAAATCTTTAGGAAATCGCCTCCAGTACTATTACAAACTGCATCCCTTGCGGGTGCTCTTCATTTCCTTGTCGTTTGGGGTGTCAGTTCTCGTCATTTTGTCCGTTTACGAGAGCCACTTCAGATCAATGAGTTATTATCAGAGTTTGGATTTGGAACCAAATGATTATCCATATGCCGATCTGAAGAATCTTGTAATGGTTGCGGGGCATTCTATTTATACTAGTAGTAGTTGTGGTGGTGCTGATAAGGAAGATTCTTGGTTTCTGGAGCCTTACCAGAAGCATCCAGGTCAAGCTGCTACCTTCCTGGCTCACATACAAGTAGGGGTTGAGAATGTGGCGAAGGATAAAAACGCTTTGCTTTTGTTCAGTGGTGGTGAAACGAGGAAAAATGCCGGGCCAAGGAGTGAAGCACAGAGTTACTGGGCTGTTGCTGAATCGAAAGGGTGGTTTGGTGAGTTTTTGCACTTCATTAACATTGTTTTGAATCTGATTTCCAAGATATTGTTTACTTTCTTGTGCTTATATGCACTCCACAGCTGACTATGGCTATGGCCATTTCAATCATCTAGGAAGAAGTAATTAGGGCCAACTGCCAAGGGACCCTTCTTCTAAACGTCTAGTTATGCTGCCCTTAGGTGGTCTGGAACCTCTATTCAGCTTTTATGTCCTAGTCATTGTTTAGCAGTCTATATATCGTCATGCACTGTAAATGGTTTCTCCATTCCATCCAAATAGATTGCCTTTGAGAATTTAGTTGTGAACTTCTTTCTGGTGCTGAGGATCTCTGACTCCTGACTCGTAGGAAACCTTCTTTTTGTCAACTCTATTTGGATTGATTACGACAATATTATTGAAATTGTACTTAGCAAGTTTACCCAACAGTTGGTATATGTGCTAGTTCGTAATATGTTCAATGAGGGTGATTCCTTCCCTTTCAAGTTAAAGACAGCCTACCGGTACTTAATCATAGGTTACACTAGAAGCTTTTTCATGTGTCTTCAGGTTCTCTGATGATACTTTCCAGAATCAGTCTATATAATGCTTTAGGATTCTCAATTGATGAACTTCTTCTTGATATAGCTCAAGAGGCTCTAGTAGTTTTTCCAAGCAGCAGGATTTGTGCTATGCTGCTTTACTATGTAGGCTGACCTGTTATAATCAAGTTATACTGCACTGACTTGACTGTTATTGAAGTTTTGCATTAACCAAGCACTTAACATGCTCTGCCCACTTTTCTTAGTGTTGTGAACGAATTTGATTGGTTTAAAGGATCCAAGATCTTGATCTGAACCCTTTGATGGTCACAGGTAATGAAGCCAGTGTGAAATGGAGGACACTGACTGAAGAACATGCAAGAGACAGCTTTGAAAACCTTCTCTTCAGTGTATGCCGGTTCAGAGAGCTTACTGGAACTTATCCTCAAAATATAACGGTATGTGCACAGTGCATCGCACTTAACACTTCTGCTTTTGTCACTTAAAAAGGTTACAATTTTCTTTCTGAGGTAGAACAATACCAAATGGCAAGATGCCTGCTGGCAGTGTATTTGGAATGCCGATATGTAGCTTTAGAAACAAAACAATAGAGACAAGTAGTTCATTGCATGTGCTCGTGCTAAGGGTGAGCATGGAGTCAGTTCAGTTCAAACTGCGTCTGATTGCAAACATCCAAACTGCAAGACAACCTATATTTCGCAGGGGGGACACTCTGTAAGTCCATTTGGCGCAGCTTGACCATACTGAAACTTACACTCAGTGCAGTTTGGCTGCGAACCACAGGGGAAATGGACTACTAGAAAAAGGAAATTGCGGTCATTTCAGTAGTGTTGGTTGTAGGAACAGAAAAGGTTGCCCGTATCCCTAGCTTGTGCCATATATAACCTTTTGTTACTATATTGATGCAGGTAGTAAGTTATGATTTCAAGGAGGAGAGATTTGCTCAACTGCATCGTTCAGCAATTCGGTTCCCAGAGTCAAATTTCTTCTACTCTGGCACCCCAGCCTCGCCAGCAGCCAAAGAAGCAGCTGCAAAAGGCGAGGCATTAGTAAGGTCACAGTTTCTAGAAGATCCATATGGATGCCGAGGTTCACTGTGGCGTAAGAAGCTCGGTCGTGATCCCTTCCATCGGTCTATCCCATACCCGAATGGCTGCCCAGAAATCGATGGCTTATTCAAATACTGTGGACAAACTCTCTATCCAGGTTCTCTTCCATGGGATTAACCTGGAAAAATGTGGTCTTTAATTATTCATATAGAGGGTAAAGCTAAAGCTTTTAAAACGGCACATGATCTCAGTAGATAATATACACTTAGCTTGTTCTCTGCTGCCCCCATCCTTCATAGTGTTGATAATATATCGTCATCTCACAACATATTCTATACAGAGAAAAATAAGTCCAAATTCGTTCTCTGCCTTTCTTGTAGCAATTATGAACTATGATCAGGATTCTTGTAGTGACAATTACCTTTATGTTACTGTATTTGGCTGAAGTACTGCAAATTTAACAGATAGCATTCATCTTAATGAAATGAAAGTCCAATTTTGGCTTATGATTTGAGCTTTGCAATGGCTGCTAGTATTGGGTTGGTCTATGGATGAACTTCTACAGAAGAGTTCAAATTCAGGGAGACCCCTCTGTTTTATTTTAGTGCAGGACCATTTCCTTGAGGAATAATAGCAAAATACTGATGCAAAAGAATCAGTTTGGTCTTCAAAATGCAGTGAAAGAAAATGATAAAAAGCCTTAGCAATTGAACAAGAAATGATACAGTAAAGGATTATCAAAGAAAATGGTACAACAATTTGGCAAATCAAGAGTCTATGTTATTCCCCCCATTGAACTATGCATCTCAGACTTTCTCCATAGTTGCAAAGAGTGACTACCAACTCCCTACAATTCTTGCCCACTATCCAGTGCCCTTCATCACAGGGCAGCCAGAACCAGAACCCTCAGCCAGCATCGCCATGGCAGCCTCCCCTCCGCCTTTAAGAACGCCGGCGAGCAACTCCCCACGATCCATGAAGAACTCAATCTTCACAATCTTCATGTGTTCATCAACCTCAAACACCCCAATTCCAAAAACCTCAATCTTCTCCCCGGTCGGAGGGTGGCCTTTGAAAGGACCCTCCATGTAGCCCCAGTGCCTGAACTTGAACGCGATCACCGGTGGGCCCGAGTACAGCTGGAGAATCTCCAGAGCGAACCCGCGAGGGAACACAGTCGTGAACGTCGAGTGAGATGTCACCGCGGTCTCCTCTGCAGGGTTGTAAACCCGTAGCTTTTCTGGTAACGACGTCTGGAGGAAGAAATTGTAGCTGCCTTGAAGCTTCCCTGTTTCTTCCAGGTTGGTGGCTTTCCTACCGTTCACGCTCAGAGTGATCCTCTCGGCGTTCATCGACTTGTAATCGGCTGGGTTCACCTTGTGCATGATCTCCATTTCGTACGTCTTCACCAGGTTCTGCACCTTCTCTTCCAGGGATCCTGCTGGCCATACCTGCACAGATTTGGTCCAAGAAACGAAATAACGGTATAAGATGCAGATTCAAAGCGCTTTCCAAACAATTTCGATCCATTCGAACGAACTATTCTCGTGTTTGAATCATCATGACTCCACCCCGAACATTAACGACTCTGAGTTATTGGAAGTAAACAGAATCGCAACGTGTAGCGAAAACGTGGTTACTCTTAGAACGAACTAGTCTCGTGTGTTTGCTTACCTGAGTTCTGCCATCTTCGAAGAGCTTGTCGACGACTTCGAAGCTTGGAGGGGCACCAAACCTCCACACAGTGTTCTTCTCGCCTTCACCATACAAGAAATCTCTGTACTTGTCGCTTCTGTACTCCGAAACTCCCATTTTTCTCCCGTCTTTCTTATTCTGCTCGTTATGGTTTTTGGATTTGCAAGGTGGGAGTTTATATAGCAAGCTAAGAAGCTGTTTACTATTCAACGTGACTGGAGGAGGGAGGATGAACATTTCCAAAGATCTGACCAGACCCAATTAGGAATGGCAATGGGGCAGGTCCGGGGCGGGTTTCTTGGTACCCAGACCCGCCCCATGGCAGGGCGGGTCCAGGTCGGGTAATTGATCACTGGTCACGGGTCGGGGCAGGTCGACCCAATGGGTATGCAATTTATAGGAAAAACATTAGAAATATTCGTTATTTTTATTATAAAACTAAGAAAACAAACAATATTATGACAATTGTAGTTAAATTATTGGAGAAATTGAGGTTTTCACTAATTTACAACTTTATTATAGCTAAAATATGATGCAATAAAAGGAAAATTCAAAGTAATTTGACTAAAATTTCATGTAATTTAGATAAGAACGGGTCAAGAATGGGGCGGGTCAGGGCAGGTCGGGTCGATAAGACTACCCATGCCCGCCTCGCCCCGCCTACGGGGCGGGTCGGACCCGCCCCAAAACAGTTCAAACAGGTCGGGTAAAACGGGTCAGGTCGAAATTGCCATCCCTAGACCCAATATTCTAACGACTCGTGTCCTTTTTGGGGAATCTTTAATGAATATATTGAATTTGACTATGGTTGGTGATTTGAATTGATCATTATAGGAGGATATATGGAGAACTTAAGAGGGGAAATTCTTTTGGTTCTCTCCTTGGTTGGTGAAGGTCCCCTGGCCTGATTGTAGGGGAGGTGTGTCCTTTTGTGCATATTTGTCATTTGATTAGGGTAAGGATTAGTTATTTTATTTTGCTAAATAGGTACATTGATTGTTATTATTTTATGAAAGGAAAAATATATTGGAGAGATTTGCGAAATGGTATAGCAGGTTGTACCGGAAAAGTTAGCGGTAGGGGTATGTAGGGGATAATACGAGTCCAATCCCCATCTCTGAAACCCTAAGCTCGATCGAATCCCGCAACTCTCCTCGTCGTTCTGGTCAACAAGCTCCCCCGCCATCCCAATCCTACGAACATCCGCCCCACCCTCCCAAATTAGATAGTCGATACCCTGAATTCGGATTCGGACCTCCGCTATGAAGGTTCTCAGTGAATCGAAGATGGTGGGAAAGGTTCCGATTGAGGCAATTTTAGAGATCCCTGAAGTTCATGGAGGATTGAGGCGGTGAATGTAGGGGATAATACGAGTGCGACGATGAAGAAGGAGAAGGCAGCGTTGGCGAAAGGGAAGGGGAAAAATAGAATACCGGACGAGAGAGATCGGAGAGAGAGGGTAGCGGAGAGAACGACTGTCACCGCCGCGTCGCGGCAGAAGGGAGAAGAGATTGCGCAGACAGGGACTGCGGGACGCTTGTTCAGACGCCTTCATAGCTCGCCGTTGCTTTTTCCGGTCGCCTCCTTTTTCGTCCTCTGGCGCTCAATCGTCGTTTAGGGGGAAATCGAGAGTCGGAGAGTCGAAGAGAGGCATTTCCGCCACTGGTTCTTCGTCGTTGCCGCCACCGAATTCATCGTCTCCACACCGTTTCTTTCGCTAATCGACGAACAGCTGCGACTTCGAGAGAGAGAGAGAGAGAGAGAGAGGGAGAGTCGTAAAGAAACTGTAACGCTGTTAATTATTTATTTTTTATTTTTTTATTTTTTTAAATTGACATGTCATTAATTTAACGGTCCAGTCAGTAATTCTGTTTGCCACGTCATCAAAAAACTGACAGAGTTAACGAAGTCTGACGGAGACTAACGGTCGGTGACTAACGGTGAAATGATTCATAAAGTCATTGGCGAATATGAAAGAAAAGTCATTTGGGTGGCAAACGTGAAATATTTAAGTAATTTGAGTGACCAAACGTGTAATTTAGCCTTAAAATAAGCTTTGTGGTGTGAGAATTTCTCTTCATTTTTTTCAATGGAATATTCATTTATTCCCAAGAAAATGTGCATAAACAAACATGTGGATTACTTTACCGTTTACTCACATAAGCTATTGAAAAAAATAGTATGAAATGATAAAATTTTATCTTTAGAAATGATTTGTATCTAAAACTTAACACACAAAACAATCGGGTTGATTAGCTTCATATAGCCTCAAACCAAGAGTTCTTCGTAGTACAATATTCTTGCCTTGAGACATAACTTCGAAGCTATTCATCATTTTCAACGAAAAATATCAACATGGGTTATCTAAATGGTCATGTAACCCAAATCTCTTTCTTGCCACATCCGTCGATCCAAAGTCACATAGTCGAGTTCCTTTACTAGAGGTAATCTCTACCGTGTCTAAACGGGTTTCCTCGTCAGCACACAAATAGAATAAGGCAGTGGTCATGGTCTTACCCAATAAGCATCAGTTAGATGAGCACTTGGCAAAGGGGATGGTCACATACTCACATCTACCTAGGCTAAGTCTCTAAATCATAAATTCATTGAAGAACACATGCAACATACCATCACATGAATTAACCTAGGGAAAACACATGCAACATAAATTCCTATGAAGCCAAACAAAGAATTAAACTATTAACTACCCTAATTGAACACAAACACACCATAGATTAATACATACTCTTAATTAAATGTTAAGCCCTAAGTTAGAGTTTGGGAGACTAAGCCCATGTACCTCCAAAATTACCCCAGGAAGGAGGAAAGGAGAACAACAAGAAGAAGAAAACCATCAACAAAAAGGAGAACAAAATTTTCTCTTCTTCTCATATTCTTCACTAGCAACTCACTTCTTTAGCTACATTTTTCTACCTAGACAATCTTTCCAAAAGTCTCCTTCTTCCTTTTCTCTTCTTCTCATATTCTTCACCAGCAACTCACTTCTTTAGCTACATTTTTCTATCTAGACAATCTTTCCAAAAGTCCTCCTCAGCAAATGATGCCTCCTTCATTTATAGACTTCAGAAAATACGAACTAGCTCGGGGTTGATTTCTACGGACTGAATTTCTTTTTATTATCTTCGGACTTTGGGTAACTTTGTCAAAAATCTCGAGTAGAGGATCTTCTCAATGGTGAAAATAACCCCAAAATAACTAAAAAATTACTGATCAAATTATAAAAACAATAAATATAAATTGGTCCAATGTTTTCGTATTATTAACCATAGACATGACACATATTTATAGAGTCACACAGCAAAATCCATTTTCTTCTCACCCTAGGCAAAAATGCCTCTTTCCTTTTTCCTTCCCTACTAGAATTTATTTTCCCTTACAAGAACATTAATTAAATACTAATATAATTACTACTAATCATTTTCCAGCTAGAACAAATATAATGATTTAATATTAGTTAACCCCAAATAATCCCAAAATAATAACCAAATACAAATAATTAATTAAGGATAGGCAGGTTTAATTATTTATATTGCCACGCTGACTCCATCTCTTAACATAATACCACTCACATTCTAGTAATCCTATTTAATTTTGGATTAGGAGAAGGAAAATTGCATCCCTTCACAGGTTTGCCAGTCCGATAAGAAAACTACAGTAACGGCTTTCGGGACCGGCTTCAAAGAACAGAGGCTAAGCAAGCGTCTTTCTTAGAAAAGTTTGATACTTCGGCTTCGGGGAAGAAGAGGAAAGAGGAAGAGAAGCCGGCCCTGAAACAATGGCCTCTGGCTCTGTTTCTTCTGTAGATGAGGTAAGTTTGTTTTTCCTCTTAAGTTAACTCTCGCCAGTTTAATTTAGGGTAAGAGTGAACGAGTTGCAAACTTTGGTTGATTGTTCTTCCCTTTCATCCAATTTTGCTAGAAAGGAGAAGATGAATGTAGCGGTGGTGTGGATCGGATTAGTGAATTGCCTGAGGGAATCCTTTTGAGCATTCTGTCCCTCTTGTCACTCAAGGATGCGGTCAAGACCTCATTACTTTCTGGTGGATGGGTAAATTTGTGGAAATCAGTGGTGAAGGAGCTGGACTTTGATGCCCCAGAAATTCAGTACGCCCAGTCGGGTCTGATACCAGCGGCAGCGAGAAGGATAAAGTTCAAAAATTATGAAACAGTTTAGACCTATATCTTGTTGTAATGTACTTTACAAGTGCATTGCCAAGATACTAGCAAACAGGCTTTCCACGGTTCTTCCACAGCTAATAAGTAAAAGTCAGTCAGCATTTGTGAAAGGGAGGAGTATTAGTGATAATATACTGATGGCATCTGAACTGGTTGCAGGGTATAATAAGAAACATATTTCACCTAGGTGTACTATGAAGATTGACCTAATGAAGGCTTTTGACTCCATTGATTGGGAGTTTCTGTTTACAGTGATGACAGCCATGGGGCTTCCTTCACAATTTGTTTCATGGATCAAGGTTTGTGTCTCTTCCCCTATGCTCAGTGTTGGAATAAATGGGGGTGTATGTGGTTACTTTCCTTCAAAGAAAGGATTACGTCAAGGGGATCCCTTGTCCCCATTCCTATTTTCAATCGCAATGGAAGTATTGTCCTGTATATTGAACAAGGGAGCAGAATCTGGAGAATTCCCTTATCATCCTAGATGCAAAAAACTGGGTATAACTCACTTGGTATTTGCTGACGACCTATTACTATTTTCTAATGGATCTACAAGAGCTGTGGAGAGTGTAAAGGGTCTGCTGGACAGATTCTACAGACTTTCAGGGTTGAGGTTTAATCCAGATAAAAGTCAACTGTTCTGTGCAGGGATTGAAGAGGTGGAACATGAGAGACTTGCTCAGTTGGTGGGGTTCCAGAAAGCTGTGCTACCTGTTCGTTACCTAGGGGTGCCTCTAATAGCAGGGAAGTTAACTACAACTGATTGTCGAGCTTTAGTAGAGAAGATCACTAGAAGAATAGCAGGCTGGAAGCCTAGACTGCTAAGCTATGCTGGTAAGCTCCAACTCATTAACTCTGTGCTGAGCAGTCTTTCATTTTATTGGATGAATGTGTTCATATTACCCCTTTCCATTATAAAAGAGATAGAGCAGTTATGTAGTAATTTCCTATGGGGGATAACTGAAGATTCCATGAGGAAGAAAGCTGTAATGGCTTGGGGGCTACTGGCAATTCCAAAAAAAGAAGGGGGATTAGGTATTAGGTGTCTAAAAACATGGAACGTGGCCTGTACAACAAGGCATATCTGGGCTCTACTTGCAAAAGAAGGGTCCTGGTGGGTTGCCTGGAACTACCTATATCGAATTAAAAATCTTACTTTCTGGGAATTGGGAAAGTGTAGTACTGCCTCCTGGATTTGGAAGAGACTATTAAAGGTTAGAGATAAGGTAGAGGGATACTTCCGTTGCTGGGGAACTCAGGTGTACTGGAATGACAAGAGGATGTTGCTTTATTCAGTGAAACAGGTTTGGGCAGATTTGCAACCGGTTAGGCCTCAGGTGGCTTGGTATCAGCTGGTGTGGGGGAAGTACTCGATTCCAAAACATAGCTTTCTCAGCTGGATTATAACAAGAAATAGGATTACAACTTTGATGCAATTGCAGAGCTGGGGGAAGATAGCAAGTGCCAATTGCTTGCTCTGTTTGGCTCATACAGAGGACAGGGATCACTTATATTTCCAATGTCCATATACCTCACAGGTGCTAAAGGGATGTTTGCAGATGTTGAATTTGAGATGTCCTCAGTTAACTGGCTATGAAAATTACTTGGCTTGGGCAATCAAGCAATTCAAAGGGAAGAAGGCAATGGCCATGATAGGCCGTCTGGTTTGGAACTTAGTGGTGAGCTTGATTTGGAGGGAACGTTGTGGAAGATTGTATGGAAGTGCAGCTGTGCAACCAGGGGAGCTGATCAGGGTAGTGCGCAGGACAGTTGAGCTGGCTAGGCATGGAAATGCAGCTTTGGATGCTGATTGTAGATTGCTTTTTAGTCAATAATAGCAGTGGTTAGGGTAGTGTCTGGTTTTGGTTTTAGCTTGTGTATATGCAGTAGCATGTAAGTAGAAGGTCCAGTGTTGATGTAAAGATCCAGATGTGTTTCTTCCTCAGTTTAAAGAGGAGGCACATAGAGCTTAATAAAATTTTTTGATATTGCCCATCAAAAAAAAAAAAAAGTTCAAAAATTTTGTGAATAGGGTTGTGAGGCAGCTCAAGGATGTCTCCTCGGGACAGATAACCAAGTTTAGAGTGTCATTCACATTGACCAATCAGTGCAATTCCAAGGGGGCGATCGATAAATGGCTGAAGTTTGCATTATCGAAAAGGGTTATTGAGCTGTCCTTGGTCACTTACATACTGACTCCTGAAAGTGATGGCAAAGGTTATGTTTTCCCGGAGGATTGTTTCGATCACATCAAAACTCCAGCTGGGTTGTCTGATATAAGGTCCATCAGAACCTTGCGCTTGAGTTATGTGGCGGTCAAGGCCGAGACGATTGAGCACTTCATCTCTCACTGCCCCTATCTAGAGGAGTTAGCTGTGCGAAAGTCAGACTTGATAGTGAAACTCAGGGTTGCTGCTGCTGCAGGTTCGTCGTCGCTTGCGTTGAAGCGCTTGGAAGTGGGAGAATGCTGGAAGCTGAAGACGCTGGAGATTGATAATGCCCCATGCCTCACCCACTTCACATATGAGGGTGGTGAGTTAGTGGAACTGCGTCTAGAGAATTGTGTTAGTCTTGTGGATGTGAACTTGGGGTTAGATTTTTGCACACCCAGCTTCGCATTCGACTCGATCTCCTGCTATGCTCGTCAGTTGGCTGCCCTAACTGTGAGAATCAACCAGGTGAGTAGAACAAGAAGAGATGAGAGAAACACCGCGCTAGCTTTCTGCTGCATATCAGACTCCAAGTAGTTAATGGTTAAACTGCGCTTCATTTTCTTTTCTGCTGATACATGTTTGTTGTTCTTGGTACAGAATTACATCCGGTTCTCGAATGTGGCTGAGTTTACCCACCTTGAGCAGCTGACTATCGAAACAATTGGAAATTCCAACAGCAAAATCATTCGCTTTGTTACTTTGATAAATGCTTGTCCTCGCATACACACACTGCGGCTGAAGGTATTAATTCGTTTGGTGGTCAATAGAGCTTAACTGCTTTTGTTGATGACTTCTTTCTTGCTTCCATTTCCAGCACACTTTGGCTCCAATTCATTATTTCTGCTCGCTATATATAGTTTTTTAATGGGTTGCAGCTGTACACGTACCTCGCCTGCGAAATGGAAGTGTGTTCAACACCAGATGTTGCTAGAGTTGGTCGCGAGAGCATCAAAACAGTGGAGATTATTGGGTTTAATGGTTTCCCAATTGAGTGCGAATTCATCGAGTATGTGCTGGAATGTTTCGTGGGGATGGAGAGAATAGTTCTACATCTTGACAACAAGAACCAAGTTGAGGAAGCCAGAAGTTGCGCGTTGGAGTTCAAAGCGAGGGCATCCCCTGCAATTGAGTTTGTTGTAGCAGATGATTAGCTGTTTCTGGCCTCAATAAAAGCTTGAAGCCATGATCGGTAGATGCGCGCAAGGAGTTTGTTCCTGCAGATTGGAATCTTGAGCCTTCGGTGTATAAATTATGCTGTCCTGTTTCTAACAGGTTTTTCTCGGTTCCAAAATTCAATTTGTTGAGTTACAACTCCATTGATTGGTTGTGTTTTCAGAACACCTATTTAGCAACAAGTTGTTCTGTTTATTACATCCCTTAAAAATTTCATTTCGATGCCAAGAAAGGGCAGCTAATTGGAGCTTCAGTAGTAGAAGAAGTAGAACCATCAGACCCTTTGGGACCTCTCATAAGCCCTCCCAGCAACTCGCCACGGTCGAAAAAGAACTCCACTTTCTCAACCTTCATCTTCTCATCCACATGAAAGATACCAATCCCAAAGAACTCCACCAGCTCTCCCGTTGGAGGGTGCCCTTTGAAAGGACCCTCCATGTAACCCCAGTGCCTGAACTTGTAGGGAATCACCGGCGGGCCCGAGTAAACTTGGAGCACTTCCACAGCAAAACCGCGAGGAAACGTCGTTGTGAAGGCCAGATGAGCCGATTCCACTGTCTCCACATCGGGGTCATAGCCTCTTAGCTCTTTCGGTAAGGATGTCTGCAGAAAAGAATTGTAGCCTCCTCCTATCTTCCGAGTCTCTTCCAGGGTTATTGGCTTCCTACCTAAAAAAGAATTTGTATCATTCCTTCATATTTCTTCTTAAAAAAGTCAACTCACGAACATAACAAAATACCTAACTTCTCGAACAAGTAACAATGAAACTCAAACTATTAAGTGATATGCATAACACCACTCGCATTCCGGTAATACTATGTAGTTAACTCGATCAGTAGATTCGAGGATCATCAGGATTTGAGCATGAAACCTCTAAATCCAACTAGGGTAGTTTTATTTTCTCGGTTTGGTCAACAGAAAAAGTTTTATGATCTGAAGGTCTTTTTGGGTGTAAGAGAGATCTTGGTTAAGTTACCATTGAGGCTTTTGGTGTAGGTGTTGTGATCGACTAGGGTCTTGTTGTCAGCAAAACATGTCTTGTGGAACATTTCCATTTCCCAGGTCTTCAACAGGTTCTGGACTTGCTCTTCCAGTGACCCTGGAGGCCACACCTGCAGAATGAAACAACAACAGGATCATGAATTTTCCTGAAATGTTTCATCAGAATACTAAGACAGCTGATGAGAATGAATCAATCAGGTTAGGGATTTGGTATTATAATCTTGCCTTGGTCCTTCCTTCTTCGAAGAGCTTGTTGACAGCGTCGTAATTCGGAGGGGCACCATCCCTCCACTTGGTGTTCTTCTCTGCCTCCCCTGTCAAGTGGCTTCTGTACTTGTCTCCTCCCTCTGGATCTCCCATATTTTCCTCTGCACTCAGTAACTAGAAGCTTTTAGTTATGTTGTTGGTAGAAATGGGGAGGAACTTTGTGCTGATATATATAGCTGAAAAAGAACAAGGAGCTGTCTGAATTCTTATGAGTTTTGGACAAGGGTGTAGATATTAAACTATTAGAGGTAGAGCTCTCTCATGGCGAAAACCACACACTAGCAAAGTTTGACCAGGTTCTGTGCTGGGTTGTGGTTTCTGGGCAAGAGAAATGTCATTTTGATAATAATATTCTAATTATTGTACTTTGACTTGTCATGTACTTGAGATGTCTGGTCTGGTGCTCACAGTAGGAAATTGATTGTTCGAACACTCATTGGCTGAGTATTGGGTTAGACGCCGATTCGGTCATGGAACTCGTTTAGTTGCGATGCGTATTAATAACCAAATTTGTAATTAACTCGAGTTATCAAGATAGAACAACTTCTTCAGTTAACTATGTTAAGTTACTGTTAGTAACAACACCCTTCTCATATTTACTATTGTGTATCTTCTATTTCTTGGACAGGCATCAATGTCATCTAAGTCTGTCCTTTTCCTTTTGTGCATAATGCAAATCTTATTTCCTAAATATTACTAGAACACAGAGAGAATAATACAAAGGATTTGGATCGTTCGAAGGAGGTTGGTTGGATGATGTATGGAATAGTAGACAAGGAGAGAAGTGTTCGACGAAAGGTTAGGTGGTGACTGGTGAAAGCAACAGCCATTCGTGTTTTATTGCTCGATCTCAACTACAGCCGAGCAAGCAATTCAAATTTTGCTTCTTAATTTTTGTCTACCACGAGTAACAGGCCAGCCACTGTTTCGACAGGACAGACTAATCAATCCTCGACAGAAAGGATTCCTAGTGTTCCAACAAGCGTTTGCAAAATCGGACCGGACCGGACCTACAATACAACTCAAAAACCCTTCTACCAGAACCAAAACCGATATTACCTGAATCAGCTGGAGATATTGATTTTGTGCTGCTAAATGCAATTTTAATTTCGCACGAACACAAAGATCGAATCTTTATTACCATTGATTACCAGGGAGTGGAAGGCAAAAACGTTGAAAGCGTTACATTTGGTGTAATGAAACAAGAAAGATAACTCCAAAAAGCATCTAAATTCACAATGACTTGGATAAACTTGCTTCAAATGGACTGGTTCCTGCATATATCTCAACCGGCCTGAAAGAACACTTCTACTTGGGATTCTCAAAGTCCATTATACCCCCAGCTCGTAAAGAAGATGCCACAATGCTCCCATTAGTTAACAATGAAAGGTGGAAGAGCAAGTTATTTTCTGTAAATGAACTACCGCTACCATAATCACTCTTGTCTTGTCCATTTCAGCCGATCAACCTGCGATCCTCGACCTCAAATCAACATCACTCAAACCCTGCTAAAGTAAACAGAACAACCAAACTTTCACGTTACAGCAATGTAAAAATCAAGCCTTTGAATCTTAATATTGAGCAAGTCCAGTCTTTATGGGATTAAACCTGGAAACGAACAACAACCCAGTTCCGTTTAAACTTGGATCCTTCTACCACATTGAAATTTAGGGGAAAAAAAAGACTTTTTGATTGAAAATGGCGAGGAATTAATGGATCAGAACATAGGCTTGAATATCTCCATAGGAGATAAATTTCGCGCAGTATAATCAGCTTCGATCATCTGGGGAAAGTATCATCACATCCATAACACCTCAATGAAACCCTATATTAAAAACCACAAACTACGAAAATCTAGAAATCATGAAAAGGGAGTTGAGGAAAACCATCAGAAACCTAAAAAAGAATCCCCAGCAGCAGCATAAAGCTGCTGTACGGTCCGCATCATGGTTCGGGACGGGTTTTAGCCGCCCCGCATCACCTGGTTTTCGCATCCAATTCCCAGCTTAAATTCGGTGAAATCCGCCATTAATTCTTACAAGTTTCAAAAGCAAAAGGAGGAAAGGAAGGGGAAGCTCAGATGTTATATGGGTAAGAGAAGCAACTCAGCACATAAAAATCAGAGTGGTGCATGACTTTCTCACGAATATCCTCATCGCTTCCCCAGCTTCCCAAAAATTAATTCGCGTGAACAAAGATCAATTTGACACCGGAAAGAAGAGAAAGATCCACCATTGTTGATGATAAATAAAGGAAAACAGGGGCTAAACAATCTATTCGACATAAGAATTTGTAAACGGCCGTATACAGTGATGGACAGGGCGAAAATAGATGTGATATGGTTTCCTGATGTAGAAGAAGAGATGGAAGTTTCAATATATAGGCGCATACATAAACCCTAACCCCCCGATGGATTGCTTATAGGCCGGCGGCCCCTTTTCCTGTATTTTCGTTCCCTTCAAGCTAGGGAGTGACGGGCCTGGCGGCTCCAAACTCGGCCCAAAGCCCATCCAATTTTACTAGTTTCCCACAGCCACAGGGAGGGCAGACCACACGTGTTAAGCCTAGAGCAAAAAATTACTCAAAGAGGAGACAAAGTATATGCATGTTAGTCGGTTCGGTTTAATCCGGTTATACCTGTAATCGTGAAGTGGATTATCGGTTGACTGCATCTTGTATACTAGTTAATAAATCGTAACCGTGTAGTTGGTTATCTGTTATTTTGTCGATTAATCAGATGATCGATAAACAAGTGACTCGACAAGGGTAGATCAAAACAATCAGACGGTAACCTAGCTTACAAAAGGCGTCCTCCTTTTTTCTTCAACTGTGCATTATAGATTTTTTTCCTTCATAAGTATGTGTTCTTTTTTAACTTTTTATCATTGAATAAAAATAATTTAACATAGATATCAATTCATAATCAACTCAATCCAACACAAGTGCATAATAACACCATTTTACTGCCATATTTGATAATAATAAAAAAAAGACAAGAATAAGACCCATCAACAATTACCGAGCGCTCAACGTCGGTTACTAACTAAATTTGACTACCGAGAACCGATCGTTTACTGTTCAATTGATTGACGGTCTAACCAATAACCATCGGTTATCGATTCAATTATCGAACAGTATAACCGTTTAACTAAAACCCCGAATATGGAGCATGTAATTCGTCTTTCATTTGATTGATGTTCTATCTCTCTAAATAAGAGATCTAATGGCAAAAAAAAAAAAAATTCCTCTTCCCATTCCAACTACAAAACATGGATTGTGTTCAAAGTTCAAGTGGATACCAGAATTTACTATTACCATGGTTTCTCACAATTCTTATGCGACTCACTATTTCCTTATTCTAGTTTCGAGCTGCAATTTTAGACGGTGCTCACCACAACGAGAAAACCACACACATGGACTTCACCTCAATAGATGTCAGCCAGAAATCCACCCTTTGGTTTGGTAGCACTATCCAATGCATTAATTTCCCTTGGCAATGTACAAACTTTAACGTAAGTTCTCCTGTAAGCATCACATTTCCCATATTTGAGATGCAATGTTTTGCTACCCTCTTGTGTAAATCTGTTATATCAGGTTCAGTTCACGTGTCAACTTCCCCCTGTACAAGTTTCATCCACGGTTAAAAGTTCCCGCTGCACAAATGATACTTCTCTCTACCCATTGTAAAAGAAGCAATTACTCGGAGCTCCAAACAGAGAGCTACACTTCGTTATCTGCCTCTTTTCAGTCTTGATCCCGTGGTTCTCGATTGTGATGACTGCTTCTTCACGTTCAGCAACCCACTGTCACTGACACTCCCTTCCCCTAGGTTTTCATGTGCATCAGAGAACTCTTTAGTCCACGAATTCAACGGTACCAGGAAGTTGTCGTCCTTGGAGTTCCTCTTTCGCTCCTCCTCCTGGCGCTTAACGTTTTCAGATATTTGATGGATCGTCTTGTTGATCTTCGCTATCCCTCTCTCGACTGGCTCCACGACGTGGGAGACGGTGTACTTCATGTCGTCAACGATCTGACAAAAGACAATAAAAACCCCACAGAAACGTGTCAGAACACCACACGTAATGTAGAAAGATAGGATGTTCACCACGAATATTGAAGGGGTGAAGATAATTCTCACGATTTCACCGCTACCCAGGACCACATCACGAACACTCTGGGGAAAGTTCATGGCCTTTTGTTTTTCATCATGTCGAGCCAAGCGTATCCGAGTGTATCTTTCCGAATCCTGAACCTCCTCTGGATCAGCTGGAGTTCCCAGAGCTGCGTAGTCGGTCATCACAGCAACATTACGGACGCATCTCTCCCCACGCTTGTAAGGCACGGCTGGGAAGACATAGAGATGCACAACGGCTGCAACACCCATCTGAGTTGACGAAACACCAGATAACAAAAATCAGTTTTAACTCTTGTATACATCACATCTCAGTCACGACAGTATCACATCTTTAAGTAAATGGCAGCCACCCGGAAACACATTTAAACCAACCCCATCTGCCACCTCTACAATATAACTTGTAAGTCACAGGTCCCACACTCACTTAGAAGCCTAGGTGCTATATAACCAGCCTCATTAGTTCTCAGATTCATCCCAACACAAACAGATAAGCCATGGAAAATGAAACAAATATCTCCACGAGGAATAATAAAACTGGATAGCATAATAACTACACACCTCGATACAGATTATGTAGTCTTGTATACGCGTCTTCAGCTCTTGAGCCAAAGAGCCCTTAAAGACTCCAGTTGAGAAAAGGAAAGCAACAGCAATACCTTGCCACCAAGTCAGGAAAATGATTGACTTGAAGGTAAGAAACTTGGCCAATGGCTTAATAGGCGCCAACTTGTCTTTTGTGACAGAATAGAACTGCACAAGGCAATACAATGCCCAGCTCTGACTGAAATTTAGAACAACAGCCAGGTAGGGGTACCTGCAACAAACCAATCCCAATCAGCTTAGAAAACAAATCATCAGTGAACATCATCATCATTTTTCACTAGAGTCGAGCGGAAAACTCGTGATTATGGGAACAACTTCAGATAAGAGATCACAATCATAGCATATCTTAGGAACTAGAAATACTCGGGAAGATCACAGAACCCATTCAGACTCGCAGTTTGCGAAGAACGGATTTGTACTGGAAGCCAGAGTTTACAGTTTATACTGGCATAGAAACAAACAAACTCAATTGTGCTTTACGACAGCTTACCCGTATGACCACTCAAATTTCCCTTCTCCATACACTCCGAAAGCTTCAAGAATAATCGCTAGAAGTGCACATATCATCTTGACAATCATCTAGACAAAGAACTTTGAGTAAGTAAAAAAAGACAACATATTTCATTTATAGAACGAAGTAAGAGATCGAAGGCCATACATATTGAACAATTCCAACTTTCACAGCATAATAGAAGTCACGACCCAGGTTCCAAGGACTCAGACAGCAATTTAGCGGAAAAGGGTGCTCAACAACCCCATAAGCATATGCTTCATCCAAAAGAGGCATGCTGGAAACACCATCAGTCTGAGTCTCCATGAATTCGATGGTGCTATCTTCACCACCTTAATATTGCCAAATTGAGCCCAAAAATGACAAAGGAGTGATAGAAGTATCAGGGATCAAAGCCACCAGATAATTCACTAATTTGAGCAAGTCATAGTGAGAAAAACTACCTAAGCACGCTATCAGATATCTCTCAAAGCAATACATTGCAAAAGCTTCATAGCAGTCTCGAAGAGCTTCCCAGTTGAAAGCAGCACTTGAATCATACAACGATAAGAACTGCACAGAAAATAGATCCAAGACTCAAAATCAGCACATAATCAAAGCATCTTGGTGGCAGCAAGGTATTTCAAGGTAGCATGTCAGAAGTGCAAACAACTAACTGGTAAGGCAGTAAGGTTCTGTACAAAACTTGACAATGTTAATCAAAGCTCACAAGAACTGAGGATGTCAAAGGTCAAATTATTTGCAGAACCTAACCAAGGTGACCAATAAAATTTTGAAAAAGAAACTCATCAAGCCCCCAGCTTAATCTAATAGACACTTTTTTTTTCTTATTAAAAAAAAAAAGCTAAGCCACATATACCAACGCCCCATAAACTCGCTCAGTAATCTCAATTATTTGCAATTGTTCAAAGGCAAAGCATTAAAGCCTACCATGAAAAAGTGCCCAAAACGAGTGCAAATCACATGTGAATGTTTCAAATAATACTGATATTCTGTATAAGTATTTGTGATTCAGTTCTAATAAGGAAACCATACTCACAACCAGTGAATCATATATATAGTCCAGCAACTACAACAGTTGGAACTTCGAATAAGAAATGAAATGGTCACAATGCACTGCGGTCATTGGCACAGGGATAAGCAGCAAACTAACAGATGAATGTCGATAGGTGGAAAGCTCTCCCTATACTACAAGGAATGAACAAATAACATCAACCTACAAGGCCATGCAAGAGGAGCATTACTGGGAAAGAACAGGAAAAGATAAAATTTTCAATAGAAAAGTTGCTTTTTCATACCGATTCAAGAGAATAAACAGGAACCATCAGAATGAGTCCAACCAGAAACTTCTGCTCCTGAAATCATAAAATTTAAGGTTAAGCAGTGGATGGAGAAGGTCACCGACAAGTGAAGCAGTAATGGAATGGAGAAGGAGAAGTGGGGAAAAAGTTCAGAAAACCAGAAGTGGAACAGACATAATTACAAAGGACGAACCTCTGGCTTGTTGTATGAGGCTAGGTGCTCAAAGATAAGGTACATGGAGAGGACAAGAGCTACTAGCACGAAGACACTTGCACTGAAGATTGGCCAGGTCATGTGTGTGACATTCTCGGAGACCAAATTCAATGTCCAAATCTTTCCTGACCGACTTGTTGACTCAACCAGGGTGAACAGTGAAAACAAAGAACAAGCAATTCCAATCCACCCCATTGCGAAGGGTACTGTAACTATTGCCTCACAGAGAAAATCAAGTCTAACTCAGTCCAAGGAGCAATGCTATTCCATCAATGGCTTTCGGTCAGGCATCACCAGCATTGCTTGAATTATAATTTTGACTCGACATTTCCAGATAGGGCGAAACCCGTCTTCTCAAACCCTCAAGTCAATACCAAATTGCAAAATTCCTACCACCTATATGAATCCCACGCAGAAATGAAATACCGCAGGATAATCAGCTTGATCCTCCTAGCAAATGAAGATCTGTTGCCATCACAAGAAGAATAGAATTCAGATCACGAACATATATGAAATCAAGAAATCATCCGCAGATATGAGAGAACTAATCACTGGAGCAAATAGAACCCTTCAAGCCATACTCCCGTCCCATTTTAACTAATTCGGCTAACATTTATGACACTGAATACTATGATCAGAATAGAAGAATCGCCAATCCATCGGTTATCCATTCAACAATTCCGCAGATGCCAAAGAAGAAAATAAGAAAAAGCTAGTAAGGTCCTGCAACTACGGAACCATCTAAGTAACAACTGCTACACCACCCAGACCCAGTCACTCTCCCAACCACTCGTTAACTCCCCGGTTCCCAGCTCTTCCAAAACGCACAACAGAATCAGAGAAAGCCTCAAACACAAGAATCAATCGACATGCACGGCGAAACCCTAATCAATGATCACAGTCCGGAACTGATCGCCACTCCAAAACCCTAGTCTTTAGTGTTTGAGCGACATCAATTTCTTCCGGCATACTCACGCACGCCCCAAAGAAAACACCGTTCCGCAGAAACAAGAACGGGAGAAGAACAGAAAGCTTCGTAATCGGGGGCAAGGAGGAATTCAGAGAGCGGAACGCACCTGTTCGTCGTCAACCAGACTCTGATAATCTCGGGGGAAATATATGCGGATTGTGGGGAGGGCAAAAGAATTTTCCAGTTTCCAGAGAGACGGAGGAGATGAGGCACTTGGGAGAATGGGAAAGTAAAAAAGTTTGCTTAGCCGGTGGGCAAAACCAGAAAACTAGAGTCCTCAATTTCATTTTTGTCTCTTTTTTCGAAGAAAAAGTAGTGGTGAAACGCTGCCGTTACTGTCAAAAACCAAACCAGCAAGTTTCCCATCACGGAAGCAAAGAAAGATCAAGATTTATGATGGGTCCCAAAGTAGGGCCGTCAGTATGTAACGGTCACATTTCTGTTTTATCTGGGTTGAGGATAATTTTTTTAGGGTTAAGGCCACATTTGTTCATTGGAATTACTAAATCGTGCCATGTTTAGTTATTGGAAAAAATTAATATCATATTTGGTCACTCGAATTACTAAAACAGATAATATTTAGTCACTCCCCATTAGTCCCCGTCCAACTCCGTTAATGGAGTCTGTTATGTGCTGACGTGGCTAACGGGAGTGCCTAGTCAGCGCCATTTTGAGCTGAAAATGGTCAAACCCGAACCGCCATGTCACCACACCCGTCATGTCATACACCCAACCCATTAACCCAACCTGACCCAGAACCAAACCCGACCCTATTCTCATCTCTACCACGCCTCCCCGCTTCCCCCTCTTCCATTTAACATCGCCGACAAACCCTCCTCTTCTGTTTCAAACTCGACACTTGATTGATTGATTTGAGAAAATAAATTAAACAGAGATGGATGTTTTTTTTTTTTTTTTTTTGATAATGGCGAAACTTGCATTAAGAAGGAAAAAGGAACAAGTACAACAGGGGCATTAGTTCAAAAGAGCTGAACTAAATAGCACCCAACCCAAGTCCAGGAAGACGACCAGAAACAGAAAAGGAAAAGGAGAAGGAAAAAAGGAAAAACCAATAGACCAAAGCTAAAGCCATCTAAGTGGACCAGACCACTTCTGATGGTAGCAAGACAAAGCCAAAACAAAACCAAAAACAAAAACCAGCAGCAAGCATGCTGCCCAGAGCGCAGCAGGAAAGGCAAAAACCGAAAACGCTGAAACCCAGATAAACCCCAACCAACACAGTGCCACTGCCAAGCACCCCCAAACAGAACCCAGCGCACCTATCCCTGCGCCCGGTTACGAAAACTATCCTGCAACAATCCCATTTTATGTTCCATCCACGAAAGGCCATGCTCCCTGGGGACTTTGCCAAGGGCGGTCACCCAACCCAACGCCGCTCTGATCGCTTTCCTCACGACAACCACAGGGGAACTCTTAGAGTCCCTAAAGATGCGATTGTTCCGCTCCAACCAGATCTGCCACCAAACAGAGTGAAGGCTACAATAGTTGATCCAACCCGACACATCCCCGGCCTCATCACACTTCCACCCAACCAGCGTTGACATAGCATCCTCCCTAGGTCGATCCAACCCATCACAAACCCTCTGCATCCAACTCCAGACTTGTCTACTGAAAGCGCAGCCTGAAAAGAGATGATCCACCGATTCCTCGTCCGCACAGCACAGCTCGCATCGGTTCGCCATCACCCATCCTCTCCTCTTCAAATGATCAATGGTAAGGATCCTATGATGCGCCGCCAGCCACACGAACGCACAAATTTTGGAAGGGTTTTGGGGCTGGAGAGTGAAGATGAAATAGTTGAGAGAGAGATGCGAAAGCAGAGGGAGAGAAGAGCTTTGAAGGGTTGGGGGATATGGATTACCAATTGGTTGGATTCTCTGGTTCAACGAATGGGATCACTTTCCAGGATCAAACCCTCTTCCCTTATCTAACTCACTACGCCAGCACTGTCACAAACAGGTTTAGATTCAACGAAAACTCATCCTCCTCCTCCATGAAATTGGGTCGGAAGTTCATGGACGACCCACTGATATTGACTGATCTGGATGGCAGCAACTTCTCTCAACCTTCACCTTTGAAAAGCACAGAAGGAGACACAAAACCCATATCTGAAATCAACCATTGTTTCAAAGAACACAAGGAGACACAACCTGGAATCCCAGAATCCTCGATCGAAAAAGGAGGACGTGAGCGGCGGAGACGAGGGAGAGAGGGAATCGATTGGATGGGAATGGCCGATTGGGTCGTCGTGTGTCTCGATCTGCTGCTACTGCCGCAACGCTATGATGTGTTGCTACTATGCCGCTGACGATGTGATGCTTCCTGTGATGGAGGAAGTGAGCGCAGGAGATGATGAGCAGGGGGAGGATTCTGAGTGGCGGAGACGAAGAGGAGGAAGGGTTATGAGCGGCAGAGAGTGAGACGATGGAGAGGAGACGGGGTGAGTCTCGGGGATTAGGGATTGCGCTGGCGGTTGAGAGGAGATGATGTATTTCAATCAGATTCTATCCCAAACCGAAACAGCAAGAGATGGAGAATAGGGTCGGGTTTGGTTTATGGGTTGGGTTGGGTTGGGCTGGGCATATGACATGGAGGGTTTAGTGACGTGGCGGGTCGGGTTCCACCATTTCCTATCCAAAACAGTGTTAATTAGACTCTCCCGTTAGCCACGTCAGCACATAACGGACTCTATTAACGGATTTGGACGGAGACTAATGAAGAGTGACTAAATATGAACTGTTTTAGTAATTCGAGTGACCAAATATGATATTATTTTTTTCTAGTGACTAAACACGACACGATTTAGTAATCTCAGTGACCAAATGTGGCATTAACCCATTTTTTTTAATAGACATAATGAAATATAACTAGATTCGGTTTTGATTTCATACAATTACTTCAAAATAAAGTAAAATGTGAAGCGAGAAAATCACCGCCGGGATCCTTCCCGGATTCTGGTCTCGTTCCGAGACTCGGTTCCCGGTGGCCTCTCGTGGGACTGCTTGGATCGTGTGGTAAGGAGAAGTCTGAGAGTACAGTGACGTCTGAACCGAGGGAGGAGGGAATTTCGCCACCGTTCTAATCCCACGCCACCATTTCGCCGTAGCCATCGTCGTCTGCAATTCGTTTCCGAGGGTTTTGTGCTGGTTCGAGGTTTAAGAATTTTTGGCAATTGCTGTGGGACGGTTGTGGACGGAGATCCGAAGATCTGGAGATGCCCGAGTCGGCCGAGGCGTAGATGACGGCGGTCCTGGGAGGACGGATTTGGCCAACGACAGTTGCGGGTACGGGGAGCCACCGAGCAGAGCAGGGAACGAGGAAGCCGAATCGATATCGTCGATAAAAGGAGGTAGAACGAGAGGCCACTGTGCGAGTCTGTTGATCTGCGCGTGAAATTTGCAAGCGGTAGTGCTGGCGGACGGCGGCTGACAGCCGGAGCACTTACGGTTACTATTGCAGGGTAGTTACAATGTTGCGGTTACAATTTCTGAGGGGAGACCGAACATTAACCGCCAGATAAGTTTTACTAACTTCTCCATTTTTCTCCCTTATTCTATTATTATTTATTTTCAATTATAATTTCAAACTCTTTTAGAAAACAAGGTTTGGTGCTCTCATCCGGCGATTTTCCCCAATCTCGCTGCTTTCGCCTTCGTGCGACTGTTCGGTACCATCTCCGACAAGATTCCTCTGCAGGGATTTGTTCCATCGTTCTCCGGCGACATCAAAGCAGGCGGAGTAGTTCATTGAGCTTGTGGAGCATCTCTGGTAGAGGTCCGTTGGTACTTGAAATTTTTTGTGTTCCTTTAGAGATCGTTTGTGTGTTCATCTTGCAGGTAGCTTGCACATCAACTCTACTATTGGCCTATTGAAGTTTGAGTTATAGGAGATAAGAAGGTTCTACTCGGCGGATCGGTGCTTCAAGAAGTCTGCTGAAGGAAAACTTCCTTTGCGTTTATTCGTTTTTTATGATTCTAGGCATACTAACAGGGCTGCCCATTGAGTGGCAAAAACGGCCCTTGCATCGGTAGCTCAACACTAGGTTGACTACCGCTTTTAATTTTCAAGAATTTGTAATACCGTATCTATTTACTATCTATGGCAAAAAAAAAGAGTAAAATGTGAACCTTATTTGATCTTTTTAAGTGATAAGTTCATTGAACAGCAAATGGGCAAGTCCACTCGAAAAATTCAAACATTATACATTAGGGCTAAGAGAGGGGAAAAAAACTAAAACTCCAAAACAAAGGCTCAGAAAATCAATAAGCTCCAGACAAAGAGCCCAAGCATGGGTCAATCTCCCCCAACTCTAGCCGCATAATGTCCCCAATGCAAACCGACACTGCCGCTAGATCCTTCGACCACCACCGACGAAAACGTCGATCATCGTCATCATCACCAACCAAAGTGAGGCATCCAAACACAGAAGGAGAAACTGCAGCTGCAAAGGGATGTGTCACCAACTAATCCTCGCTGGACCATATATCGTCAGCAACTCTAAAATCAAGGCAATAGAAAAATTCGATCTAAAGAACGACCAGTGATAAGTGATCAAGGAAGTTAGTTAGGATAGCATATAGTTAATTGTGGGCTTCTACGAACAATAACTATAATCTATAGTATCGATGATCTAACAATAAATCGTTGATACTATATGAAGCATAGATGGGTGGTCAATCCTTCCATAATCGTGTAGCATCAATAGGTAATCCCTAGAAGGGAATTTCTTGACAATCTAGACGATAGTAAACACAATGCATATAGTAGCATACAATAGAATCATAAGCATCGATGGTATTAAGAGTATTCATATTATAGAAAGATCAATGACCATCATAAGCATAAAAAACAATAAAACATCAATTATCATAATAGACATCAAAATTAATAGAAAAACACAAGCATGAGATGAAATCATGGCATTCATTCACATAAAAATAAACAAGATCACATTCTAATACAATTAGTTTTGACTAGATACATAGAGGAGAAGGAAGGTATTCATTGATGATGACAACATCTTCTTGGCCGCAAACCCTCTACATCGACTAGATTATGCACTCTTGTAGAGTGTTACATATAATTGTGTGTTTGTGCAGCCTTACTTTTACAATGGAGTCATGCCCGCTATTGATAGGGATGAATCCGACCTAAAACAACCTAAACCGACTAGGAAAGAGTCTCCTAAACCTAGCATACTTAGGAAAATTCGTCAACAAGGCAAAGGTATGGCGGCGGCGGTACGTCAGTTGTGCCGCCGCTCTGGTTCTTCATGATTTGGGCTTCTTGTTCAATTGACTTCAAATTTAGACGATTTGGGCTGCAACTTTGGGTAGCGACAGTTGGGCCCGTTGCTTGGACTGCCTCTCCTTCTAACATCATAATGGACCGATTCTTCTTCCTATGGACTCGTCTTGACATAATCTCGCAACTTTTAGTTGACTTCTCCATCATCGGACCACTTATCTCTCATGAAAGCTCCATAAACTTCTCTTGATAGCTCACTCCATCTTCCAGAGTTCTCCAATGCTTGATTCAATCTAGAAATTGATAAGTCACAGGGAAATAATGAACATGCAACTAATTCTTGTTCACCCCATCATCATGGACATAGTAGAATAAGATTTCCATATGCTTGGAGCTAGAATCGAATGCAAGATTATGAGCTAAATAAGTAGCTCCCAAATTGTCACATTGGGTCATGGGTGGTACATCAGGTAATGGCTTGAGTTTGGAAGGGGGGGTGGATCGAAGATGTGGATGAAAGTGGGATGAGGCCGATAGAAATAGGACCCATAGAAGAAATAGAGGGGACGGCGAGCGGGATTGGTAGTGGGTTGGGAAGTCATTTTGGGTGGAGTAAGAAAAAGGCTTGGGTAAATGAATTCGGACGGGCTAAACTAGGGATTGGTAAGAACATCGGTAACCAGCTCCACCTCTGTAATCGGGGCACCCAGCGATGCTAATTGATAAAAAAAAATGCCCTTCGCCTGTTTCAAGTAAGTATGTGTCGAGCCATTGTTGCAGTTGATATGATTGAGGGACCGTTGCAGCTGTCTGATTATCATTGAAGATCCTGAGGCATAAACACGAGCCAACGTCTCCCATGCAGCTTTTGTCGTCGACTTGTAGATTATATGGGTCATAACTGCTTAAGATAAAGAAAGGTTAATCCATGTTAAAACCAATTGATCACGTTCGTACCAATCACCATATGCATGATTCCACTGAGCATCAATCGTTTCTAGCGGATCAGGAGATGAATCGTCGACATGGTCGATGAGTCCATGACAACGAAGGAGTGGTGTTGCAGGTGAGTCTTCAAGATGAGGTAGTTCGTCGGAGTTAGCTCCACCATCAATTGTGGATTGGAAGGGAGAGTCAGACGGGGTGGAGACTGAGTTCAATGATCAGCTTGCGAAAGGAGACCAAAACAGAGGAAAAACGAATAATTGAAGAAAAAGAGGACGAGAGAAGGAGAATGAGACTCGTTAGAGTATTTGAGGCTCTCATATCAGGAAGTGAATGCTAACTTTTGTATTTCTTTTTACCGAAATTATAATATTTATACAACAGCTGAAGCTGTTACAACATAGACTATTTCTCGCAACTAACAACTGAAAAGAAGGAACGGATAAACAAAGTGGACTGAACTGATTCCACATCTGAAAGTCCTTGGGAGGAGCCTTCCTATATCACATACCACCATGTATAATCTTATACGATATCAACCATTAGCACCATGATATAAAGTGGTAATATATGACTCTTTTTTTTTTTGACAAAAGATAATCATGTATTGATATAAGAAAATATATGACTCAAAAAATTTGATTTCAAAATATTATTTTTTTGGTAAGCATTTGATTTCAAAATATATCAAAGTGAATGTCATTTTCAAGAGCACGATTAATTTTTTTTTCTAAAATTAAATTTTTAATTTAAAATAAATAAAATAGATATAAATTACCAAACTCATGTAGAAAAATCACTAAAAATAAAAGCGATATAGCCTCTTTAATTTAATTGAAAAAAAAAATAGTCACAACAATCCATCGTCTCCCAACCTAATAGCCCCTACACCCGATATGGACATGAGCCCATGAACTCTCTCTCTCTCTCTCTCTCCTATATATAATCACCATAACCCTAGAATCGGAAAAACATTAAACACCAGGCAAAAAACCCCTAAAAAAAACACCACACCAGCCGATTAGGGTTTCCGAGATCTGCAATCATGGTGAGAGAACTCTCTACCCACGTACATATCCACCCGCATCGCCGGCCAGCCCGCCTACATGACTAACGTTTTTACGTACACCCTTTTTTGCAGGCTGACGTGGAGACGACGATGGAGATGGCGGCGGAGACGGCGGCGGGGAAGAAGAACAGGACGTTCAAGAAGTTCAGCTTCCGCGGCGTGGATCTGGACGCCCTCCTCGACATGTCCACCGACGACCTCGTCGGGCTCTTCACCGCCCGGGCCCGGAGGAGGTTCAACCGCGGGCTGACGAGGAAGCCCATGGCGCTGATCAAGAAGCTGAGGAAGGCCAAGAGGGAGGCTCCCGCCGGCGAGAAGCCGCAGCCCGTGAGGACACACCTCAGGGACATGATCATCGTCCCGGAGATGATCGGGAGCGTGATCGCCGTCTACAATGGCAAGACGTTCATCCAGATGGAGATCAAGCCGGAGATGATCGGTCACTACTTGGCCGAGTTTTCTATCTCTTATAAGCCTGTGAAGCACGGGAGGCCCGGAATCAGTGCGACTCGATCTTCCAGGTTCATCCCTCTCAAGTGATCATCCATGCATGGTATTTTTTTTTTTTTGGAGGTGGTATTCTAGTTTGATTCGACGTTGCTATGAAACGAAATCAAGGAAGTGCAGCCGTGGTTTTTTTTTTTTTTTTGTTGGATTCTCAAGTGATGGGTGGATTTTGTTTGCTTTTGGTAAATTTGTGATGGGATTTTGGATGTTTTTTTGCTGTTGGATTGCTTCCCCTTTATGATGTTATGACATGGTTTCTCATTAATAGTTTTTGTTTGTTGCGTTTTGTTGGCGATTCCAACTAGTAATCAGCAATGTTTTGGTGAGTGAATTAGCTACTCATTCTTTAGTGGGAGCTTTTTAGGAGAAGTCCGTTTACTCAAATGCATTTTTTCGCTTGTATTGTGTCCATCTCCTTAATTTGAGATTTAAGCGAAATTCTCCTTTAGTGGCAAAAAAAAAAAAAAAAACTCTTTCATTGGTAGTTTAAATGCACGAACCAACGTGTGTGATTCTTATTTTTCTTGTAATCTAGTCCTACCATTTCCAACCTTCTTGGTTTACCTTGAAAAAAATTTTAGAAAAAAGTGAAATTCATATTAGTTCGAATATATAACAATAATGTCAACTATGAAATTCATGTAAAAAAGGACAATTATCCAAGAAGTTGTGAATATTATGGATAAGTATCCAAGTCACCCTTGTGGCACTTTATAATTTCTTTAGAAGAGGCATAATTATATTTTTCAGTATGGGTTTATTTATGTGATTGAGGTTTTATATTAGCTAGGAAGGAGATGCCAAGGGGTTATTTTGGTGAGACTTTTCTTAAATGAGACATTTGGATCCAAATGTCTTATTTTAAAAAACCAGATTTTTTATATAAGACATTCGAATTAAGGAGCCATTTTGGGTAAAAAATTACAAATTTAGGCCCAACTCTCTTCTCCTTTCCGGTCGCAATCTCTAGTCGCAAACCCTAATCCAGTAGTAAAATCTTTCGATGTCGCATGCAATGGCAACAATATGAAAACCATCTACTTCTTCTCCCTCCTCTTATTAAGAACCATTCAATGTCTCCTTCTACGTCCTTCTAGAGGAAGCAACTGGCCTTGACCGTGGAATCTATCACTAGCTCTATTGTGGAATTCATACAAGTGATAATCATATCCTAGAGGTGCATATGGTCATACTCCTCGAGGTATTCTAATGCATAACTACTAACACTAATTAACCATCAACACATACACGAAATCATAAGGACAATTATGGGTTTTCGTTAGGCAACAAACAATGCAAGAAGAGTAAAGTTGTTTAGGGATTTTTTATTTATAGCTGCATAAAAGGAAAGGTACGTTATTGTAAGAGGTAGTGAACTTGAAGATGATCATGTAAACTTGGGCTCATTCATATCATGTATGAATGGTTCATCTATTGTGACACCCTATCCTTTCCTCTAAGGACACTATCTACCTGTGCATCGGTGCATGCACCTCTTGAGATAGAGATTTAACTAGCTAATGCATGCTTTTGTTTCATGCCATTACCTAATGAAGAACAAGGAAGTTTGGATAACATATAGTTAATTGTGGGCTTCTACGAATCATATCCTAGAGGTGCATATGGTCATACTCCTCGAGGTATTCTAATGCATAACTACTAACACTAATTAACCATCAACACATACACGAAATCATAAGGACAATTATGGGTTTTCGTTAGGCAACAAACAATGCAAGAAGAGTAAAGTTGTTTAGGGATTTTTTATTTATAGCTGCATAAAAGGAAAGGTACGTTATTGTAAAAGGTAGTGAACTTGAAGATGATCATGTAAACTTGGGCTCATTCATATCATGTATGAATGGTTCATCTATTGTGACACCCTATCCTTTCCTCTAAGGACACTATCTACCTGTGCATCGGTGCATGCACCTCTTGAGATAGAGATTTAACTAGCTAATGCATGCTTTTGTTTCATGCCATTACCTAATGAAGAACAAGGAAGTTTGGATAACATATAGTTAATTGTGGGCTTCTACGAACCATAACAATATTCTATAGCATCGATGATCTAATAATCAAGCATTGATACTACTCGAAGCATAGATGGGTGATCAATCATCCCATACTCGTCTAGCATCAATGGGTATCCCTGTAAAGTAATTTCTTGACAATCTAGATAATTCTAAGTACAATGCATATAGTAGCATACAATAGAATCATAAGCATCGATGGTGTTAAGAGTATTCATACTATAGAAACATCACTGACCATCATAATCTTACTATATATTATGGTTGTTCAAAAGTTATTTATTGTCACATAAGCATTTGGAGAACTCACAAGTTGCCAAGGTGAACAATATTTTTGGAAACAAAAAATTGAGTTAATGATCAATTTATGGAGCTATCTCTCTTCTTTAATATTTTTTCTTTTATCAATATTTTTTTTTGCATTATATGTATTAATCTATGTATGCAATAATAGACTAATGTTTGTAAAGTGACATCTGTCACATTTTTTTAAATCGAAAACATATTATTAGATTTTTAAGTCAATTTTCTACTCATTTATGCTAAAACTTAATAATAAGTTACATTTAATGGAAAAATAGAAAAATCACACACAAGTAATAATATTTTATCCGAACAAACAAATGTAGCGATGGAAAGAGAGAAAATAGTGGTTTGACGATCAATCGACTTTAAAAAATGAACTATATTATTTTATATTTTTTACTATCAAACATTTTCTCATTTCTAATGTATACGTCTATCAAATATAACAAATATTATATAACCAAATATCTTGATAGAAACTTGACGATGTACAAGTATTATATGACACATGTGAATGATAAAGAAGTATTTGTAGACGATGTATGGTAAACATCACGTATCATCAACCACTCACCTAAGCATTGATCAAACAAAGGCTGAAAATTTTCGTTTAATAGTTGAATGTATTTGAAAGTCTAATCCGAGTTATTGGGTTAAAAATGATAAATCTTTAATAATGATGAGTTCAACAAGGCAATTGTAAGAATTCATTTGGTAGTACGATTGTGAGCCTGTGACTGCATACCAAATTTTGGCAATAACAAAAATGTTATGATATCAAAGTGTCAAAACATAAATATTTTACTTTGTAACATGAAGCAATTTGTATTTAGATAGAGTTATCCTAGAAACAATTATTTTTTTCTTTCATATTCCACTGATCGAGCAAAATTCGAAGGTATTAACGATGATTAAAAAGTAAATTAAACTCTTTACATATGCTTAGATATTAACAATAGATGTGTCTACAATACATCTGTGAATCCATATATATGCGAAATGTCTTAATGGTTGTATAAATTAAAAAATAAATTAATAAAAAATCAACTTTTTAAAAAATTATAAATTAATTGTTCAACCGATACGACGTTTTAAATGCACCTAAAATTCGCGTGCGTTGTAGACACGCTTTATCAGTTATTAAGATGAGTAATAAAAAATTTGTTTCAGAAATGGTTAATGAAACCGTACCATACTGACGGAATTGTTGTTTTCGAGAAGTTTTTTCCCATGCATCGATTTTTGGTAAACCGGTACATTGTATTTCACGGTACTAACTGTTGAACTGTGGTTAAACCACGATTTTGCCATAAAAGACCCTACCACTGACTTTTCCAGTACGATGTTTAGTACGGTTTCATGAACCAAACACCAAAGATAAAGAAAATTTTACAAATGCACATTAAAAAAATTGAAAATATATACACTAAATGACCATGTTAAGACAAGAACCCTTGATAATGTGGTGAGTGTCTTGAGTTGAGATTCTGAACCAACATATAGACAACAATCACTTCAAGAATTAGTGATTGATAAATATTGTATAATATACTAAATTTGAGTGTCTTGATAGACAAATTTGCCATAAAATCCTCAACTAAGACTTCATGAACATTCGCATGAAAATGAGTCATGATTAGATAATATGATCATCTTAAGGGGTACAATATGTGTTAAGTTTCACTTGAAATAAACAAAAATTATCAATTAATTAAGCATCTTTATCTAATAATTTGAACTCTCAATAATTGGTTTAAAGTTTGTCCTAACTCGAGAATCACGAATTGTTATATGTAGCTTAATATAATAAATTTGAGTGTCTTTGTTTGACAAATCTTGATATGCTATCCTAAATGGGATGTGATAAATCTTCACGATATGAATTTTGGTTAGAAAATAATAGAATCACAGGTGAGTATGCTAAGTATTGAGAATTTTTAATATAGGCATATCACATACTCGCTTATAAAGTGAGAGTATAAAAATGTAGGTGATTAAAAAAAAAAAATTTAACATATAGATAAATCAATTAGTATAAATGATAATTAAACTCTCCGGCCAACAGGCCGGGTAAGCAACTAGTTAAGCATAAAAAATTAAACAATATAGCATCATTGATTATCCTAGGCATCGAAATTCATAGACAAACACAAGCATGATATGGAATCATGGCATTCATTCACATAATAATAAACAAGATCACATTCAAATACAATCAATTTCGACTAGCTACATAGAGGAGAAGGAATGTACCATCATTGATGAAAATTACATCTCCTTGGTCGCAGATAGGGCTGTTAATGAGCCGATCCGAATCGAGTTTTGCCTTGTTCTTATTTGGTTCATATATAAGCGAGCCGAACTCGAGCTCGGTTCCTTTATGAACGAGCTGAGTCGAACCGAACACGAGTCAACTCATTTATTGAATTTTGACTCATTATTAGGATAAATTTTTTTGCTCGAACTCAACTCTAAGATAATTTATGAATTAAATAACCTATTATTTATATGTTATATGATACATGCAATTAATTGATTTTTATTTCATATACTAGACATATTTGCTCACATAACTCATGTAGCAAAATCACTAAAAATAAAAGAGATATAGCCCTTCGCCCGATATGGACATATGGGCATGAGCCCATGAACTCTCTCTCCCTCTCTCTCCTATATATAATCACCATAACCCTAGAATCGCAAAAACATTAAAGGCAAAAAACCCTAAAAAAAACACCACACCAGCCGATTAGGGTTTCCGAGATCTGCAATCATGGTGAGAGAATTCTACCCACAAATCCACCCGCATCGCCAGCCAGCCCAGCTACATGACTAACGTTTTACGTACCATTTTTTGCAGGCGGACGTGGAGACGACGGACATGGCAACGTCGGCTGCGGCGGCGAAGAAGAACAGGACGTTCAAGAAGTTCAGCTTCCGCGGCGTGGATCTCGACGCCCTCCTGGACATGTCCACCGACGACCTCGTCGGACTCTTCACCGCCCGGGCCCGGAGGAGGTTCAACCGCGGGCTGACGAGGAAGCCCATGGCGCTGATCAAGAAGCTGAGGAAGGCCAAGAGGGAGGCTCCCGCCGGTGAGAAGCCGCAGCCGGTGAGGACACACCTCAGGGACATGATCATCGTCCCGGAGATGATCGGGAGCGTGATCGCAGTCTACAATGGGAAGACGTTCATCCAGATGGAGATCAAGCCGGAGATGATCGGTCACTACTTGGCCGAGTTTTCCATCTCTTATAAGCCCGTGAAGCATGGGAGGCCCGGTTTCTGTGCTACTCGTTCTTCCAGGTTCATCCCTCTCAAGTGATCAGCCGGGTTTTTTTTTTTTGGATTCTCAAGTGAATAAGTGATGGGTGGATTTTGTTTGCTTTTGGTAAATTCGTGGTGGGATTTTGGATGTTTTTGTTGTTGAATTACTTCCCCTTTGTGATGTTATGATATGGTTTCTCATTCTCACTACTAGTTTTTGTTTGTTGCATTTTGTGGCGATTCCAACTAGTAATCGGGCATGTTTTGTCGAGTGAAGCTACTCGCTCTTTAGTGGGAGCTCATTAGGAGGAAGGTATACGTAGTCTACTCTATGTATTTTTTTCGCTTGTTTTGTGTCCATTCTCCTTTGAGATTTAACCGAAATTCCCGACAAAAAAATTCTTTCATTGGTAGTTTAAATGAACATGAACCATCGTTTGTGATTCTTATTATTATTATTTTTTTTGTAATCTGGTCCTACCATTTCCAAGCTTCTTGGTTTATCTTGAAAAAAATAATCAGAATAAAAAAACAAGTGAAATTCATATCAGTTCGAATAAATAACAATGTCAACTATTAAATTCATATAAAAAAGGATAATTATCCAAGAAGTTGTGAATATTATGGATAAGTATCCAAGTCATCCTTGTGTCATTTTATAATTTCTTTAGAAGAGGCATAATTACATTTTTCATTATGGTTTTATTTATGTGATTGAGGTTTTATTTTAGCTTGGAAGTAGATGCCAAGGGGTTATTTTGGCGAGACTTTTCTCAAATGAGACATTTGGGTCCAAATGTCTTATTTTTAAAGACCAGAACTTTGATATAAGACATTCGAATTAAGGAGCCATTTTGGGTTAAAAATTACAAATTTAAGCCCAAATCTCTTCTCTCTTCCAGTCGCAAACCCTAATCCAGTCGTAAAATCTTTCGCTGTCACATGCAATGGCAACAATATCAAAATCATCTACTTCTTCTCCCTCCTCTTATTCAGAACCACTCAATGTCGCCTTCTACGTCGTTCGAGAGGAAGCAACTGGCCTTGACCGTGTAATCTATCACGAGCTCTATTGTGGAATTCGTACAAGTGATAATCATATCCTAGATGTGCGTATGGTCGTACTCCTCAAGATCTTTTAATGCATAACTACTCACACTAATTAACCATCAACACATAAAAGAAATCATAAGGACATTTATGGGTTTTCATTAGGCAACAAACAATGCAAGAAGAGTAAAGTTGTTTAGGAATTTTCGATTTATAGCTGCATAAAAGGAAAGGTACGTTATTGTAAAAGGTAGTGAACTTGAAGATGATCATGTAAACTTGGGCTCATTCATATCATGTATTAATGGTTCGTCTATTGTGACACCCTATCCCTTCCTCTAAGGACACTATCTACCGGCGCATCGGTGCATGCACCTCTTGAGATAGAGATTTAACTAGCTAATGGATGTTTTTGCTGCATGCCATTACCTAATGAAGAACAAGGAAGTTAGGATAACATATAGTTAATTGTGGGCTTCTACGAACCATAACAATATTCTATAGCATCGATGATCTAATAATCAAGCATTGATACTACTCGAAGCATAGATGGGTGATCAATCATCCCATACTCGTCTAGTGTCAATGGGTATCCCTATAAAAAATTAAACAATATAGCATCATTGATTATCCTAGGCATCGAAATTCATAGACAAACACAAGCATGATATGAAATCATGTCATTCATTCACATAATAATAAACAAGATCACATTCAAATACAATCAATTTCGACTAGCTACATAGAGGAGAAGGAAGGTACCATCATTGATGTTAACAACATCTCCTTGGCCGCAGATAGAGCTGTTAATGAGCCGAGCCGAACCGAGCTTTGCCTTATTCAGATTTGGTTCATATATAAGCGACCCAAACTCGAGCTCGGTTCAATTCCTTTATCAACGAGCTGAGTCGAGCCGAACACTACTCAACTCATTTATTGAATTTTGGCTCATCATTAGGATAAAAAAAATTTGCTCGAGCTCAACTCTAAGATAATTTATGAATTAAATACCATAATATTTATATGTTATATGATACATGCGATTAATTGATTTTCATGTCATATACTAGGCATATTTGCTCACATACTCAAATTATTAAACATCACATGAGGTGTGATCTACAAGTTAATACATATATGCATCATTAACAAACCAACTCATAAGATATAGATCGATCTTCTCATAAGTCGTAATGAAGTTGGCTCGCTAGTTACAATGTTAAGACATCACATGAGCTCAAAATGAGATAGTTCATGTGTCGAACTAAACAAGCCACCTAATCGAGCTGAGCCGAACAAGGTTGAGCTCAAGCTAGTCTCGTTAATTAACGAATCGAGCTTTTATTGCATCGAACGAGCTTTTATCGAGTTCGAGACCGAGCCGTTCGCGAATAGCTTGGTTCGTTAACAACCCTAGCCACAGACCCCCTTACTTCGACTAGACTATGCACTCTTGTAGAGTGTTACAGAGATTTATGTGTTTGTGCAGCCTTACTTTCACAATGGAGTCATGCCCTCTATTTATAGGGGAGAATCCGGTCTAAACAACATAAACTGACTAGGAAAAGTCTCCTAAGTCTAGCAGGTTTAGAGAAATTCGTCAACAAGGAAAAGGTAAGGCGACGGTAGTAAGTCGGTTGAGCCCGCCACTTTGATTCTTCATGATTTGGGCTTCTTGATCATGAAATTGGGTTGTATATCTTCTTTGTATTAGTTGAATTTTTTATGCATAGATGGAATGAGGCTACAAAATGATATCCATATTTTATATATTTCGAGAAAAAATGGTTTGTTTCACTCGTTACCATCCTGGTACCACTATGTATCACCTTCATTTTAACTCAAAGACAGGAAAAAAAATTGCATAGAAGAACAAGTTCATAGTGATCTATTTGATTTATAAGTTTAGAAAAAACAAATATTCCGGACCAAATATACCTCCAATCCTACCATCCTAATATATGTTGTAAATGGTGATAGATAGTTGTAAAAAAGTGATACATGATGGTTAGTATACTTTTATTGTAATATATACGTACAATTGTTCTACACTATAACATGTTCATACTAACATGATACTTTACATACTGAAGCGAATGCCGAAGTCTGTATTTCTTATTACTGAAATTACAATATTTATACAACCGTCAAAGTTGTTAAAACAAGGACTGTTCCTAAGCAATGGAAAGATTTCAGAAAAAAACAAAAAACAAAACAAAGTGGAGAATCGATTCCCCATCCGAAAGTTCAGGGGAGGAGCCTTCCTATCGGATACCACCATCTAGGGGTGGCTATACGGTCCGGTCCGGTTAAATTGGATCAAATTGATCCGGTCTCAGTCCGGTCTTTTCGGGAATATAAGGACCAAAGATTAAATTGGATACAGTCCGGTCTTGATCTGGTCCGGTCTTGACCCGGTCTGGTCTCAATTTGATCTTGATTTTAAGTGTTGGGGGTCTCTTATCCTGTCTTTATCCGGGGTTTTTTTACCTCAAATCTAAGCTCGAATATGAGATCGGATTGTTTGCTATCCGGTCCTAGTCCGGTCCCGATCCGGGTTATACGATCCGGGTTCGGGTAAAACCAAACAGTCCGGACCAAATAGCCAGCCCTACCACCATCTATAATCTTATATATTATCAAACATTATCACCATGATATATATCGTTAATAAATATCTCGAAATTTTTTGTTACCAAATATATAAAAGTGAATGTCATTTTTACATGTTATTTCGGTAAAAAAAATTCATTTATCAATAATAAATATATAAAGCAACAAACTCATTTAACAAAAACATCCAAAATAAAAGAGATATAGTCCGTTTAATTTAATGGAAAAATATAAGCACAATCCATCGTACGTCTCCCTATTAGCCCTTCACCCTCGATAGACCGATATGGATTATGGACACTAGGGCATGAACCCATGAACTCTCTCCTGTATATATAGTCACACCATAATTCTAGAATCGCAAACCATTATAAAACCTAGCCAAAAAAAAAAAAAAAACCCTAAAAACACACCAGCCGATTAGGGTTTCAAAGATCTCTACAATCATGGTGAGATAAACTTCATCCATATCCCTAATCCACCCCCAATCGCCGGCCGTTCGGCACTCGTCACTAATAATTTTACGTTACCCTTTTTGCAGGCTGACGTGGAGACAACGACGGAGATGGCGGCGGCGACGGCGGCGGGGAAGAAGAACAGGACGTTCAAGAAGTTCAGCTACCGCGGCGTGGATCTCGACGCACTCCTCGACATGTCCACCGACGACCTCGTCAACCTCTTCCCCGCCCGGGCCCGGAGGAGGTTCAACCGCGGGCTGACGAGGAAGCCGATGGCGCTGGTCAAGAAGCTGAGGAAGGCCAAGAGGGAGGCTCCCGCCGGTGAGAAGCCGCAGCCGGTGAGGACACACCTCCGGGACATGATCATCGTCCCCGAGATGATCGGGAGCGTGATCGGCGTCTACAATGGGAAGACTTTCAACCAGATCGAGATCAAGCCGGAGATGATTGGTCACTACTTGGCCGAGTTTTCGATTACTTACAAGCCGGTCAGCCATGGCAGGCCTGGTTTGGGTGCTACTCACTCTTCAAGGTTCATCCCTCTCAAGTAGTTGTGTTCGTGTGGATTGGTTTGGTTTGGTTTTAGTTTTTTTTTCGTTGGCGTTGTTGGGCTAGGGTTTGAATCTAGTGTGTGGTGGATGTTCTGTTTTTTTTTTCTTCTTTTACGGTGTGATGTCGAATCGTGAACTTTGTTGTGGAGTTGATGGTGAATGATTTGAATGCTTTTTTTTGGGGATTGTTTGTTCATCAGTTGGTGTTTGTCGAAAGTAATGGTTTTTGTTCATCAGTACGTACTGTTGGTCTGGTGAAATAATATTATGCATGCATGGCTAGCTAGGAGATAGTGTCAGTTTACAAACAATTGAAATGCAGCCAATATTACTATGGTCTACGTACTGCGAGCTATTGTAGTTTGTTCCATAAAAAGCCAAATGAACGATTGTGTTTCGAAACAAAATAAAAAACGTAATCAGAAATCAGTAACTGTGATTGTATCAGTAACTGTTTGAGTAACAATGCAGCTAAGTGTACTTGTGATTGTATCAGTAACTGTTTGAGTAACAATGTAACATAGTTGGTCTTCTCTAATCGTTGGGTTGGCCTTGCTGTATATTTCAACGCTGTAAGTAAAACGTAATCAGAAATCAGAATCCCTCTACAGAGATACATTTCCAGATCAAACTGTCCAGATAAAAGGAGCTGGAGTAACTGTACTTGATACCACGATATAGTAATACACATCACAAATCTACAACGTTTGTTTTTCTCCTATGATATGTCAGCTAGGTTCTCAGACTCGGTATATAGTTCGCAGACTCGGATCTCGTCGTGTGGGAGAGTTCCTGTTCCAAGGATACTGGAGCAAAGGGGGTTGCGTTCCTGTCCTTTGATTCTTCTAATCAAACTGGTTACATGACATTAATGCCAAACGTTGTTTACTACCCTCTTCCAAGCTTAACAACAAGAACCCACCCTCCTGTGCAGAACCCACCTCGACTCCTCTTCTCGGTTATTTACATGACTCGGGGGGAAAAAAACTACAGTTGAGGGTGGGAGTAGAACTTTTCAAACCACATTCGTGCTCGATTTAGCTATTCTCTGTGCTTCTTCCAGGTCCCTTATAAACCTGCATTCCCCCACACCATAAATAGTAAGACATACTGATAAGCAAATGACAGTATCTGATCAAGACGGGGGAAATAACTCATCTGTGTATCTCTCTCTATTTCTTACTAGCTGAGTATAAAGCACAGATCCGTCGTACTTTAAAACTAAATCGTACCTTTTGGAATTGAGAACTACAGAACCACCAAGTGTAAAACGAACCCCAGTATGCACAGCATTTTGCAGAGCTACAGAACGTGACTCTTCATACGTCGTCCCACCAACAATGAAAATAATCACATCCTGTGGCCTGCACAAATAAATCTTATCTTAAGGATTTGAAGGGAAAAAAAACTCTTTTGTAACATTAATTCCAAACCTTGCCTTCATCAGACACAAATGAGAAAAATATGTGAACCTACAAGAGAAATGGGCTTGGTAGAATTGTCCATCTGAAGGGAACAGGACATACTAACATACATTAGACTCTTTCCTTTATAGGTGATAGTTAAGGTTTGAACCACCACTCTAATCTAGACTACCAAACAAAGGAATGTGATCATCCCTCAGCTTTTAGCAACTTAAAGCAGTGGATTAGCAAGAGATTGGATGACTAATCTAGCTATCTTGTGTTCTATGCAATATAAAGTTTCAGACTTCAGTGTGGCGTTTCATATCAGAAGGAAAGGAACTGAGAAACGAACCTCCCTTGTTGGAAATGATTACCAACAAATGGGTAGTCTACATCCCTCAGCCGTCCCTTGATTATGTTTTCCATTGTTTGGAACAGAAGAGGCTGATGCTGGGTGTACACATTTTCAACTCCCTGAAGCAAAACGCAGAAGAAAGGAAACTATAAGCCCACAGATGTCATTAACAAAGAGAATCCAAAAAGAGGATTATGCCTCTGCTCTGTTACCTTCAGGCCACGAGCCATGTTACGAGCTATATTCAAGAAGTCCCGGTTCCCAAACAGGTCACCAGTCCGTTTATCCACACCAGCTTGTTTCAGTAGGAATTGCACAAGCTGCAAGTCCCAGGGTGGATACAAATATAAATTAGTATACATACTCAACCACTGCTAGCAAACAACATCCTTCAACCTAACCCTCATTTAATGCAGCATCAACAATAATCGTACAGGAACCTCTTTTATTTCTCAATTGTATGACTCAATTAGTCAATTACATTTATATCACGGGCACCTGATTCACAAAAGATAAAAGATAGCGACACATTACCCCGGGCTTGTACTTTGCAGTTCGAGATGAAAGCTTATTGAATAGCTGCATTAATTGAACAGGACTCTCCTTCTCATAGCGTAAAGCATACAACATCACTAGGCGCAGGCGGTCGATATCTGATACACTTTCATTGTAAAGAAGATTGGTTACTGCCTGCACAGCAGCACACAGGGAGAGGAAGTTAAAATATTAAAATTGCTCAATCAATACCTCATACTGAGAAGGATTTCACATCAATATGCGCATTGCGGCTTATTTCTCGTACTACCCCCATAAAGGTACCGAGGAACATATTGCAGGAAAGTCTCATATCATACAGCCAGAATCAGTTAAAGTTCCTTCATCTTTTCACTTCAGTAATGATGATAGTTTTTATTCCAGAAAACTCGCTCTAAATGTAGAACTAAAGCTGCAGGGGATCATATTTTTATTTAAAGTTTATTTGCATGATGGATTATGACCATCGATTTCTATTTACAATTCTATTAGCTGCTGAAATATTGAAGAGCCAAATGTTTGGCTGGACAGAATTGGCGATGGATTGTAGTGGTGTTAGATTCTAGAATCCAGCAAAAGCTAAATTGTGAAATCTCACGGGAATCCTTTAGACGACCATCTTGCACCGAGGGCTTGATTGGATGACCAATTTTATTAATGAGCATTTGGGCCAGTAAATGGTAAGATAGTGCACTACCTCAAAAGCTGCCACTTGCCCACCATTGCAAGCTAACTCCTGTTCGGTTTGTGAAACTAACATGAGCTTTCTCTCCTCAACTAACTTGCTCATTTCAGTCACCAGTGTCACATGCTTTGAGACATTGCCATGCATTTTCCGATATTCGGGATAATTCTCAACAAACTTGGCCATGTCCTCTGCAAAATTTCAAAATTACTGTCTTAGTCATACTTAGATGCATGAACAGAAATAAGCTGTTACCAGCTTCTTGATTGTCAATACGAACGTCGAACCTATTGTCTGAATGTTTTGGTTACTCTTTGCAACCTGCTGAAAGTCATCCACCATCCGCTTGATATTCATCCCAATATCTCCAAAGTTCTCATGCATGTTGAGCTTGAAGAATGCATCTTGCTCTGACGATAGCACCACTTCCTGCAAAGCATGAAAAAGATAATAACTTGACAATGCTGAAACATAACAACACATTTCATTTTTATCCTTTTATTTACATTGGAGCCACAAGGAGCTAACCTGCTGGTCTTTTGATGCTTTAGCAATGCCTCTGAGGTCCACTTTATTATCCTGGATGCCAATTAATTCATGAACCATAGCCTATAAAACAAGCAAAATTACCAGGGGAAAAAGGTCATATCCAGTGGCACCAACATAAATAAAATGGAAAGCATCATGCCTGAATATCCAAGAAAAATGAGCATCTCAAGAAACACACACATGCACACATTGCAGTACCTGATAGGTCCATTGATTCAACAAAGGGGTTACAGGATCATCTCTTCGATCTATTATTAGCAACAAAGGAGAAAGCTCGCCCCTTCTGAAATCAAAAAGCCCACTTTCCTTCTGATACATCAGCTTCTGCAACATCGGAGAAGAATGTATAACAAGATATCAAAATTTGTCCATCCATAAAATTGTACAACTAAGGGTGGAAAAAGGACGCAGAATAGATAATTCAGCTTGCTAAATGGGCTAGCCTTTTCTTAAGTATTGATGAAAAAGCGGATGCATATTCAATCCAGAACCTGATACAGTTGCTGGATAAACAGAGATTATAAGTGCAATGTGTGCACATCTATACTAGATGATGCTAGCAATGAAATCTGGTGTAGTATCCTCACGTTTGCTCTATCAGATTTGTCAATAGATGCTCTCAGAATATTAAAAAAATCTGTTGCTGAGCTAATACAAGTAGCAAAATAAATTTTAGGATCAAAGCACACTCACTGCTGATTCATGGGCTATCCTTTTGGCAACATCAGAGGTCCTTTGGTATCTAATAGCAGGCCTTCGTTTCAGAGCCAAGAAAAGTGCTGCAATCCCGTCAACTACTCGGTCACATAAGTGTTGCAACCCAGAAGGATCGATGACTGCTGGAAGCATATACATATGATTTGAAGGAACATTCAAGGAGAAATGGTAAGGATCAAGTGCAACGAAGTCGGCATAAAACTCCTGAAAAGTAAGTAGAGCAACTATGTCAAGGTCAAGCTGATAAAAGAGTAAGAAGAACAAAAGGATTCACTACAACATTTCGAAGTGATCCATGTAAAAATCCTTAAATTCCAAGCATTCGATTTATCTCAATATAAAGAAGCACCAATACATCACATCTATCAAACATAATCTATATACGAGTCTATACTTTCTGAATCTCATATTAGTTTTGACTTCGAATAGAATGACTGACTTTCATCAGATCAAATAGTCTCACGAACATGTAATCATATAGTTAAGAATCTACTAGAGGCAAAGATCCATGGAAACCAAAGAAACCAGGACAGACTAGCAACTCATTTCCTGCTCATAATCAAGGAGTATGTGAACTGCACTCATATAAACCCGGCTCCAGCATCCAAGTTTTGAATATTACAGTTGCTAGATTGCAGCTTCAGCTAGGCAGCTTAACCCATGGACAGCAAGTGGAAGGCTGTGGAATGAGATTGCCCAAGCATGTACTCCAAAAATAGGAATGCAGGTGTTGCTACTATAGTTAGTTTATTTACGTGTAGTTTCTTATCACTAAAGCACTTAAACAAATTACTAAGGTTTCAAAAGGGCCAAAATCTATGGGTTTTGCACATTATTTCAGTTTCGGCAGCCGAAAGTTTCATATCTAATGAATTGTACCCTTATTTAAAACCAACCTCTCGCCCTCTCTCGAGTGGTCATAACACTAACTTCCTTCCAAAAAGAAAACACATAGATTACGATTAACTTTCAGAAAATCTCAGACCTGAAATATAAAAGCTAGACAACTTGAAAAAAAAGTTCCCCAATCTAGTTTTTCCTAATTGGATATACCAGCCAGATGCAACAAGGAGCACGGTGAGTCGGTGAGCCTACTTCTCAGTATGTTAGATCAAGCATGAACTGTACTATGTCTGAAACTACTTATCCAAACAAATGATTCAGGGTTCACCAAACCGGATATACTAATCTTATAAGAACAAGCAAATTCGTTACCTGTACTTGTTGCACAACTTCTTGATCATCTGAGTCCGCTAACAAATGAATCTGGGTATCTTTCAACATGTTGGAGAAAACTGTAAAAGATGAAGGAAGATAGATCAGTACCAGGAAGCAATACCAGATGAAAGAAGGGGTTGGTGCCAAAGCTCTTCTTTAATAGCTTACACAGGTGATACTCCCCAAATCTAGGATTAGCTAGCTGGCGTCGCAAAAACTGGATATTCTCCGATGTAGGACGAAGGAAGCAAACCGCTTTCAAATGTGTCGCAGATTCTTTAGACTTCGATATCGTATCTACCATTTCAACCAAGAATACTTCTTTCTGAAGCAGTTCAGATTGTGAATAGGCAACACTTACGATACTGACCTGAAACTCAAACAAAAACCTGAATTACTCTTTGTGGTATGATTCTGCTCAAGTTAACCACTGTCTAGAAATACACAAACCAAATTCATGGCAAAGGGAAAAGCAACTTCAATCAAATGAAAAAGAAAAGAACATGCCAACAGAAAGTTCATGCCAGCTCTAACAAGCTGACTAGCACCAGCAAGTAACCATATTGGTCAGCCTTACAGCTCTAAGATTACCATTCATCCATAAATCGCAACAATATCATGGAATCCGGTTCGGGAGACGCAGAAACAATAATCAAAAGAGGAAAACGGAAAGAGACGGAATCGAGAATGCTCTTAATTACCGTTTGGGAATCCAGAATTAGAACCTTCATGCCGGAGATATCCTGCAGCATGCGGTTGATGTAATCACGGGCAGCGGATACCACCACCATTTCTGCGGATTCGGATTTGACCCGGCTCCCTTGATCGTCGACTGAAATTTATCTCCCGACGGCGAGAAAGAAGGCAGCCAAGTTTGCCGGTTCATACAAATTGACGATCGAAATGAGCCGGTAAGAAAGCTTTAGATCTGCTCTGCCGAGATGAGAAAATTACAGTACGAGAAGGAAAGAAGAGGCGAACGCGAGACAACGAGCCCAAAAAAACTGCGTCTCGGTAAATACAGGCTGCGGGCCCACTTTGACATGTCGGCCCATTTGGGTTAATTACACTGAGTGATTTTTACTCACTAGCCTAGTGCCATTTCTCTCATTTTATAAGATTTAAAATAAATTTTTTTCCTACAAATAATTAATAAAAAAATAATTGTGAGTTAACTTTTACATATAATTTAATCAAAATAGTTTGTAGGCAGGTTTCTACATATATAATCCTGGTTAAAAAAGACTCGTTCGTTGTTTCTTATCCATGTTTCTTAATTAGATTTTTTTTATATACTTTTCGATTAGATTAAATCAATTTTAGTTACAGCTTGCAATCAACTTACGTGTTGAAAAGACTCGTTCGTTGTAGGCAGGTTTATACATATATAATCCATTTGATGGTTAAAAAGACTTGTTCGTTGTTTCTTATTCATGTTTCTGAATTAGATTTTTTGTATATACTTTCCCATTAGATTAAATCAATTTCAGTTACAGCTTGCAATCAACTTACTTGTTGAAAATACTCGTTCATTGTAGGCAGGTTTATACATATATAGTCCATTTGATGGTTAAAAAGACTCGTTCGTTGTTTTTTTTTTTTTGTCAAAAGATATCATGTATTGATCGAAGAAATAGATAGTTACACCCTGGAAGCCAGCCAGGTCTGGAAATCAAAAAAGCGACTCATAGTCGGATACAAAGAGAGGGCTTTTCTAGCTACCAAATGAGCTACCCTATTGTTATCCCGACCTACAAAACGCACACTAAAACCAGGTTGAGTACGAAAATAATGAGCAATCTCTTCCAGAACAGCACCCAACCGGCTATCTCTTGTGTCGGCTTGATTAATCTTGTCAATAACTACTTTCGCATCGCCCTCAAACCGGACCTCCGACAAACCTTGTTCCACACACCAAATAATTGCCACCCTTAGCACCAGCAGTTCCACTACTACAGGATCATCCATTTGAGGAAACTGGACCCCTCTCGCCAGAAGGAGAGTCCGTGCTGGGTCAAGAATAACCATCCCACCAGCCGAATGAGATCCGCCCTTAGTAGCCCCGTCCCACATGCAGACCAAATGGGAATCACCCACTGGTGTTGAAGATTGCATTATCGGCACGGGAACTCTAGGCCCCTGGTCCGCCGGCAGACCTATCCATTCCTCATACTGCTGCTGGAACTGCCGCATGAGCGCCGGGATCCCAAATTGTTTGCCTTCAAAGACTACCCAATCGTTCTTTGTTTCTTATCCATATTTCTGAATTAGATTTTTTTATATACTTTCCGATTAGATTAAATCAATTTCAGTTACAACTTGCAATCAACTTATTATTTAAAGTGAACCAAACAACGAATTCGTGCATCAGCTTAACATTGAGAAACCTCAGTCACCCAATAATTACAACCTCACGACGAACTTCCCTTCATTAATTAACCTCCCGAGCAGCACCGCCGGACGAAGCCACCGCCGTCGCTTCCGAGTTAGCACCGACCCCCGCCGCCGCCGCCGACTTCCCATGCAAACCATGAAGATGATGATGTCCGGCGGCCCCGACCTCATCATCCTTCCTCACAACCTCGTCGACGTGCAAGTCCTCCTCGATCTCCAGCACCACCGCACAGCCGGGGACGACGGCCTCCTTCACCCTCGCGTGCTCGTCCACGTGGATCAAATCCACCTCGTGCTTCGCCGCCGGCTTCTTCTTCAGCTTCTTCAAGCAGCAGAGCACCACGGCGGCGAGCCCCGCCAGGCAGAGGAAGCCGCCGAACGAGATAAAAACCACGATGATGATCACGGTTGGAGCGGCCATATTGGGATGATATTATTGTATATTATATGTATTCTACTTTTTTCTTCTTCTTCTTCTTCTTCTTGTGTTGGTTGGTGATGAAAATGGTGGGAATTGGAATGGGGTATTTGTAGTGGGGAGATTTTGATTTTTTTAATATATTGCTAATAAGTGACTTAACCCTCATTCTAAGATTTGTGGCGGGGAGAGGAGGGGAGAGGATGTGTCATATATTGTTTGCATTCCAAAACACTTCAAAGTTTGCCTACAGTACTTCTCTCAATCTTCTTCTGTGTCTTCTCTTCTCTCCCTGTTTTTCTAACCAATTGTCAAGGGTTTTGATCGAGTTGTGATTTCATAACCGGACGGGATGCTGAATCGGAGAAATTAGTGATTTACGGTTCAACGGTTAAACGTTATAGGTACGTCGGTTAGCCGTTGATAGAACTGTTCACGCGTGATAACATAAAAGACATATGTAATACATTAGTTTTGGACTAAATTTATCACCAACCATCAACGTTTTCAAATTCATATCATCTAAATATCAAAAGTTCTATAACAATTCAAACTATCTCACAAAAAGTTCTATTTCTTTTTATTTAAATTCAAGATAGTAAATACGGGCGACAATTCGTAGTGGAGCATATAAGGCCGACAAGGAGGATGAGAAATAAAGAAAAAAAAAGTATAAATAAAATTAGTAATTTATTTTGTCATTAACATAAACCGGTGGACCATCAAAGCGGGTTAGTTCATATGGTTTCATGTCAAACCATTAAACATTGTTCGATTTACCCCTAACCGCCAAGCTAACAAACTGAACCGCTATTGCAACTGGTGTGGTGGTTCTATTGATCTCACTGGCAATCCAATTCGATACTTATAACAATGGTTTTGAGTGAATGAGGTAATAATAGATTACATGTACTTTCAGATAAATTAAAACGTCTTGCAGGCAAACAAACTTTCATTCTCAAAGGATCATATTTGGGATCATATTGGGACTATCAATACGTGAAAAATCCAAATGAGATAATTAGCGACATGGACAAAGAAATCAGTCGATACATCTTCATGGGGTGAGAACTGAGATATTTTCCTTTACTTTGTAATATAGTGTTCATTTAACTGTAGATGGAGATTATAGGTAGATTGCCTTAAATATAGATTATGTAAATGAACCATTTATTTGTTGCTAATGCTTTAAAACTGGCATATACCACTTGTTAACACTACAAGAAAAACAAGCTTTAGCGGCTAATACTAGAGGCACTTTTTGTATTTGCCCCTAAAACTGGGTATTTAGCGACAATTAATTTATTTGCTTCTAAATATGATTTTATTTGCCTTTGATTGTTTTGTTTAACTAAAAAAATTATGCAAGCTGTTGTGATTACGAGCAACTTAGTAAAAAATAGCATTTAAGAACACATAGAATTGCCGGTAAACGTTTTATGATTACAGGCAAATACAATTGCCACCAATCTCCAAAATTACACACTTATTAATTATTATAACGGAAAAGAAAGAAAAATTAATAAGAATTTTATTAACAAAAAAGGAATAGTTTGTGGTAATTAAATATCGATTTTCACCCTTTCGTGTTCCATCCTTCCCCTCATCGTTCTATACGCCCAACTCTTTGCAGTTTCTTCCACAGACTTCGCCGCCGAACCTCTCCCTCGACATATATGTTTCTTTCCTTGTCAACCATACGAGTCTATCATTCTGATTCCTATACAGCTTCTTCTGTAAAGTACCCACCTGGCAATACTCGTCGTCGTCGTCGTCTCCATATCCTTTGTGATAAAATCGCCTAAATCATCAATCCAATTGCAATTTTCTTCAATTTTAGGGTTCTTTTTGCTCCAGTCACTTCCGCGCCGCCTTTCCTCATTCTGTCGCGCGTAGTTCCATTAGATCTCGAGCATTGAGATTTCTTTCAGGGGACAATTAGGGTTTTTCGATGATAATGTTCAGGGGTTCTGAGGAGGGCGCGATCGAGGTTGTGATATTGACAATGACGACGCGTTAAAGGTGTGAGTGTAGAGGTTTACGCTATTGGCTTGGCAGTATGATCCTCTCAAATCGTATTCTTGTACAATTGTTTCTTTCATTGGTTTTCACTTAAATCCTTCTTAATTGATCCATGGTGAATTCCTTCCGTTCTTGTTCTTATACAGTTATTTATTTTCCTATTGCTTATTTGGCCCCATAGGTTCAAGGTTTTTGTTGATGAATTCTCTACCGCTCGGTGGGCAGGAGCTGCACGATTCACATGACTAAAGAAAATATTCAGTAAGTAGTCCTCTTCCAAAGTCTTAGTTAATGAAATAAATTTTTTGCCTCACATGATCAGGGCAATGTTAATGGACATTACCGATTGATAATCCCACTTGCGTAGTGCTATCACATGGTATATATATAGATATATGTTCAAGTGGGATTGGTCCAGTTTAATTGCTGCCTAGCATTACCTTTGTGAGATTTTCATCTAGGTTCGATTGTCTATACTAAAGCCTGTAGGGAGTTCATGCTAGCAGCAGCCGTGAAGGATGTCGACAGGAGAATGTCGAGAACAACTACACTGCCTGTTGGACTCTGCTATGCTTTATGTTCTCGATGCAATCTCATGATGAAGTTAGTGGAAATGTTCCTGTATGTGTGCTTTTATTTCATGCTAAAATCTATTTTGTTTATAACTAATTGTTCTAGTGAATGTGCTGAACAATCTTGCCAAATTTTCAATTTATGAATAATTTTTTTACCCATTCATTAGCACTATGCTTAACAATGGAACTCTGATCAAACTATGTTTTCGTAACTTTAATCCCTTAAGAGTAGATATTTCTAGTCGGCTTCAAAATTTGGTTTAAGAGTTTATGGACTAGTACTGTATATTGAATCATTACGAGGAAAGTTGCAGCATGTTTAATGAGCATGTTGAGTCGTTTTGATGCCTACATGGTATGCTTCCCAGCCTTCCTTTGGGATCTTATCAAAGGAGGAAGGGCCATTCAATAACATATCTTTTTTCATGCAACTCCGGGACCAGGTATTTCATGTATAAAGATTAAGCATATACATGTTCTACTATAGCAGAGTTTGGTGTCCTCGATCGATGTTCTTATACGCACCTTTGTAGCTTATTTACACATCAATTTAGCACAATTTAAATTCTTCTGAATGGATTCTATCATTTTGCAGATGGATAAATCACTAAAGCACGAGAGTTCAACATTCGCAACAACACAACAACCAGGTGGTCTTGGTGAAGTTGAACAAGAAGATGATCGGCATTTGCAAACAGGAAAACAGTTTGATATATACTTGCTACTCTCCAACATTTGTGGAACTATTCTATATGAAGTGTTTGTTAGTTTCAATTTTTATGTTGGGATCTTTAATTTCATCTTTTCAGCCCCACTGTATGAGCAACTTATTGTTAATTAATATCAAATAGCAATAGCAATTTTTCCTTATCCGTGCTTGTATTTCTCTCTAAATTTTATTTAATTATGCTAGAGATCAAGATCCAATATTTAATGCAAAAGCAGAGTGTAAAATCGTGAGAGAATTAATGTTACTGACGACGATTCATCAAGGTAATTATAGTTATCTATTTAATCAATTTGTGTATTATAATATGATGTATTGATTAAATGTATGAATTTGAAAAATACCTTGTTTGGAGGTTAACATTGTGCTTTGTTATAAATGAAAAAGCAGAGGGTAGACAATCCCTTGGTCACAATCTCACCTTTAGGTAGAGATTGATAATCACTCATTTTGAGTGATTGTGGGTGGGCCCAAAAAAGGTAATACATGTATTCTGTCACAAATTTAACAAAAAAAAAACGACTTAATCTTGACATTACATGGATTGGCTAAATACATCGCTTGAAATCCCAACCTCCAAACCACTCCTAGTTTCAACCAAATAAATATTACCCTCAATCACTATCTGTCTTCCTGTACTTTCACGCAAATATAGACATCAACTGGAAGTAGCAAGTAGCAACCTTGACTTCAAATCCATCCCTTGAATTGGTCTGCATCGACCAACCAAAGATAAGACGAGAAGATATATAGAACCAAAATACACAAATTTCCATCACATGCCAAAACTTGTTGGGGCATAGTATCTTTCATCAGAAGCTGTTTCATGTTACAGACAAGGGAGCTATACAAATATAAATGAATAGGAATCAAGCTGATTCTATCACCAGATCTTCTGGAGCCACACATCAATCTTGGTGTATTCGTTAGTTAAGCGTGTAAAGAACTCATTGTACCTGTTAATCAAGATACCATCAGTGATTGTCGTTCAAAATGTAGGACGAGAGAATTTCATTCCAGGTATCAGGCACTCCAGGTAGGCACCAGTGGCTGCAATCGGGTACAGAAGGGTTATCGCTCCAAGTGCCCACATGAGCATCACTACGAGATGCACACATTGGTGTTACGTGCAGTACGGTTACAGGAACCGGTGCCAATTTCTTCACGACCTTCAATATGATGTTCGACAATGCGTTCCTCTCCTTCCCTTTTGTTTTCGTCAAAGGGTTCCGAGTCACCTTGCAGGAAGCGAAGTTCTTGCCACTAATATAGAGAAAGACTGCTGTTTGTCAATTTATAGAATTGGAAATACATATCAGTGACACAGAGTTAATATTAATATGTGAGAAACAGACCTCCAATGTGAAGATTCGAAAGTCCGGAAGAATACGGTTGTTCTTTTGGTGTTGAGATTACTAGCAGCCCAGGATGCCCAAGTCTCCAATGCCATTTTGAATCCGGTGTTTATAGGCAGTCCAAGCTTCAAAGATCCACCTACTTGAAAATAACAGCCCCTGTCTGAAACATACGCGTTAGGGACATGCTTGTTTGTACAAACAACAGAAACCCAGTCATTGATGAAAGATCGAAAGGAAAAACACGATATTGAACAATTCCAATAATCAGCATCTCGTTCCAACAATGCACCAACACATTTAGAATAAAAATACTCATGGCTGATCCAACTGTAAAAGTGAATGACTGATAACACTTGGCTCAGGAAACCAAAATTCAAGAGCAATATGATGCCTAGATTCAGCAAATCCAAGTTGAGGGCACTTCAATTCATGAAAGAAGAGAAAGCATCAGTCAACAAGCAGTTCACAAGATTGCAGATGCATATCGCCAGCATACGTCATCAATCTCAGTACAGTAAAAGCAACTACCTTTCAGGTTCTTAAGCCTCTTGTCATATAACTACAACAGTATCATATTTCATTGAATTCATTCAATACAGAAAGCAGATAATGGGCAGAGGAGAAAGGGAAACTCACATTTCGAAAAGCTTACTAGGAGTCCACCAGTGGCCTGAGTTAAAGATCAGAACATCTGAATCAATCCACTCATTGCTGATATCATCCATCTTATCAAGCTTCAGAGTCGACTTAACCCTCTTTGGTGCCCTTTTAGGCACAGAACCAGTCTGGACCAAGAAAACAGATCGATAGAAATCAACTCTCAGATTGTATGAGCTGAACCTTACACCCAGAAATCTAATTCTTTTAGTAATCTTGTTCCCATTGACTTCATAAACATTCCTTTTATCATCCACACCAGTCATGAGCATGCATACCAAAGACTCCCACTGTGTTCTGCTCAGCGAATCCCCCACGAATACAATCCTCTTGCCTCTCAATTTCTCCAGCACTCTGCGAGCATTGAAGCTGGGGATGGTACAACCCTTAGGCTTCCACCTCCATCTCAAATAACCCTGATCCTTCCTACCATTTGCCAAGCAATTAAACCCTCGCTCTGCAAAAGGGCAGAGGGAGGAATTATACAAAGGGATGTAACCCTGATCCTGGATCCAGCTTCCTTCAAACAGATTGCAGTCTGTAACTACTGATGAATTGGGTACGGGAGGCCCGTAGCTAGCAGCCACATCAGCCTGCTGCTGAACCCTAGGAGAGAGAAACGAGTAGGCACAAGCCAGGGCTAATAGGAAAGACAAGGATGAGCCAACAGCTAAAACTCCATTGAATGGCTGAAACGCTTTCAACCCAAGATGCGTCTTCACAATGCCCTTCCACCAAAAGAACACCCTTTTGCACAAGGCAAACACTTGGTCAAATGAAGAACTGGGGCTCAGACCATGAGCCATCTAAAATCAGTAAACTAAACCCTCTTCTCCATTTGTGAGCCAATTTGAGTTCACAAGAAATTGAAAGTGACGATCACGGAAACCCCAACTGACAGTCAAAAAGAAGAAGCAAGGGCTGCAAAGGAGTGAGAGGAGATAGCAACCCAAAGAGGCAAAGATAGAAACTTTACACAGAATTTTGAACGGCGAGCTAGAACTCCAGCAGACTAAGGAAGTGGGTTACCAGTAAACAGAGTTGAAGATGGAAGCTTATAGATTTGGCAAGTGGAATGCTGGTTTGAGTCGCCAGTACGGGAGGTATTCCTTTTTTGTTTGCAGGGAAGGGGGCGTTTTGGTCAATTGGGAGAGTACTATTTCTACCAAGATGTGATCTGTAATCTAAGCGAAAATGGAGGTGGTTAGGGAAGGAATGAAAAAAGTGAATGAATACTGAAAAAGTTTCGAAGTTGTGAGTTGCGAATGGCAACAAAACCCGAACCCACGGGTACCCACCCGACCCAACCCGGTCAACGCGGGTAAAATCCGTGTTGACGGGTTTTGGGCTGGGTTTGGGTTTAAACCCGTTCACTATTCACCGGGTTGGGTTGGGTTTGGGTTTAGGTAAACCCGGCCCGTGGATACTCGCCCACTCATATAATTAATTTTTTCGGTATATTTAATATTCTAAACAACTATTCTTATTTATTTTTGTGGAGACATGTCTAATTTTTTCTTTTTAATTGTGTACAATGAAGTTGATGTTATGGAGTGGAGACTAAAGAAACTTAATTGAAAGAAAGAAGCTTTCAATTAAACATGTTATTTATGGATAATTTGTGATTTGCTTCAATTTTCTTGAGTTTTCTAGATTGGTGTTGAACAATTTGTATAGTTAATTTGTGATTTTCTTGAATTTTCTAGAATGGTGTTTTATATATGGATAATTTGTATTGAGAGATTGATATTTGACTTTAATTTAGATAAGAACTTGTAATTGTAAATTTTTTACGACAAAACCCGTGGGTACCCATGAACCCGCGGATACCCAACGGGTTGGGTTGGGTTTGAGTTTTTCAAACCCGGTGGGTTTTACCCCGGGTTTTTTTCAAAGATAAACCCATGGATTTGGGTTTGGGTTTGGCAAAACCCGACCAAACCCGACCCATCGCCATCCCTAGTTGCGACCTGTGTCGGTGAAGTGATGATGGTAGTGGAAGAGTGGTTATGCAGTTAAGAGGTTGCGGCATTTGGCGACTATTATTGTGGTCTGGTGGAGTGGTGGCATCATTTTCGTTGGCCGTCTTCTTTATGTGTTTTGCCAAGTTGGTACGGTTTTAAACCAAACACATATATCATCTACCAAATTAGAAATGAACGAGCAGATGTTTCTAAAGTGATTAATTCTTCAAAGCAAAATTACTTGTGCTAGCAAGTATCGAGCTTTGGCTTAAGAATGAGTGTGGACCAAACTACTAAATTTAATATCCGCAATTGTGAGAATCAACATCAGAGATATTTTTTTATGGACCCGATTTACGTGCCTTTCTTGAAAGAGGCGACAATAATGAAAAAATCAACTCTAATCCAATATAAGCGAGATGCCGAGATGACACTCAAGATGAACAATTGCTCACTTTTCCTGTCTTTTAAGAATTGGCTTTGCTTGAGTTACAAGATAAATAACGGCCAAAGTGACTTTCCGAAGTGACCGTGGAAGATGACTCTAAGGTGGTGGTTGATAGCCCGCTACTCGAATAGGTAGATACTAGATAGATTAGTATGGTTTAGTTAGGTTTGCGTATGTTGCTTTGTACTGGTATTTGGAGTGGGTTTTTTTCTTTATTGTTTGATGTTTCTCTCTTAATATCCCTTGGAGAAAGGAAAAGAAAACGAGCGAACAACAATGTAATGCTCTTCCCCCTTTCCAATTGCCTCATCATCAATCAAACCATAAACTCCCCATTAGCTCTCACTAATACCTTCCTATCTTTCTAAAAAAAAAACCAAATTTCCTTTTTTTTCTCTTTAAAGAAAATCTAGACCGACCACCTAACTACAAAATACAAATACTTCAACCCCCTTTTATTATTGCTGCTCTTTTCCTCCTTCCTACTTTCCTTTCAAGAATTTGGGCCTTGCAGTTTATCTTGGCCCCCTTCAGCCCTCCAATTTCTGGGCCTGGGCTTTCCTTACTCGGAGATTTTGGGATGATCAGGGAGCCTTTTCCCGCGAAGGAAGGCGCTGAAGAGATGCAGAGCTCTTGATGGCTGTGCATATGGAACCATATGCGCTGCTCCCCTCACCGTCGCAAATGTCAGCATATTCCCGTATTCGGTCACCCAACCCGCAACCTGCCCCAATTTACCACAAACAAAATAGTCAAAAATCTTCTCCGAATCGTTCCAAGTTTATGGAACCAATTACAAAACAGAGGTTTATATTTTCCACACCTGGTTTTTGTGGAACCAAGTAGAGTATGGAACTGTAACCTTGAACTTGAGATCATCAGCCAGCTGGCGAACCAGGGTTCGCGAGCCCATCAACGGGACAACAGAATCTTGATCCCCACTGATCAGAAACATATTTTTCATTCAGTATAGCTCGAATTTGTCGGTTTCCAAAGTAGATGAACAAGGTTTCAGGTTCTATACCTGAAAATCCAGACCGGGATACCGTTTTGAATGATCTTTTTGAGTACTGGGAGAATGTCGATGTTACCATCAGTATCTTGGTACTCTAATTCCCTGCCAATGCCGCAACAAAAAGAAGGAAACCGTGGCTTAATAATAAACACAATGATACTGAGAGTTACTTGTGTAATGAGTGTTAAATGAAGGGACTTACGAGCTGCACATGGACCATGGGTACGGAAGGCCGGTTCTGTTAGCATGGAGAGCCTTCTGCACTTCAGGAAGGTTGAAGTACATTTTCCTTTCGCTGGACATGCACACGTCAATCCCGAGGCTAATCTTGGTTGCCTGTTGTCATCCAACCCAAATTTTGGAATTAGAAAAAAATTAGGCTTCCCATGATTGTACTTATACCGAAGAGAAGTTCATACCAGTTTCTTGAGTCTCAGTTCTTGCTCGAATATGGATGGGTAGCAGACATCGAGGAGAACATCATAGTTGTTCACGTAGTTGCCGACGATGTCCATCGCCGTCGACAAGGCATCGTTGCAGCTATCTGATTCATTGTGGGGATTCTCGAAAGTGTAGTCGTCGAAGTCGCATTCCTTGGTGATTGTCTGGTGAAGCTCGTCAGACATCATGCCATGAGACCAGAGGAACTCGTATGGAGACCCTGCGTCCTGGTCCAGGTTCAGGAGTGGGTTCCCAATCTAGTAATTTGGCAGGATGATAATTTGAAGAAAATTAGTTTGGCAAATGAAGAAAACCAAAAATCATGAAGATCAATTTGGCTGGAGGGATATTTTCTTTTTCTTACTGCAACTCCCTTGAGGTTGAACTTGAATCCCTTGGAGTGTGCATTATGTTCAAGAAGGAGGTCAGCCAATTGAGGGATATAATGTCCTGAAGTGACAGCAAGTAAAGAAAAATCAGCAAAATTTACGGGGAAAGAAACATATTGTGGGTAATTGAACAGAGAATAAGTTAGAAACTAAACCTGCATAGCTTTCTCCCGTTAGAAAAAATGGCAAGGACTTGTACTCTGGGAACTTTGCCAACCAATTCAACAAGAATATGCGCATATCCATTGCTGCACAGAAAACAAGGTTTGCAGTGTTCAAATTAGCAAAACTATATTCTGTTATCAAAGTTAAGTTGGGCATGGTTTATATTACCAGTGGCAGCATCTCCTGTCTTGTAATCAGAACTGGTGTTTGAGTAAGACCATCCTACTCCCGCAGGGGATTCAACAAAGAGTAGATTTGATGCTGCCAAAAAGAAATTCAAACTTCTGATTCAGTAAAATAACATTGCAAAGAAATGAATATTGAACAAGAGGTACCTCCTTTTTTTGTTTTTTTTTTTTACCTCTGTTCCATGACATTCTGTTTATTCTAAGGCTGCGGGCATCACCCCTTGGATAAAAGGGACCCAATTCTGTGAACGCACCTCCGCCAATTGAGGAGCATCCTGGTCCTGAACAGCAAAAGAATTGTAGCTAAAGATCACTAGGCCAAAGATATTTTAGATCCCAGATCTCTAATGTTGAGAAAGAGAGAATCTTTGGGGAAAAGACGCACAAAAACAAAACAACGCACGAAGAACACAGTTCAAGGAGACAAAAACAAAAACAAATGAAAAAGAAGGGAGAAAAGACTGAACCAGAATAATAATCCCCCCATTAAGCAGACAGCGAACAGTTCATAGAGAACAACAAAGGAATTCTGTAGGGAAGAAGGGGAACTAAAACCAACCTCCATTGAGCCAGAGACTTAGTGGCTTGCTTAGAGGAGTGGAATCGGCCTCAACAAAGTAATAGAACAGGCTCTTCCCAGTCTTGACGTCAATATCAATATAACCAGCAAATTGCCTGAACCCAACTTTAGGCTGGCCGGGCAAGTTCACAACCAGATCCTCAACCGGGTAGGCTTCCACATTGCTCAAAAGCACCACCAAAAACACAGCAGCAGCGAGAATGAAAGGATTCAGAGCCCCTCCACCAAACCAAGACCTACCCATCTCTCTTTCTCCCAACTTGATCCTTGACACAGTCCTTAAGAAACCCACCTACCAATGAACAATAAATGTGGGTTTCATTCACCTGCTTATGTGCACATATATTTAAATAGTGAAAATGGTGAAGCGAGATAACTTTCAAAACGAAAAAATGAGATAAGCCATGTGAAATGAAAGAGTATATCTTCTGGTAATTATGGAAAAGAAGCCGAAAAAGTAGCAAGCAGCCAGAGAAAGAGAGAAAAAGGAATCCTTATAATGATTGTACCTTGCCTGTTGGTTTCCTCTTCTATCTCTAATTCTATATATATTATCATTCTTCCTTATCTGATCTTTTTTCCTAATTTTTTTCTTTCTTTATCAAATGTATTCTGTTACTCACCAGTCACCAGGGCACGTGAATCCGAGGGTTGGCTGGATGGATGGCTGGCTGACGAGCAGGCTTCACTTGCTTGACCACATCATCATCATCAAATGGAAAGGTCGTTATATTATATACACAAATGGGCATTTATTAACTGTAAAAAAAAAACTGACCATTTACTGGCCAAGTTCAGTCGTTCAGAACTTTTTATGTACTTTCCCCCTAGAAATTATCAAATGGAATTTAGATGTATGATTGAATTCAAGATAGAAGAGCTAGGCGAAAAATTCTATGACGAAACTGAAGCTGCATGGATGGGTGGCAGGAAAGGCAACCAGGTGACTGCTGTAGCTAGCTAGGAGTGGCTGTGTACTGCCCGAGTAAGGAATATGGATGCATCTGTCTATTCATCTATACAGTGTAAGAAAGAAAGAAAAACAACTATCTTGGGAATCTTGTAAGCATTTCAAACAAGAAATACAATGGAAGACACTTGATAAATAATTCTAAAGAAAATAGTGCCGGCCGAGAATCTCTTGTTGTGGCCGATAGAGTCAAGGAGATATACCTAGGACATAAAAGTAACATGGGATTCTTCCAGCAAATGGCTAATCAATGGTTGGGTACATATACGCATTAAGGTGGTAGTGGGAGTAATAATGAGTATTATATGCATGCAAGAGGAAAAATATTGTCGCTAAACAGTTCATGTTCTTTCATCTTGTTTGCTAGCTTTTCAACATATTTGTGTGCAATGAGTTAAAGATGCTTTCAACAATCCCTCCCATTCTTCTCCAATAGACCTTAATAATTATATAAAATAAGTGCTATAAACTTGTAGACTGTACTAACCCAAATAATGAATAATATTGGGAAATTTAAGTGCATTACTTTAGAACTGTGTTTTATTTTTATCTTTGGTGATTTATTTGATTCAGTAAGAGATAATTAAGTATGTGCTCCCAATAGGCAATAATATGTCTATTATGTAATTAGTTCTGTAACAGTTCTTGTTATTGGTTGGTTACATATTCGACATTAAGATTCTTCGGATTTTGTTGGTTTGCACTTTTTTTCCAAATTCAGCTAAAGCCAAGACATGCAGTAGATGGAGTATCATATAAGACAAGAGTGACAATAGAGAGGGAGAGAGAGTGAGGAAGGAAAGGAAATACTCTGTCGTTACTTATTGCTTTGCTGGGACAGGCTAGTTGCTTGCTTTTAGTCCAATTAGTTGAACAACTTGGACCCGCAGGCAGCAGAGCTTTGAGATTGAGAATTCCTAGATATTCCAAAAAAGCAGCGACTTCAGCATTAGATATTTAGATCAGCTAGCCGTAAATAACGCTCAGTAATTGAACAACATTAATAACAATCCCACATTGGCTGCCGACACAGTTTTTAATAAGATACTGCTGACCACTATCTCTACTTTAAAATGTTTAAATAAGCTGATGTTCAATTCCAGTGCCTATAGATTCAATCATCTAACCTCCCTAGCCGAAAGTATCACAGGAACAGGGATAAGAAAATAACGAACAGCTGATGATCTAGTTGGTTAGGGAATCCTAGATCTGCTGGCTGCCTCACCTTTCTCTGCCTTTTCTTCATATTCCAAAAGGCGCAAAAAGATCCTCCTCACAGCAAAGCAAACCTGGATGTCAGGAGGAAAGTAGGCCAAAGTGGGAAAAGAAAAGAAACTAAGCCAACGGAATACAAAGAGGGTAGATTGAACTTTAAAAATAATCAGTAGCCAAAACTTTTCCCGCCAGAAACGGGTTTGGTTACTATGCGTACCCAGCGGCTGGAAGCAAAGGCTGGTACCATCCGATCGCAGCCTCTTAAACCGTTTGATAGAAGTGGGTGGATCGGATGTTGTCATCTCATGCTCACCAGGCTTATGAATGAATGCATTCTTTCCATCGTTTACCTTTTCTTCAGTTGGTAGCAAGTAAGAAGTTCCAAATTTACAAATACGAACATAGCCCAATTCTTTCACTGGCAAACAGAACATGGTTATGGGCGAAGAGAAGTTGCCAAAAGTGTGGCAGACAGTTCAGCTATCAGATGTTTTCCCCAGTATAGACTAACTGCTGTGAAGAAGTTGATGACGAAAAGAAAAACCACATCCAGGAACCAGCCAAAATGGCTATGCGTATGCCTATGTACTATGTCTCTTTTCTCACTAAAGTGCTGCAACTGAATGGAAAGAATTCTGAAGCCATGATTTTTCTCACTGAACTGCTGCAACTGAATGGAAAGAATTCTGAAGCCATGATGCCAAATTGCCAATCACTATATTTTGTGGGACCTGTGACTTTATTGGTCATGCGATAGACCACTCCATAAAACTAACTTCTAATTTAAGTATTGTGGTCATATAGATAAAGTATAATGCATGAGCAAAGAATCCAAATCATTCCTTCTGTGCACGAGGAAAAAGAGTAGTAAGTTCAAATTCTGTGAAAAGGTCAATTATTATATAAAAGCAGGTGGTGCTCTTTGGTCCCTACAATCCTAATTTAGCAACCTTCTCATGATCCAGATAAGTTCTTGTGCTCATGACTATCGAGTGTGTTCGTTTAAACTTTTCCTTTCTGAAAAAAGCTTTTGATGAATTGGCTTCAAAAGAGCATGCTTCCAGTAAAAAGAACCAAGGTAAGTGAAAACATATATGTCCCGCGATAAATTATAATAAGTGAAGTAAACAGTTTCTAGTTGCATTGAGAATGTAAAGCAATGGAAGATGGATGAAGAAGCAAAGTGAAAGGAAATGAAAAGAAAGTATCAGGTCCACAGACCAAAGTGAAAGCGAGCACAGAAAAGGGAAAATTGCAGACCTGGGATATCATCAGAAGCAATCACGATGCAGTAAACTTACTTGTGAACTAAGCTTCCATCCGTTAGAAGCAAACTGTTCATTCATTGATCACCGAAGCAGCAACTGCCTAACAAAATAGCGGCCTGCACATGAAAACATATGATACCAAGGTAAACATGTAAACAGCAACTGCCTAATAATTTGCAAACCCACAGTAGTACAGACAAAATGAAGACACTCCTGTTTATGTCTTCAAATCATGGCATGTTTCTTCCGAGCTCAAGTGTACTCTCGGAATTGCATCAGATACCCACTGCACTTCAGTATTTCCCATGCTGTCAATCTGTCCCCTTTCTTTAACACATAAGAAGAATCAATATAGTTTTTGTAAACAAAAATTCTTGTTTTTCAAATCTACAGTACATGTAGTGTGAAGTCAGCTTATAGGAGAACTAAAGCCTTGTGCATGGACTCATTTTCTGACCAACAAGAAATCCGAATATGGAACTATCCACTGATCTTGGGAGACAAGATGGAAGGAACAGAAGGAAACATTCATATATCAGAATACACGCGTACAAGGCGCAACGACTCAAAAGGCGTAATCAGACGCCATTCTCTTTGCTTCTTGTTAAGTGGTCTTCCCTTCCCTGCTTTTTCTCTATTTATCCGTACATCTGCGACACCCCAGGTGCAACTTTTCATTTCCACGTCAAATGAAACAAGCTTGAAGATGCCATCGCTTTCTGAGGCATTATCAGTTTCTACTGCCTGACTGACATACTTTACATACAAAGATCGGTCCTTGAATCGATCAAGGTCTTCAGGTATCCGAACCACTCTTTCAACACCAGGAGATGATACCTGAGGAAACCCAGTGCCATGAGATTCGGAAGACTGGAAATTGTGAACACTTTTTGACCCCTCAGGTCAATTTAAGGTCCAATAGTACATGCTAGTAAAAAGCTCAAAAGTACTGCTCCTACATAGAAAACTCTACTTGCAATCGGTAAGTCACTGTACCTTAAAGGAATGAAGAAGCACGTATTTAAAAGGAAAAAAACGGAAAATAAGGTTTTTGTCACCTCAAGAGCAGTATTTTCTGGTATGGCCTTGGCAAGTTCTGCTTCATCTAGTCGTGCTCTATAGGTTTTACAGAACGCTTCAACATCTTCCATTGTGGGGGAACCAGACCTGTAATAAATCACTGTCAATGCATTGAATACTAGACGACATGAAAGGAAAAATCTGAAGATGCATATAAAACAAGGGCTTAGAATAAAATTGAGTTCTGAAACCGCCATCAGGCATCCTTTCTATACGATTCTCAGCCCACTTCTAGGCCAATCTTCCCTCGTCACTAGAGACGTTTTAAGAGCTCTATTATGTTCCAATGAGCCTGTTACTTCTGATCTTGTGCCATTGACTATGTGCTGCAGCGATGAACCCCTGAACTATGATATCACAACTTGAGGAAAACCTACACCGATATCATTTCTTATGGAATTTCAGCAACAAACAAAGCACATGTAGGAGCAGATCGAGTAACAGTCAACATGAGTAAGGAGATGTGTTGGCTCACTTGTTAGTAAGCCTCTCGATTCGGACTTGGATGGTGGAATTTGGTAGTGTCCTGAAAGCATACATCCCCAATTCCCCTTCAAACGACAGACAAACCTGCTCAGCTATTGCTAATGCTTCCTTGTCCCACCACGTCCCAGCTAGGGCTATTCCACCCCCACCAGCCCCATCCCCAACCTTCCCCAGAACAGCCAAACACGATTATAATTTAGTACACAATTTCCTTTCAATTTCCCTCAACAGAGTCCAAACATGAACCAATTCGAACTAACTTACTTGGAGTAGCGCTTCTTCTTCTTCTACATACTCATCTTCGAAATCACCTTCATCCTCAACGTCCTCTAGCAACGCCTCTACGAAATCAACGAATTCCAAACAAAATTGAGCAATGCGAGCTGAATTTTGAGAAAAATTAGAGCGAAACATTGACGGTGAGTTACCGTCGTCGAGCTCATACTCATCGAAGAGTAGCTGATCTTCTTCCTCGTCGTCGTTGTCAGCTGAGGGCACCTCTTCGGCTATGGTTGGCTTGGGGACTGGTTCCTGCTGTGTCGGCAGCTTTCTGCTTTTCTTGGCCATAACTACCGCGCAGAGCTTCCTTCGATTTCCACGCGAAGGACATGCCCAAGTCGAAAACGGGAACGAGAAGTTGCGGTTCGACAGAGTGATCGGCGGGATTGAGATTGCCGATGAGACTCGCACATTGTGAAGTGAAATCAATTCCATCTCTCCGCCGGAAAATTCGGATTTCTCCGTTCAATTATCCCCTGGTGACTGCGAACAGATTTCTTTTCACTCGATTCCGGGAATGGAGCGGAACTGGATGGAGAACTGAGAAAGAGTGATAGTTCTGGAAGCGGGAGAGCCGACGTGGAAATTTATTTGTTATTCAAATAATATATATGCCGAAGAGGTCAATTGCGTTTTGGTAGCTAAACTTTGTAAAGATTAGCAAATAGGTCCTTCCCTTCCAACTGAAATTTATAAGGAATAGAGGCCCTCAGACAAAATGACTTCAGAGAAAATTGTTATCTGCTATTTTACTGGCACCTCAACTACTATATAATGAACTTCCAAGGTTATGTTTCTTCATCTACAAGTAAACATATCTCTCTCTAGTATAATAATGAACCAACGAATAGAACCCAAAATCACAGAGAAGACAGAGATTTGGTAGCAATGGTAGCAGGCACTGCTGGAGGAGTAGTCGCTGTTGCATTATCCGTCCAGTTCTTCTCACCCCAGTGCCACAACATGCTTTCCCAGAAACAGAAATCTTCGAAGCAGGTCGTCAACCTCTCGTCTTTTATCTTGATCTGCCAATGACCATCTGTGTAATTACCCTTCTCGGCTAGCCTTCGATCCCATTCCAATGCCGCCTTCTGCTTCGACCTCAGCAGGCAGTACTTCTGCAAGTTATCCGGCATGTCATCGTGAACCTTCCACCAAGTCCTGTGTGCAACATCACTGGCAAACTCCTGCAAGATGTCCACATTCCAGTTGCAGTCATAGTCCCTAAAGCACAGCCATGGCTTCGTGCCGAGGTAATGAAGAACGTAGAGGACCGGAGGGTCAGCTCCGAAGAGGCGGACTTTCTTCTGCTTGATTTCCTGCTCGTCGCCTTCCCAAAAGTGCTTCAAGAAGTTCATGTGCTTTGGAATCCTGTGCCACCATGTGAAGATCTCATTGAGGTACCCCTGGTCTCCCCCATTGTAGGACACGATCTCGTTTATATGATCCATTAGCAGCTGGAATGTACAGTTGGATGGTTCGATCACCATCACACCGGAGTTGAACAGGGTGCCGTTGTTCCCAGTGGCGGTGATCTCAGGCATCTCGAACAGGAAGTCGATGTTTCTTAGTATAAGCATGTCAGCATCAATGAAGATGATCTTGTCATAATCAGTCAACTGCCAGAGTCGGAATTTACTGTAGTTCCATTCGTTGTAGGCTTCTGGTTCAGCTTTTGGGTTTCTTATTCGTTTGATTGTATGGACTTTCCACCCTGCAGCTTCTAGCCCTCCCCTATGGTAGTCGCTAATTGTTTCATCAACAAGTATCACAAGATCTCTCGTCGAGCCTGCCCTGCGAATGCTCTGAGCAGCAACAATGGCTCCACACACATAGAACTGTGCGGAGTGCAAAATTGTTGCATACGCTTCTCGATGTGGTCTTTCAGAGTGAAAATTTTCTGTTGAAATATAGTTAGTCAGATACTACACTGAGCTACTAGAAGGGACAAATTTGCACAATCTTAGGAGTTAACAAACTAGTGAAGCTGAACGTAAGCAAGTAAGCTTTGCACAACCTTAAACTAGTTAACAGATTAGTAAAGCAAAAGAAACCAAATCTGAGCTATAACTGACCTTTAGCATTCAGAGGAACAGAAAGTTCACACGAACCCACCGGCAGTTGTGTCTTCTGTCTTAAACCATGTGGGTTGGGTTCATAGAGCCATGCATTACCCTCGCGAAGACTCAGATCCTTGCAAGTGAACAAATTTGGAACTGGTAAGCATTCAGTGACCAAGATCACGCGCACAGGATGGTAACTTTTGCCCGAAGCAGCAAGACTCGCTGCGGCAAGCTGCAAATGCAAACTAGCGACGTCTCTCGACCATCCACCAGACTTGTTGCAAGGAAGCTTCACAGCAACAATATCCAGACGTGGTTTCCCGGGGAATTTGATTTTGGGTATATTAGGGCAAGTTGGAACTTTGAAGTCCTCTTCTTCATCTATCCACTCAGGGTAGAGTGATTCCCAAGTTAGGTCCTTGTCGACATGGTCCAGGTGAAGAACCACATGGTCAACATCTGGTAAAAAGTGCTTCCAAGTTTTGACCTCACTGGTGTTGAAGTTCAACAAACCAATTCCCTGGTACTGGTTTGTATCATTTAGCTTGTCGAAAATGTTTGAGATGTGGTCCCAGTCAACTTCTGCAGTAGAGATGTAACGAAAATCTACAGCTGCATCCTCTTCAATCCAATGCTGAACTATATTCGATCTGCATGGAATAAACCTGGGTTTCAGTGTCTCAAAAAGAGTGAGAGCTGTCCCAGCTAGACTTCTAAACCAAAAATGGAGACCTATCAAAGCCATTTCTCTGATTGTTACAAGAGAACAAGATACAGTACCATATCCATCAATTAACTAGGATCAGTCAAGAAACATGAAGAATAAGCTCAATTGGCATTTCAGGCTACCAGTTCAACTCAGAAGAAACACACAGAAAACAAAACCAAAACAAAAGAAAGCACCCTAACCCAATACTTAAACCACCAAGAACAGTTTGATAAAGGAGAGAGCATCAAGAACAAGGCAACGTACTGCGGAACCAAATGGGAAGGGTAATCAGCAACATGAACTGGAGGAGAACGGTAGAGAGTGACCAATGTGCCCAAAGCGATAATCAGCAGCACCAATTTGAGGGTGGATGTCTTGCAGTTGAGGTTCCTGTACTGTGCAGGAACATGGAAGGCCTTCTCTACATCTCTGAAGTTTCTGCCCCTCAAGAACCTTCTTCTCGGGCTGTCCTCTCCCCTGCATCAAAAGGCAATGAAAAAAAACAAAACTTCAGCTCACAGCGAGAATTAGGGAAGAAACCCAAATTCTAAATCATGACAAGGAAATTGGAATCAGATCTCAGCAGCGGGAAACTTGACGGGAAGTCGAAACCCAATTTCACAAACCTAAATTGTTTCTCCGTAGGTGGTCTAATTGTAGGTCAATGGACTGAGCAAATCGAGAAATCTAGGAAGAATTTTGCGTAGTAAACAATGCTGATCCAGAAACTACGGCATCACAAAGACCGAGAGATACGCAGAAATGGGAAAACGAGAGCGTAGGAAGAGAGAGTTACATGGACAAGGAAGAAGAGAGACGGTGTCTGGGCTCCACGGAACTAGGGGAAGTGGCGCCGCCGGATCCTCCTCCCCCAACTCCGGCAGATGCTCCTCCGGCTACTCCGGTTGCTCTCATTTTGGAGAATCAATTTGCGGCAGATGAAGGCAGCAATCGGCCTTGACTTGGTTGACTAGTAGTTTGCCTGGAGCTGGAGAGAAATGATCAGAGAAAAAAAAGGGAAAAGGGGCAGAAATTATTATTACACATAGGCTTGTTCTGCGCCTAATGTTATGGGACAATCCAAGTACCACATCGGTAATACAAGGGAAGGAACCCTTGTATATAAGTGTCCACCAAGCTCATTAGTACGAGGCCTTTTGGGGAGGACACCCAAGAGTAAAACCGTGCGGGCTTGGCCCAAAGCGGACAATATCGTACTAATTGAGCGGCCCGATTATGACAAGTGGTATCAGAGCCTGGTCGGTTGGGGCGGTGGCCTCGTACTAATGAGCTTGGTGGACACTAATATACAAGGGTTCCTTCCCTTGTATTGCCGATGTGGTACTTGGATTGTCCCATAACAATCCTCCCCTCAAGCCAAGGACCACGAACTTCATGTCCTCACCTCAGCAATTATCTTGATCCGCCAGATGCCTTGTATCGATGGGCTTCTCGGTACAAGGAATTTTACCAGACGCGGAACTCTCTTTGATCCGCCAAACAGACGTGGATCTCCCTCGATCCGCCAGATGAGCCCAAACGTGGATCTCTCGTGGATCCACCAAACCAGACGCAGATCGCAAATCCCGAGGTCACCGAAAGAGGGTCCACCAAACTGACGTCCACCGCCCCAACCGACCAGGCTCTGATACCACTTGTCATAATCGGGCCGCTCAATTAGTACGATATTGTCCGCTTTGGGCCAAGCCCGCACGGTTTTATTCTTGGGTGTCCTCCCCAAAAGGCCTCGTACTAATGAGCTTGGTGGACACTAATATACAAGGGTTCCTTCCCTTGTATTGCCGATGTGGTACTTGGATTGTCCCATAACAATCCTCCCCTCAAGCCAAGGACCACGAACTTCATGTCCTCACCTCAGCAATTATCTTGATCCGCCAGATGCCTTGTATCGATGGGCTTCTCGGTACAAGGAATTTTACCAGACGCGGAACTCTCTTTGATCCGCCAAACAGACGTGGATCTCCCTCGATCCGCCAGATGAGCCCAAACGTGGATCTCTCGTGGATCCACCAAACCAGACGCAGATCGCAAATCCCGAGGTCACCGAAAGAGGGTCCACCAAACTGACGTCCACCGCCCCAACCGACCAGGCTCTGATACCACTTGTCATAATCGGGCCGCTCAATTAGTACGATATTGTCCGCTTTGGGCCAAGCCCGCACGGTTTTATTCTTGGGTGTCCTCCCCAAAAGGCCTCGTACTAATGAGCTTGGTGGACACTAATATACAAGGGTTCCTTCCTTTGTATTGCCGATGTGGTACTTGGATTGTCCCATAACACCTAAAGTCTGAGATTAGAAGTTAGAACCCAGAAATGGCGGAGTTAGCATTATACACATAATATTTAAGTGACCGCGAGTAGGCCATTTTTTCCCATTTTCTCAAATTGAATCTGGAGGGTTTCCTCTTTTGTACAACATTACATTGAAAGGGAACGAGAGAGAATGAAACAAAATAAGTTGTTAATGTAAATGTAGGTGAACAACCAAGACTGGTGGTTAGGGATGGGAGGGTGAAGTTAGAACAGGGTTTCTCTAAATTCAAATTCAATTAAGTCATTGTAGTAGTAGTAAAATTTCTAGGAAAATACATATTGAGTTTTAGAAGATAAAATTCAACTCAACTTAATGTGTCATACATGGGTCATGGGTGTATGAACACCATGATTGATGGGTATGATCCCAGATAATTTATTCGAATATCCACATCTTAATATCATCCAAATCAATTTACAAATATTCCTCCATAAAAAAACTAATAACATTCATACTATTATTGGGGCTATATTCTCGTAAAGATTAATAACATCCACAAATTACTCATATTTTTAGTTGCTAGTTTCTTGTTATCAATCATGACAAACTTTTTGTGTTCTTAACAACAATTTATATTTTATTTTCGAAAATGTTTGTACTCTTGTACTATCGTCATCATTTAACTAACACACCATCCTACAACCCAAATCAAAACAACAAACGGTCAAAACACACAATTTGTCATATTCTCCATCCAAATCCCTGTTGGTTGGTTCTTGACAATTGTCAAACCTAATTCAACCCTGGTTTAACAATCATGTGCGCCAGAACCTTAATTCATATTCATTAATTCTTACTCGGTTCCCATAAACATAAATAAATACTTATTAGTTCTCGGCTCATTGGCAAGGTGCCATAAACATGCAAAACTAGAAGAAAATGATAATGGTTGTGAGTAGTCAGCCGAATGTATGATGCATAAGAGCTATCTCTGCACATGTACTTAAAAATCTCAATATCTTTTGATCAACATAAGGACTGAGGTTTGGAGTAGAGAGGAATAAAAAAGAAACATGTTTCCTATCCTACTTCTCATTTTGATTTCACAATTGACATATATGTTTATCCTCTAAAATTAGTTGAAAAGATAAAAGGGCTCGTTGGATTTCTCTAGGTATTTTTTTTATAATGGTGAAATAGTTTTATTGATAACAGAAACAATTAAGAAACAATAGCCTTCACAACTGCCAATACTAAGTTAAAGCCATGAAAGCCTCCTCTTGCAACTACAACTCAAATATTATTGTGAATATGGCTGGGAATCATGTCCTGGTTTTTGGGTTTTTTCCGGTAAAACAAAACATGTCAGTTTTAGATTTTTCGGTTGCAATCGGAAAACAGATTACAATCAATCCAATCTAATTTGCGGTTGTAGTGTCCACACAAAAAGGTGGTCACGGTGCGGACTTTGCTAGTCGTGAAGGCCAAAAGGGTTGGTATCTTCACCAACGCAATGTTAACAACGTCTGTAATCATGGTGATATCGATGAAGAAGTTTATATGCGAGTACACCATGGGTTTGCAAAGAACGGTGACAAGGGTGTCTGTCATCTTCGAAAGTCACTTTATGAACTTCGTCAGGATTCTAGAAAATTGGTACACGAAGTTCACAGAGGCTTTGATCGTGTTTGGATTCATTGTTTCCATTGCACGCCACTCTCTTTTTATTTAACAAGAAGTAGGAGTCTTCGTTGTAGCATTGATCTACGTTGCTGATGTAGTCCTGACAGGCAACAATGCACAAGCCATTGCACGTGTGAAGACATATCTCCATGATCGATTCAATATTAAAGACTTGGAGCTACTTAAATACTTTATGGGCATTGGAGTTGTACGATCACCAAATGATATTGTTCTTTGTCAAAAGAAGTATACTCTTGATATTCTGGATGATTCTGGTCTTGGAGCAGCTCATCCTAGTGGGTTTCCTATGGAACAAATCATTCCCTTACTCGTCCCAGCTAAAGAACGTGCCGGTGATGTGAGCTCATATCGTCGTCTCATAAGGCAACTAATGTATCTTACCATTACCCCACCAAACATAGCTTACTCGGTTAATGTCTAGAATCAATTCGTGCGTGCTCCTAGTTTTGATCATGTAGCGGCAGCACATCGAGTACTTCGTTACCTAAAAGGTGGGCCTGGGCAAGGGCTTTTCTTGCCAAATTATGTTACTTTGGAGCTTACTTTTTACTGTGATGTTGATTGAGGTGGTTGTCAGTTCACTCATCGCTCCATGATAGGTTACTATGTACAGTTGGGGGTACCCCAGTCTCTTGGCATGCTAAAGAGCAACCTCTTGTGACGCGTTCGTCTGGTGAGGCTAAGTATGAACTACGACTAGTGCTACCAGTGAAGTTATATGACTTCATTTTCTACTATATGCATTGCAGGTTCCCCAACGTGCTCCCACTATTCTCTATTGCGACAGCCAGGCTGCCAGGATGCTCTCAACGTAGCTACTAATCCTGTTTTCCATGAACACACTGAGCATGTGGAGATGGAATGCTATTTTGTTCGTCAACAAGTGACTTATGGGGATATTGATCCACATAAGGTTGACACGCGTTCTCAGACATCTTCACTAAGGCTTTGGGCACGAAATAGTTTCATGCCTTGTGGTCCAAGCTTGATATGTGTAATTTTCATACTTTAGCTTGAGGGGTTGTATTGAACCTGCTTGTCTGATATTCTTTTATTAAATAATTTATTGTAATTTACCTTATTCCCTTGTGTATTGTGGAAGGGTATAAGTAGTTGTTGTCTTCGTGTAAACCCTAAGAAGCTATATACTTCCGCAGCTCATAGTGAAGCTTCAGTCTGAAAGCCTCTCCATTTGTTAGTCTCGATTTCCGGAGATATTACGTAATTTTGTGTGTTATTTACTTTCCACAATTTTCAGTTTTACACTTCCCATTTGCTCAATCCTGCTTATGGTAAATTTTAGGACCGGGAAAATAGACCAGACCGTGAGAAAAACCGTGGTACAAACCGTACCGCACAGTTTGATCCGGACCGTAGACCGTTAAGTATTGTTTGGTCTGGTCGATGGTCTGTATTATTTTATGTTTTGATTTCTTGGTCTGGTCTGGTCTAGACCGCAGTTTACCGACCAAACCGTGGACCCAACTGACTTGTCAATACGTGTTAAATGCCCATTCGACCACTCTCCCACTCCCACAACGACACCCAAGTCTCAACCTTAGTTTTGTGAATATCGTCCCTCCTTCATTCACAACCACATTTAACCAGAGAGTAGATATAATTGTGTCTCCATATGACATTATGTTAATGTTTATGACGTTATGGTGCAAGTTGGGATGCTTTTACTTTGTATATTTGTTATGTACTAAGATTTAGGGTATCAAAAATATTCATGCATGTTAGTATTAATGTGTTAAGGCAAAGACATTATTCATTTTTCGTTGAGTGTGATCTATCTGGACCAGACCGCACCGAACCAGACCGCACAGGCGTGGTCTGAATCGGACCGTATAGTTTGTGGTCTGGTCTGTGGTCTATACTTCAGGCTCTCGGTCTGGACCATAGACCGTGTATATGGTCTGGTCTGGACCAGACCGCACCGTTTCCCAAACCTAGTAAATTTGGGTGTGGGGGGGGGGGGGACAAAACAGGGAATAGAGGCAAAGAGGTTGGCTAGCTTAACATTCTTATGTTACCATTTCCATAGAAGCACTAAAATGTAACCAAATGCCTGGTAGGAAATGAAGTCTTGTAGCCTGTCACGCAAGTTGCGTTTAAACAAATGGTTGAAGTTTAGAACATAACATTAGCAACAAAACAGGATAAGCAAACAGAAGCAGGATTTGGGATTTCGGCAATACCGCCGGCCGCCTACCGGTACATGAGAAGCCGGAGGAAAAAAGAATATAAGAGAAATTAGAAAGAACCAAACAGGGGCGTAGTTGACGCTTGAATGAAACCGCCATGGTTTCCATAAATGGTTTTTCTTCTTCCCCCGCTCTCTACGATGGTTCACAAGTCAACTCCCATCCCACCATATAAATACAACCCATTCCCTCTATTCATCTCTCCACCATCAACAAGGTAACCAAAAGCGTTTCCAGTCCATTTTAAGTGTGTTCATATTCAAGCAAGAAAAGGTTGCACAAAAACAGAGCAATGTCGAGCACTGAGGGCCAAGTCATTCACTGCAAAGGTAAAAAAAAAAAATGTTACAATTCATCATTTTTTTTTGCGGATCATTCAATTGAACACTGCTGAAACTCATCTTTTTTGTTGTAAAATTGTCACAGCTGCGGTTGCATGGGAGGCAGGGAAGCCATTGGTGATCGAGGAAGTGGAAGTTGCGCCTCCACAGGAAAACGAAGTCCGTCTCAAGATCCTCTTCACCTCTCTCTGCCACACCGATGTCTACTTCTGGGAAGCCAAAGGCCAAACCCCAATGTTCCCTCGCATCTACGGCCACGAAGCTGGAGGGTAATTATTTTTACCCACAAGAATTAACAACCAGATTTTCATACTGATGATCAAATCTCTGTTTTTTTTTTTACCATGCTCTGTTTTTTAACCATGCTCTGTTTTTTCCCCCAACCCAGGATCGTGGAGAGCGTCGGCCCGGGAGTGACGGATCTGGCGCCGGGTGACAAAGTTCTGCCGGTGTTCACCGGGGAATGCAAAGAGTGCCGCCACTGCAAGTCTGAAGAGAGCAATATGTGTGATCTCCTCAGGATCAACACCGACCGTGGAGTCATGCTCGCCGACGGCAAGTCCAGGTTCACCGTCAAGGGCAAACCAATCTACCATTTCTTGGGGACATCCACCTTCAGCGAGTACACCGTCTGCCACGTCGGCAGCGTCGCGAAGATCAACCCCGACGCCCCTCTCGACAAAGTCTGCGTCCTCAGCTGCGGCATCTCCACAGGTACAATTTCTTTTCCCTTTTTTTTTCTCGAATTGTGACAGAGTTATATGTAAAGATTTAGGTTTAGGAAATTGATTGATTGGAAATTGAATTGAAGGTCTTGGAGCCACTCTGAATGTTGCAAAGCCGAAGAAGGGTCAGTCCGTCGCCATCTTTGGGCTCGGAGCAGTTGGCCTTGCTGTGAGTTCCCCTGCCTTCCTCTGCCCATCACTACATTTTTAGTTACGATTTAGGGTTGGTTTTGCTTTCTTTGTCTGTTTTTAGCTGTGAAATTCATTGCATTTGGAATCCATGTTCATTGCATTTGTAGGCTGCTGAAGGTGCAAGGCTTTGTGGAGCATCAAAGATCATTGGGGTTGATTTGAACGCGAGCCGATTCGAGCAAGGTAACACCTGATGGACTAATATTATGTTACATGGTCTTTTGTACTCTGACCACATATATGGTTGATTGAATCATTTACCTTGTATCTTGAGCAGCCAAGAACTTCGGATGCACGGATTTCGTGAACCCGAAAGACCACGACAAGCCTGTCCAGCAGGTGATTGCTGACATGACCGACGGAGGAGTCGATCGTAGTGTGGAGTGTACCGGAAACGTCCAGGCCATGATCTCAGCATTCGAATGTGTTCACGATGTACGAAACCCCCGTTCGTTCGTTCATTAACCAGATTAACTTCCTTTCTTTGCTTGTAAGATAAGCAATGTCAATTCTCACATGCCTGGTGGTGCCACATTGTTTTGACAGGGCTGGGGTGTTGCAGTGCTAGTTGGTGTTCCGAACAAGGACGACGCGTTCAAGACCCACCCGGTGAACTTCCTGAACGAGAGGACGTTGAAGGGAACCTTCTTCGGCAACTACAAGCCTCGGACCGACCTTCCTTCCGTTGTCGAGAAGTACATGAACAAGGTGCGTAACCAATTCGTCCCAATAATCCCGAGGGGTAAATTAACAAAAAAAAAAACTATGTGTAAACTAGATGGTCCTGTTGTGTTGTGTTGTGTTGATGCTAGGAGCTTGAAGTGGAGAAGTTCATTACTCACTCCGTGCCCTTCTCGGAGATCAACAAAGCCTTCGAAATCATGCTGAAAGGAGAAGGGCTGAGGTGCATTATTCGCATGGAGGACTAGACACTGGACAGGGATGAAGACGGGCGAACAGAGGACAGAAAACAGAGAAGTGACCTTGGTGTTTTATATTACTAGTGATCAGCTTCAGTAAATATGGGTGTTCAATAACAGCTGGTTGCATTACGCATTGATCTATGTTGTTATGTTATCATTGGGTTCGGCCAGGTTGGTCTTCGGAGTCGTTGAATTTAAAGAGTTGGGCTGCCTTTTTTTTTCCATTACAAACAATCCGGATGTGTCGTTATGAATTTATTTTTTTGATAATGGTGATGGTATTATTAAGCAAAGAAAGAGTTACAAAGAGAGAAACAAGATACAGTAGAAAGAAAGAAAGAAAGATGGATCAAACAAACTTGATCCCAAAGGCAAAGCAAAATAACGAAGAACCAAAGGCTGCTGAAGGGACCAGACCCTCCCTGCAGCACGCCAACAACGACATACCTGGGATAAGACAACGACCAGAGCCAAACCAAGGCAGGGTAGAGGACAACCCCAGGGCCGCAGTGAAAACTCTGGTCAAACGATGAACAACAAGCAAATCAGCACGGCCCAAAACAAACACACCCCTGCACAAACAGAAAAATCTTATGATGAAGAGCGCCCTGCGAGAAGCAAACCCGGAGAACTCAACGAGCACCTCGCAAAGGTGGGAGCTGGACGTTGTCAAGCCATTGACGTCCTTCATCTCTGCTGATTTTGCCCATGACAATGGGCCACTCCATCATCAGCTTGACGGCTTTGAGAGTGATTGCAATTGAGTTGAGTTCCTGGTTTTGGAAGATCCTGCGGTTTCTCTCCAACCAAACCTGCCAGAAGATGGCATGTAGCGCGCAGTAGTTAATCCAGCCATCCATGCTCCCCGGGATATCGGAGCTCCACCTGCTGATGGAAGATGAAGTGTCGATAGACGGCAGGTCGATGCTCGAGCAGATCAATTGACTGCTCCTCCAAACCTCGTTATGAATTTATATGGGTCTACTCAGAAATTTTCTAAAATTTCATACAACGGATAGCTAGTATTGGACTGATAATAAATAATAAACGAACTCATAAACTTTTAGTCAATTTCACTCTAAAATGTCAACGGATTCAATCTTAAACGATACCAAACTTATCACTATTTGGTATTATTGAATACCGACTTATTTTTTAGGGATTGGGATTGGGATTGAAATTCATTATGAAGTGTTATTCGGTATTCAGGATTATGGGATTGGGAACAATATAAGGTTAATACCTTAGTTTGGCCCGAATTATAGACAAACTTTCTACTTTGGCCCTTGGTATCGGAAATTGCTATTCTGGCCTAAACTATATAGCATACTTTCTTATTTGGCCCGGAGGTGAGTTTGACCGTCAAATTAGACGGTCAACCGAGTTTACCGTTAGCATGCTAACCGATGCGCCACTTTCCTTTCTCACATTTCACTTATGTGATATTCGAGAGTTCTTCTAAAACTCCATTCCCTTCATTCCTATATGCACACCTAGGGCTGTTAATGAACCAAGCCGCTCATGAACGGCTCGGTGTGCGACTCGAGAAAAACTCATTCGGCACTCGATTCGTTTTAATCGAGCCGGCTCGCGAACAAGCTCGTTAACTAAACGAGCCAAACCCGAGCCATACCATGTTCAGCTCGAAAGCTCGCGAACAAGCTCATTTAATGGTTTGACATAAAAAAGGATTAGAATTCATGAATTTTATGTATTGAAATTGGGATAAATATTGTGTTTTACTTTGCTAGACTTTGCTACATGTTAAGAATGTAATTTTGTGCGCAGTTCTGGGTCAATCTTGAGCTACTATGAACATTTTATGATCTAAACTCGAATTTGGGTTTGTTAAACTTATTTGACGAGCCGAGCTCGAGTCGAGCTCGAGCTTTCATTTTCATAAACGAGCCGAGCTCGAGCTTGCATACTAAAGCTCGTGACGAACACGAGCCGAGCTCGAACCTGGAAATATATTAACGAGCCGAGCCCGAACTATGGCAAAGCTCAGCTCGACTCGGCTCATTCCCTATGCACACCCATCCAAATCTCAAGTCCCAACCACCACAGTTAGTACCTACAACTACAACTATATGTAGAGATTTTCAGGTTGGCATGGCCACGTCCAATCCAAGCCATTATTGCCTTGGCCATCTCTCTGTGTCAGTCTAGGGCAGTCGGGCAGACGCTGTCATTTCTAGACACAAAAAAAAAAAAAAAAAAAAATTAACCCTCAGTTTACCCTGCCATATCTACACAAAATTGGACCATTATGTGTTCTAGGCTCCTAATTAATTTGGCTAGCATGTCGAAAATGTAAGTATTAGTGAATGTGTAAGATTCTAAAATCTAATCAACCCCATATGAACGATTTTCTTCTAATATATGAACCGGAGTTGCTCGCAGCAAAGGGCAAGAACCCTAAACTTGGATTTTGAAAGTCAGGTAAACTATATATGTCTTGAAGAGTTGAGATGACACAGAACATGAAAAAGCATACTGCTCAGCGAATTTAAAGCTATAGAAAAGAGTTGGCCATATTCAAGACTCAAGAGGGTGCAGAAGAAGTGTTGATACTTGCCATTCCCTCCAATGCCATTTTCCATTAGTGCTGCTGTTATTTTGCAGTGTATGCACATGTCTGTTTAGACCATTCTTTTGTTTGATTCTTCCTCTCTTCTCCCTCTCCCAGCTGCTCCATGACACATGTCCACCCCACATTTCCAGTGACCCTCTTGTGAACTTACATGAATATGGTAAGATGTAAGCCACTGGCAGAAAAAGAGCATCTTTACACATCCAATTCCAATTTCCAAATAACAAGAAAGTTTTAGAGAGAGAGAGATTGATGAATTTGGGGCTGGGGGGTGACTCAAAATTTTGGGCTGGAAGCCTGGAGCCATTGGAGGGAGAGATAGTGGTGGTGACTGGTGGCAAAGTGGCCTCAGTCATAAAATTGGGTGATCTGAAGACTGAAAGTGACATGATAGTGCAAAAGGGTTTTGGTACTTTGGTAGGCCACCATTGCCCTAATTAAACCCAACTCTGTCTTGTCCACACTCACTCAATTCATTTTTTAGTCAAAATAGAACACTGCTTCCTTCCCTTCTTCTCCAGGCCACCACCCTTTCTCTCCTTCCCTTCCTGTCCTGGCCTGTCCTCTCTATTTGATGCAGTCAAACAGTTTGTAATCAGAATGGATTCTTGGTTTTAAGTGCGATTAGATCTAAGTGGGTGAGATTCAATGTTCTTTTTCTCTGTTTTTCTTACTTTTCAACCGGGCTTTGTCTTCTTCGTGTCGATTTGAATATATTTTCCCACCCCATACAGATGGAACAACTCATTGTAATCGTCAAACTGATATATATTTTAAACACGTACATTTGGAGACAAAAATTTCTATAGCATTCATACTACTTGATACCACCCTGGTATCAACTTCGTTTCCCACTCAAATTTTGGGGGGGAGAGGAATTGTCCAGAAGGACGAGTTCATTATGTTCTATTGGATCGATGGTAATATTCATATCACCATAATACACTTTCATTTCACGTGATATAATCTTATTTACTATCAAATATTACCATCCTGATATGAGCCGGTATTTAAAAAATATATATTAAAGGATGAAGGTGGCATTACGATAAATAAAGGATGAACAAAGGGCATATTTTCACCCACTCCATTATATATACTGAGTCCAACTGAACAAAAACAAACACACTAACGAAGAAAATGCTCGCCGGCCCCCAAGTCACCATCAACCGTCCTGCATGGATCTCAAGTACTGGAGGCGGCCACCGCTCCTCCGCCCGGTCCCCGCATCTGCAGCGACGCGTCACTCCTTCCGCCATCGCCGCTCCTCCGAAGCACTCGACGCCGCCGGCGAAGGCGGAGATCTTCAGGTCGCTGGAAGGGTGGGCGGCGGACAACGTCCTTCCTTTGCTGAAGCCCGTGGAGAAATGCTGGCAGCCGCAGGACTTCCTGCCGGACCCGACCCTCCCGGCGGCGGAGTTCGCAGACGAGGTCCGGCTGCTGAGGGAGCGGACGGCGGAGCTTCCCGACGAGTACTTCGTGGTGCTGGTCGGGGACATGGTGACGGAGGACGCGCTCCCGACCTACGAGACCATGCTCAACAGGACCGACGGCATACGGGATGAGACCGGATCCAGCCCAAGCCCATGGGCCGTGTGGAATCGGGCCTGGACCGCCGAGGAGAACCGCCACGGCGATCTGCTCCGCACTTTTCTCTACCTTTCGGGTCGGGTCGACATGGTCATGGTCGAGCGCACTGTTCAGTACCTCATTGGAGCTGGCATGGTAAAATTACGACATTCTCCCTACTCCCCTTCCTTCTCTGCCCCTTTTGGCCCTAATCAACATGCATGTCTTGAACAACATTAATCTACATTTTACGGGCTTCTTGTGTCCGTCGGTGCATGTGGAAAAAGAGTATCCGAAATATCGATTAATATCGAAATTAACTTGGCGGAATAATTTATCCCTCTCAACTATCTTCCCTGATTCACGGCTATCTCGACCGCCAAAATGACCGCTTAACTATGCATAGTCCATTATCTTGGTAACAACTTAGACCAAGCTCATTTCATTACTAATTGTAGTATGTTTATGGTCGTTCCATGTTTTAATTTGTTGCTTTAGTTCGTTAATGTACCGTCTTAAGCACTAGATTTCTCTAGCTTGTCGTTACTATGAGAGTTTTTTTTTTTTATTTGTTTTGCATGCATCATTATTTGCTTTTTAGTACTTGGGATAACGGATACCCAACAAAATATTAGGAATTGTGATTGAGACACCAAAAATAATTTTGGGATTGAAACTGATATACAAATACTAATGTCGTACCGATTTCCACAATTACACCTAATTGTGGTTACCGAGACGACGGTAACCATAGTTGATGAACTTTCTCGGGTCGGGTCTAAACTATTTTTGATCGGGCTATTAATCAGGACCCGGGGACGGAGAACGACCCGTACTTGGGCTCCGTGTACACGTCATTCCAGGAGCGAGCCACGTTCGTGTCGCACGCCAACACGGCTCGGCTGGCGAAGGAAGGCGGGGATCCGGTGCTGGCGCGGATATGCGGCGTCATTGCAGCCGACGAGAAGCGCCACGAGCTGGCCTACACCCGCATCGTCGAGAAGCTGCTCGAGCTGGACCCGAACGGCGCCGTTCTGGCGGTGGCGGACATGATGCGGAAGAGGATCACGATGCCGGCGCACCTGATGTACGACGGGAGGGATCCCAAGCTGTTCAAGCACTTCGCCGCGGTGGCGCAGCGGCTCGGGGTTTACACGGCGGAGGACTACGCGGATATACTGGAGTTCTTGATCGGACGGTGGGGGCTGGAGAAGTTGGAGGATGGGTTGGACGGTGAAGGGAGGAGGGCGCAGGAGTTCGTGTGTGGGCTCGCGCAGAGGATCAGGAGGCTGCAAGAGCGAGCCGATGAGAAGGCGAAGAAGAAGACGGAGGCTGAAGCCGTCAAGTTTAGCTGGATTTTTGACCGGGAGATGGTTCTGTAAAAAAGAATCTATGTACGTACTGCCTACCGTTCAATGCCTTTTAGTTTTTGTAAATTTTCTATCTTCAACTAGATTTGAACCCGGCCCATTGGCCGGATGCATTTTATAAATGGTATAAACAACAATAGCAATATGTTCGTAGTAATATGGACTTGTTCAGTTGGTCGAATTCATTTTGCATATCGCAAAATATTGAGTAGCAATAGTTAAGCAAAATACAATTTTATTTGGTAGCATAAGAGAATCCAAATTATTTAGTAATTGATAATATTTAAAAGGATTAACACCATAGTATTTTTCTAACACCCTAACCGGTTCATTAGCTAAAATCCTTAGCATAAACGATAGACCTCGAACCAAGGAACCAACTCCTAAAAACTTGTTCAAATGACATTTATATTTACTTCTCTTTGATAGAAATTACTGCATATTTTCTTGGCTTTGTTTGGTTTCCTCTGCCATGAGCAGATCATCATCTCCATCAATAACAACGCCTTCGTCTCCATTAGTGTCACCTCCATATCAATTATCAATTGTCTCTTCCTTATTCTATTGTATTCCAATGATCTCTTCTTTCTTCTCCTGCATTTGATAAAACTAAAAAAAAAAATATATTTGTAAGATATTCTTAAATATAAAGCACCATTTTCGCTAAAGTAGATTTTACCTCGTCCAATTTATGAATAATTTCCGCAATTTACTTTCTTTCTCTATCAGCCTATCACTGGCATTATATGAGCTTGAAATCGTAACCATAGGTAAATTTGTTAAATATGTTATAATTTTACTCTATCACTTGAAAATCGCAATTTACTTTATTAGCTAAATTTGTTACAAATTTATGTAATTTTATTTATATTTCAATTTTTTGGGGGTTGGGGGGTTGTTATAACCCCTCTTGCCTCCAACCTAACGCCTCCACTTTGTTCTTACCATCGGAAAGCTTACTTGCGCTTCAAATAGGAACTGAGTAGAATCAACCGCACCTTTCGATGATATAAAACAACTATGTTTATCTCTGAATCAGTTGTCGCATAAACACAAATTAAATTATAAAATGTATATAATCATGCTAATATGAATATATGTACTTACAATGAATGTGTTAAGATAGAATTAGAGTACTGTTCAGTTGTTTGGATAATTCTCAACGAAAAATATTTCTTATAGGTGTCAAATTGCCAAAGATAATTCCAAATAATATAAAAATTAATTTGGCCAACCCTAGACATATGTCATTCTTTGATGAACAACCCATCCTAACCATGTGTTGTTGTGATTCTATTGCATATTCATGGTTGTCACGCCGGTTGACATGCCACCGGTTGAATCAATCAGTACCGATCATGAAATCTTCGTGAACACCACCTGCATGATCGAGATGATTGATTTACGATCTCTAAGCGAAATAGCGTTATTTTATTGCTGGTATGTTGCATTTTATTTAAATGTCCATATCAATTGCAAGTAAATTGACTTCAAACATGTTTTATATATGATTAAGTTCATTTATTGTTGATAGAATTTCACATTTCTAAATATTTTGTTAAACCGACATGAACCGGCACACACCAATTGTATCACCGGTTGAACTTGTTCACTTGCTAAACCAACACAACGGTATAAACTGGTTTGACAACCTTGATGCAAATTAATTAAACTCAATGGCTTCTCTTGCAAAGAAAGAAATGCTCGACCATAAAGCTACCCAAAAGAAAAGCTCGACCATGAAGGGCTTGGACATTGCAATTTTTTTATTGAAAATGCTCTTAAAAAAATAAAAACCAAAAATTGATTTAGGTCCGGTATATATTCAATCCCAAACAGGAAAATCCTCGAAGAAGCCTGGTTTTTTAATTAAAAAGTAAAAAAGTAAAATGACCCAAAACTCCTTCCACGCTTTGCGCAGAAGGCTGGAAAAAAAGAATGGAGTGGCTCTTGGAGGAGAAACTCCATATGTTGTTTGGAGGATGTGGGTTTGACATTTGGATGCACGTGGGAAATGAATTGTATCCATGAATTAGTAAATTGAATTGGTAGTTTTATGGATTGAATTGTATGGATTGGTGGGTTGATTCATGGATCCAAATGACATCTATGCTTTGGATCAGTATGTAAATTTTAAAAAATTTGCGTACTAAAATGTCACAATAAAAATTTTAGTTACTAAAACATAATGTTCAAAATGACCTTTTTTATATAAAAATTAAATTTTAGGTAGCAAATTGTAAATAAAAAGTACCGATTGGCCATTTCCGTTACTCATTCCATCTTCATGATCCAATTCTTATCACTTTTGATAGGAATCATCATTTTTTAAATTTGGGTCAGATGAAATTCATTTTCAAATCTCCTTATCATTTGAACCGAACCGAACCAAACCGAACGAACTAATAGCCATAGTTATGGAATAGCTCCCAACAGACCTTAATGGACCACTTGTGCAAACGGTCCCTGAAGGACGGCATTCAAGTTCAACCCACACACCCGCTGTACAATTTCGATATTCCCAAAGAGCTTTAACCAAGACAAAAACCACAGCACCCCTGTTTTTTTGCTGCTGCAGCTCTCCATTTGAGTTTGCCCCCTCCCTTCATTGCCCATCCTATTCTAATCGAAATATACAAAAAAGGAAGATGGCATTTTAAGATAAATAAAGGAAGAACAAAGAGTTAAATGCACCGGCTATCACTTAAGTATAGAGTGTTTTGTACGTTGATCATCTAATTTATTTTGGTTGCAATTAAATCATGTATGTCGAATTTTGATTTGCACGTTCACCATTTTTCGTCCCCCAACCTATCGATAGCTACCCAAATGGTGTTCGAGTTTCTCACCTTCGATGTTGTCATCACGCACCTGTTAGTTACTCGTGTCATGATTGCTACTAATCAAGTCTCTGATTGTTCGACAACTGTGAAATGTCCGCATGATAATTACCATTTCCCTATCTATCATTCGGTCCGGGGACGAAAAATAGTGATGGTGCAACCAAATTCTGACATACTTGGTTCAGTTGCAACAAAAATAAATTTAGATGGCAAACGTACAACACACGCGGTGCTAAAGTAGGAACCACCCAACGAACAAGGGTTTGGCCTAATGGTAATACCACAAATTCAGAACCTGGAGGTCCCAAGTTCGAATCATTTAAGTAGTACCTCAGCCCATGGGCCGTGTGGACTCGGGCCTGGACGAGGAGAACCGCCACGACGATCTGCTCCGAAGTCCGAACTTCTCTACCTTTTGGGTCGGGTCGACATGCGCATGATCGAGCGCGTACTGTTCAGTACCTCATTGGGTTCTGCCTCTTTTCCCCCTATTCCCTGTTGGTCTTCGAATTTAGTAACTTGAATGTAGCTCAACTAACAGTTGATCGGACGAAATGTTGATGTTTTGACTATTATATTGTTTTCAAAAAGTTTTGATTATTATTTGTTTAAAATGAAAGGTTTGGCTATTATAGTATTTACCCTTAATTTAAGAAGTTGCACCTTAGTACCGATAAATTAAGTTGCTTAGTGCATTTGTCAATGAAAGTGGATCATCGAAATGTGTGGTATATATGTGCCGGGTTAATGTCGATGAGATTGTAAAATTGTGTGGTATATGTGTGCCTGGTTATGTTGATGAGATTGTAAAATTGTAATGATTGAATGGGAGATTGTAGTGATTATGTAATTTAAAAAATGTATTTAATCTCTTTTTGGATTTTGGAATTTTGAGTGGGTTACTAATCGAGACAAAAATAATTTGCGTCGACAAACAAAGATAGTCTCATGCATGTGTTAATTGTGCATGTGTGACCAAAGTTAGGTTTATCATAATTACTGCTAGTATGAGGTGTAATAGTATATAGTTCTACAGTCCTACTCCATATAATTATGATATGACTGACTCCTTCAGTCCTTTGGCATATGCTTTTCAAGAACTCAACCCTACCAGCGGCAAAATATGCTAAAAACGTGCCCCAAAATCTTACCCCGACACCCTTTACATTTCAGAGGGGCATCGGCAAATGATGAAACGCACTAGCAGTTAAAAATATTAATAATTGAGACAAATGTATATATAATAATTGTGTTGTATATGATATGGTTTGGAAAATTATTCATGACAATCACATGGGGAAAATTGCTACGAGACCTAATGATATAAATCGTGTTTTTGAATGAATGTGCATGTGTGACCAAAATAGATGGGATTGTCGCCGACAGTCCAATTCCAATTTGACTCTATTTTATCAACTAAGCAATTTTGTAGATATGAATGGTTCAATCAAACGATACGATATGACATCGCAATTCATGTCATTATAGGACGTGTTACAGGGAAACATGGCTCCCTGGTGAAGGAAGGTTGCGACTATAACATATTTTTATTATTATGATATTATCGCATGATAATTAATCACAGCTAGTTTTCTAATGTATAGATTCATTTACGTTTTTCATTGGCATATCAACATGTGAAATTAGTGTTGTTACTATTAATTAATAGAAGCTTTGAAAGAACATTTTTCACTACGAAGTACCTCAAACTTCAGTGTCAAGTGAGTAATGAAGCTATGAATGAATTTTCAATGGATGTAAAGTAAAACTTCTATAAATTAATATAGCCGGGACTGTGAAAATTAAAATTTATAGTAGTTATTAGTAATTTTTGAAAATTCATCAATGAAGTCAGTTGTTGGAGTATCCAGGTGAAAGTGATGAATGTATCGAGGCACAAAGTATGGAAGAAATAGTGGCCGACGTTAGTGAGAGTTCAATTGAGGATGAAGAATATGATGATTCAACATCTTCGGAATCGGTCACGCGAAAGGAAGCAGTTAAAGCCGCATCGACAGTTCAAAAATACTTGTTACAATTAGAGAAGAGAACATCGACAATTTTGAGTGCAATGAGGAAATTTCAAGATGCCTTCTAATAAACTTGACCTTCAAGAAAAAACAAAGCACCGGCCTCACCCGCATCCCATTGTCGAGGAGCGAGTACCATATCAACTCATGGATTTTTGCTAGTCGCATATACCTTTACCATTCTCTTCCGCCAGTCGCCTCTTCTTCCCGACCGAAGATTGATAATTTATATTTGCAGCGAAGTACTCAGATGACTGGGTTCTGGGACGAAAAGAATCAGGACGGCGCGGACTAGGTTGCTTCAATCTGGCCAAGATGACAAGAGAACCCCATTTTACAGAGAGAGGAAGAATTCGATTTTGTCTATGGCGCCAGATTAGACAGAGGCATCAGATCTCTCTGCCAATAGCCTACAAGAAATTGAAATTGCCGGCTGTAAGAGATGGAGGGTTTGAGTTTTTTATTTTGGGATTTCTGGGTTTCCCAGCTCTTTCTCCACTTTTTCCTTCTCTCCTCATTGCGATTTCTGGGTTACATAAGGATTTTGGGAATGACGACACAGAGGCTTGAAGAGATGGAGATGTAGGGTTTGAGTTTTTGGATTTCAAATTGGGTTGCATGTGTCATAAACCAGTTGGTCCCAATAACTCCAGTTGTTGGGAGAAGATTATACTGGATCTTATACCACTCTCTAACACGCCCCCTCACACAAAAGCCAACCCATGGACTTGAAGTTTGCACAAGCCCACCATACCTTGTGCTTTAATCAATTGTTAATATTCGGGGTCGTGGAGATTCGAAAACACGACCACTTGGTCAAACCAGGCTCTGATACCATGTCATAAACCAGTTGGTTCCAATAACTCGACTTGTTGGGAGAAGATTATGTTGGATCTTATACCACTCTCTAACAACGTGAAGCTTGGTGGGTTTTGGGTTTTTGGGTTGCTAAACATTCCCACCAGTATCGATTCTTTGTTTGTTGAGATTCTCATGTCGCCGATTCAGGATTTTATGGGGAAACTGGGTTCTTTATTGGAGTGGTGGGCTGCGATGGCTGGATGGAAGGGATGGCAAATGGCAGTGAGGGGGAGGCTGTCTCCGGATCCTGGTAATCTTTCTTCATTTCACTAAAAAAAATGAGGTGGCTGACACGTGGCTTGGAATAGATGACTCATATTTTACTTGTAGATTACATGTACGTCCACATCAACAAAGAGTTAACAATGTTGAATTTTTTTAATGGAAATGGCTATATTTGTCAAATTAGTTTCAATTTTTTTTTAAATTGCAGCTATATCTATGTATTTTTCAAAATGTTGCTATTATTGTCACAACGTGCAAAATTATGACTAAGCATGTGTATTCACTATTAAGCCTACTAAAAATTCTGCTTAACTCATGAGGTACTGTTATCTTAGAAAGGACATTTGGTATCCCAAATTGACAGAGATACCATAGAATTCACCACGTATATGTATACCATCCAAGTTCATACGCTTATTGCAGCATGCATATACCGTACGTATGCCTAATGAGATGACGCTAATTAGACATTAACAAAATGTATTTTTGGGTATATGGTACTATACCCTAATAACTCCACATTTCTACTCTCCAAACTCAAATCTTAATATCAATTCAATTAAAAAAATAGACGATTCAAATTCGTCGAAGTACATTGAAATATCGATATGTGATGTATATACACTAAACGTGAGCATGCCTTGACTATATGTATAGCTTATGTTTGGCCCAGTTTTTAGAACTGTTTTGATTCTTCAAAGGTTCAAATCGGGAGAACACCTCTAGAAGCTTGATTTTTGAAAAAGCCGTAAAGTGCTTCTTTGCAAACGATACATTTTTTTTAAAAAAAAACAAGATTATACTTACCATATTTTATATAGCGAGTATCGTTTTTCCCACCAAAATTAAATAGGAGTTTCCTGTTTCAATTCTCAGTATTGTATATAACGTATTGAAGACTTGAAGTTCTAGTAAGTTAAAAGATTGTGCTTGCAAATTATGTACTAGACACCACTTAAGTCCATCACTTGAATGTTTCTTGAATACTTGTAGTTAGTTATCTCAATTTTCATTATGAGTTTTTTACTTACATGTTTTTTCAATACACTCTTTAATTTGTGGTTGTATTTGGACTATTGGATGACATCTGACATCTTGAAAATGTTTATATCACTGTAACTATCAGTTAGTTTTTTTTTTATCAATTACGATTAATTACATGACAAGTTTGCAAGTCAAACAAATTAATTCAAACACTTTGACAAATTTCTTTAACTTTTATAATTAAGTACATACACTGATGTAGAAAGAAATTGGTTAAAATCATGGGAAAATATTTTAAATCGGTGTAATAAAATCTGCAAATTGTACAAACGAGTGAAGAGTAAGGAACTTAATGCGTTGATCCGAACAACCCGCAACCCTATCAACCGATAATCCGATTGACCGAAAACCCAAATAACCCGCAACCCAATAATGACCCGCAACCCAAACCCAATCAACCTCCAACTCAACTAACTCCGAAATCCAATTAACCCACAACCCAATTGAATCCAACCTAAAACCTGCCCAGACCCACCCGATCGACATCGCTACACTTAATCATTGACTTCTGGCGTCAATACATTCCCTCATCCACCCCAAACCTACTTTTTATGGAAGATTACTTGCAGATATTTCTCTTATTCATTTTTTAATACAATACAAAACTCGCAGCATAATACTATAAACACACACTTTCCGCTGAACGTGGTCCATACTCCATATCACTCTTCACTTTCATCTCTCCCCAAACCCAAACAAAAGAAGGAAACAAAAAAAAAAATGCAAGCCTCTTGCAATGTCACCGCCCAGCGCCTTGCCCGGATCCCTCGCGGCCGACACACAATCACATCCGCCGCCGCCGGCCGCCACCGAAACACCACGACGCGAAATCTGGCGGCGGCGGCGGAGCGGATCGAAATGTTCAAGTCGCTGGAAGGTTGGGCGGCCGACAACGTGCTGCCGCTGCTGAAGCCCGTGGAGAAATGCTGGCAGCCTCAGGACTTCCTCCCCGACCCTCGCCTCCCGGCGGCAGAGTTCGCGGAGGAGGTGCGGCGGCTGAGGGAGCGGACGGCGGAGCTCGCCGACGAGTACTTCGTGGTGCTGGTGGGGGACATGGTGACGGAGGACGCGCTCCCGACCTACGAGACAATGATTAACACGTTCGATGGGGTCAGGGACGAGACCGGGGCGAGCCCGAGCCCATGGGCCGTGTGGAATCGGGCCTGGACCGCGGAGGAGAATCGACACGGGGATCTGCTCCGGACTTTCTTGTACCTTTCGGGCCGGGTCGACATGCGGATGGTGGAGCGGACTGTCCAGTATCTCATTGGATCCGGCATGGTTAGTTGATTTCTTCTTTTTTTATCTCCGCAAACCATTTTCTTAAATTTTTTTACTGTTTGCGAGATTTGGCTGTAAAAACTGTGATAAAAGTTAAAGCTAGACTGCTTTAGGGGCTAATGCAATGATTTACTGGCCGATTCGATGCAACGCTTGCTCGAGTCAGAACTTTTCAAAATTTTTTTTATTTCCTTATTAATTACAAATGGAGCGCATAGTATTCAATTTAATGCTGCATTTGTCACAAGGGCTATATTTGGATTGATAGATAAGATTCCTTTTCCTTATTTGTCTGGAAAAAAGAGTAGTATCTTTTTCTCCCTTTTTAGGTAAACTTTGTCTAAAGAATGTGTTGATCCTGCAACTAGTTTGCCTTTTAAAGAGATAATTCATTAATAATTGAGACCAATGTATATATAAGGTTTGGGTTAGCATACAAAATTGTTATGGATGATTGCGATTGATATAGAAGTGATCTAATGATCATCTTTGAAGAGCAATAAGGAGGGAAGGTATGAGTTTGTGGAGAGTTGATCGAATTTTTTTTAAGTTGACGTGGATTTTCAGTTGTGTTGTGTAAACATTTTTCAAATCTCCTACGAAAAGTCAACAGATCATAACTCATTCGTTCGACATCGGATTTTTTTTTTTGTGTAGAACTATCATATTTTTGTTCTCTACGGGAAATCCATTTCGAAATTTCTGTAAACAAAAAATTTTATGGTCATTTTATCACTGTGATATTACAATATTACCATTGACAGAATGACAGTAGTATTATGTCAATATGATAGTGATATATGATGTTGGTATGAAGTCTTATGTTTGAAAAAAATGTACATCATATTATTGTCGTATAGTGATAATGTCATCATATGATAGCAATATAATGTTGGTATGAAGTCTTCTTACATTTCAAAGAATTATTGGATGACATCATATCACAGTTATATCACGATGTGCAGTCAATCTTATAAGATCAATGATAATTCTATAACGAACCTTGTGACTCTATCTTACCAACTGAGTAACTTCTATATATATGTTACAGGACCCGGGGCTGGAGAACAACCCGTACTTGGGGTTCGTATACACGTCATTCCAAGAGCGAGCCACGTTCATATCACACGGCAACACGGCCCGGCTCGCGAAGCAAGGCGGGGATCCGGTGCTGGCGCGTATATGCGGCACCATCGCCGCCGACGAGAAGCGCCACGAGCTGGCCTACACCCGCATCGTCGAGAAGCTGCTCGAGCTGGACCCCAACGGCGCCGTTTTGGCGGTGGCCGACATGATGCGGAAGAGCATCACGATGCCGGCGCACCTGATGTACGACGGCAGGGACCCGCAGTTGTTCCAGCACTACTCGGCGGTGGCGCAGCGGCTCGGGGTTTACACGGCGGGGGACTACGCGGACATACTGGAGTTCTTGATCGGACGGTGGGGGTTGGAGAAGTTGGGGGATGGATTGGACGGTGATGGGAGGCGGGCGCAGGAGTACGTGTGTGGGCTCGCGCAGAGGATCAGGAGGTTGCAAGAGCGGGCGGATGAGAGGGCGAAGAAGATGAAGGAAGCCGTTGAGTTTAGCTGGATTTTTGACCGGGAGGTGGTTTTGTAAGAAGGATGTGGAGGAACCTCTCGTTTTCCTTCCCCGTTTTTTGGTTTGGTTTGTCGTTTCATTTTTTTCTTTCCAAGTTTTGAATGAGTTTTTTTTTTAAAAGGAGTTTTCTTACTATGCTCTCAAACATTGTTGTTTTCCATGTATAAGTTGAACTTATATCATAATGTCGAATGTACAAGTTTAGTTTGTATTATAAAACAATTTATACTTTTATGTTATTGTATAAGTATTAAGTACGATTTGTACTTTTATGATGTAATGATGCATAGATAGGTTATATTGTCTTGTTTCTTAGCAGTTTTTTTGTTCACTGAGTAGTTGCTGTTATCTGTACGGTTTGTACTTGGAGAAGGGGTTTGCAGTTTGTGTTTAATGCAATTTTGATTTAATCCGTAAAAAAGTACAGTTTGCACCATAAAATAAATGTATAAATTTAATTTATATCATAAATGAATATATACCTTTATGTAATGAAATGTGTTAAATTTTTTCGATTACAATTTGTACTATAAAGCAAGCTGGTTCCGCATGACAAGTCTCAACATGGGTTGAACTTGCTGAGTGGTTTGAGTTGTTGACCGTCCTTATGGGCATTTGGAGACTAATGAGATTTTTGCACATTTGGAGTTTTTTTTTTATTGATAATGATGATGAACTTTAATAAATAAACAAACCAAATCCCACAAGGCGTGAGAAAAGGAAGAAAGGAGTTCTAATGTACAAGGAACCGTCTCCGCGAAAGGAAGGGAGAACGAGAGCAAAACCAGAGAAACCAAACAAGAAAGAAAGCCAAAACAGAGACAAGGGAAACTAAGTGTCAATCTCAGGAGGAACTCAATGAGTGCTAGCTCCTCTACGCGACCAGCTCTGCATGAAACCAATTCCCTGATCTTTGTCAATTTTCTTGTGAGCCAAAATCCATTCAATTATTCCACCCACAGTCTTCCTAGCAATCACGAGGGGTGTGCAGCTTAGCTCATGGAAGATTCTTCTGTTTCTTTCTTTCGAGACTTTCCAACAGATTGCGTGAACAGCACAGGAACAGAACCAAGACTCAAGACCATCCAGATTATTAGTCAGGTTGTTGCTGATGATCGCTGAAATATACCCAGAGGCAAGGTCGGGAGGGGAGATGGAGCTGAAAACCTTGCCCCAGACTCGTCTGGTGTAACCGCAGCCCACCAAAAGATGATTAATCGACTCTTCTTCTTTGTAGCATAGCACACACCTATTGGCCAGCTCCAATCCTTGTCTCTTCAGGTTGTCCATAGTGAGGATTCTTTTATGCCAGACTAGCCAGATGAACCCACAAATCTTCGTGGGGATAATGCTCTTCCAGATCGAAGCATACTGAAAGTTCTCCACCCCTGGAAATCGTTCTGCCACCTGCCACCTGTAACAAGAACTAACCGAGAACAACAACTCTGTATCCGGATTCCATATCATCCGGCAAGGACTAGTACAGATTCTAAAGGAATTATCATTAATCTCACCAAAGCAAGTAAGTCTCTCAATTTCCGCCCCACCCCGAAGACTTAAAGAGAAAGGAACATCCCACACACTCAACTCACCTGAGATGGACATAGAGTCACAGATGCTAGCATTTGGGGAGGTAGCAGCAGCAGCACGCGGAAAAGACTCCGCAAGCGACTTCCCGGGGATCCAATTGTCATGCCAAAGTGAGATCGATGTACCCGGGCCAGGATCCACACTCGCTCCTTTCCAAAACAGGTCATGTACCTTGCATATGTTAGCCCAGACCGAGCTGTTGAACCCTTCATCAAGCCTCCTGGTTTTCCACTCCGAAGCTGTGTTGTTATATTTCCAGTTTATGAGCTGTCTCCACCAACTGTTTCTTTCTGTAGCGAACTTCCAGAGCCACTTGCAAAGAAGGGCACTCTAAATCAACCGCGCCCAACCCACCATTCTTCTTTGGAGCTTTGCAGAGATCCCATATGACCAAGTGTCTTTTGTTCTCCTCACTAGCCCCACTCCACAAAAACCTTCGCTGTATTTTTTCCAGATTGTTCAGAACAGTCTTGGGCGCCTTCAATAACGAAAAATGGTACACCGACAGGCTGTTAAGAGTAGAGCAATTTAGGGTTAGACGAGCTCCGAAGGACAAAAGCTTGCTTTCCACCCCTGAAGACGATCTTGATATTTACTCATTGCCGGATTCCAAATGGAGATCGCATTCGGACGATTCCCCAACGGAAGACCGAGATACTTAGCTGGCTCGCTACTCCAATTACATCCGAAGATAGAAGCGAAGAAACCCGGTTCATGAACATCTCCGATTGTGAACATAATGGACTTATCAAGGTTGATTTTGAGACCAGTTACCGCCTGAAGAGAGTTGTTACGTCATGGCAATATTACTGCATATGAGTTTGGTGATTTGCATCTCATTTGAGCTTAGCGATATTGATCGCATCTGGGTGCATTTGGAAACTTTGGTTCCCACTGGTACATCTGGTATTGAGAAAGAATTCAAGCCAAGTAGATATTTATTAGAATATAACTTGAATTTAATTTGGGTTTTATTTTTTTATTGTTTTGTGTTTTGGGCCTGTTCCGTTTGGGTTTGTGTTTGAGATTTGTTTTGGTCTTTTCTTTGTAGGTTTGGGAAAAAATGTGTTTGGTTTTCTGTTTGAGATTAGGAGAAAAGTTCTATGCATACTCTTTATCACCCTAATATGTAGTTAGGCCAGTCAGGTTAATTCGTTTGTTTGGTCTGTTTCGGAATTTGGTTTCTAACCTGTACTCTCCTTATAATCCGTAAAACTTGTTCTCTTCTAGCTCATTAATTAGCTAGCACACATTGTGTCAGTAAAACACGTTAGATTTGTATTCGTTCATACGATATACACAATCAAACCAACGAGCAAAATCAAATCCACACCATTCACCAAAACCGGTCCAATTTGCCGGCCGGACTTCTCTAGTTCTGCCATTGCAAAGCTTCTGGACTGGTCCGCAAAGAATAGAGTTTATGTAACTGTGATTAGCCATACAGATTGGCCTTCGTATTGCGTACGTGTTCGCATGCAGGCCACCCACAGCCATTGGTGGGAAATAAACTATCAATCATTCTCACTTATATAGTTATATCCACTTGCCATATAAGTCCAATTGTCAACGGAAATCGCAAGGGCGAAGGAAATAACAACAAATACATATATAGTATGCACCATAACAACAGGTCGCGTCATTCTCACACACAATTAAATCAAGATAATGACTTTGCCCAACTAACCTTTACGACTTACGTACACCACTAATTCTGACCGGCGTACACTATGCCAGAATTAAAATCTGGACTGTCCCCAAACTCATGGCATCTGCAAACGGTTATGATTTATGAAGTATCTGCTGCTGATGATGAACGTGCGTATACGGCCGACTGTTGAACTTAAAATTAAAGTATCCTTTTCTTTTATAAATAGAGACATAACATGCAAGAATATCATCATCTCGCTCTCGGTCTCATTTCAACAAACACAAAGTGTGGGAAGAGGGTTAAGGAAAGATGTGGGCAAGTACTGAAGTAATAGTGTCTATGGTGCTAGGGTTGGTGGTCGTAGCTGTAGGGCAGTGGGTGTACAGATGGAGGAACCCGAAATGCGATAAGGGCACTCTGCCTCCTGGTTCCATGGGGCTGCCCTTCGTCGGGGAGACGTTTCAGTTCTTCAGCCCCAGTAGGTCGTTCGACGTCCCGCTTTTCCTCAGCTCCAGAATCCAAAAGTGAGTATATATGCAGAGTCTGTTGAATACATTTCACCTCTTTCGTTCAACAACAAATCGAGTTATTGGGATTAGGTTGGTTTTAATCCGTTTGTGAAGTACGTATATGCTATTCGGAGTCTGTGCAAACAGTTGACCCCAGTAAATCTATGCTTGAGAGATTTGAACCGTACGTGGTCATTACGGATGGGGCTAGCTATAGCTAGAGTCTTACCGACTATACTATATTTTCCAAATTTGTTAGAAATTTTATATTTAAATTTATCTACATTTGAAAGTTGAGAGGAGCTATAGCCTTCCATGAGATTAACGTGGCTCCATCACTACGTGCAAACTTCAAGCGAGTAGTTTTTGGTACATAAAGTTTTTTTTTATTATGACATTTTACTACCAAAATTTTCAAAATTTACATATTAGTCCAAGACTTGTACGTCATTTGGATTCAGTGGATCAATCCACCAATCCACTTGATCCAATCCATGAATCCACTTGATCCATGAATACACACCAATCCAATCCATAAATCCAATTCATTTCCCACCTCTAGATGTCACTGAACCTAATCTATGAACTCATGTTTTACTTTGGGTCGCGATGGTGAAGTTTGTATATGTCTAACATATATTATGCTTAGATAAATTGTTAATATTGACGTGTCATGGAGGTTCGGCCATACCACCACTTAGATATGATGTCATATCATGAACCAGTTGACCTCGTTAAGTCGAGTTGTTGAGAGAAAGTTAATTACGAATTGTATGTGTAATACAAGGTACGGGAAGATATTCAAGACGAGCGTGGCGGGGAGGGCGGTGGTGATGTCGGCGGACCCGGATTTCAACCACTTCATACTCCAGCAGGAAGGCAAGCTGGTGGAGCTGTGGTACATGGATTCCTTCGCCGAGCTCGTCGGCCAGCGGGGCCCGCTGAAGGAAGTCGCCACCGCCGGGAGCCTGCACAAGAACCTGAAGAAGCTGATTCAGGAGCACATTGGCATCGAGAGCTTGAAGGGAGACCTGTTGGGCCTCATGGATCGGGTCGTGAATCGGACTCTGGACTCGTGGACGACGGGACGCGTGGAAGTCAGATCTGCCACCGCGAAGGTAGCTATAGCACTGTATATTTATTATTTAATGCTATGCAGTATACACAGCTGTTTTAAAATTTTCAAATCGAAAAGGAAGGTTTTTTTTTTATGATGAAATTGAGAATAAAAAATTTTCATCTTAATTGTATTGCTCAACGTTCAAATTATAATGAAATTTTTTACACCATAATTATCACATATTCTTCAAAATTTCAAATGAAAATATTAGATAATAAAAATTTATTGGCTAAACGAGGCTAGCCTAGCTGGTGCATCGTCTCAGGTAAGGTCCTGAATTCGAGCCCCAACGA